TTCCAGTTGTATAAAGGGGATGAGTTTCTAAAGAAATTATGGTACTGCAATGATGGAGGGCATTACAAGATAATTTATTTTTATCCACTGAGCTAATAATGTAAATTAGCTACCAGAGAGAGATTTAAGTGCTGATGCTTCAAGCATCAACCCTTTAACTCCCAGGATTTCATGAGTAATTCTCCTTACTGTCTGCCATACAATTTATGTGATGATAGTTTGGAGAATATGGAATTGGATCAACCAATAATCCCCTAATTGATATTTTTCTTTATTCTCATTACTTGTCTGCTTGATATCATACTGATAATGTAAGGAGAAATTCTGTCTAGGTCACTGGTGGGACTTAAAGGGTTAATCTTTCCTCAGAGCATGCCAGAGTGTCAGAAAAAGAAACCCTTTCCTCCGATCAAGGGCTAATCCTTAGAAACCATTTAATGTGGCTAATTTACACTATATATCCATAATTTTGGATCTCTTGATAAAACACTGCTTTGCCAATTGTGATAATTTTGGTTCCATGACATTTAACCCTTTAACTCCCACGATCTCATCAGTAATTCTCCTTACTGTCTACCATACAGTTCTTGTGATGTTAGTTTGGAGAATTTGGGACTGGATCAACTTATAATCCCCTAATTGATATTTTTCTTTATTCTCATCACTTGTCTGCTTGATATTGTATTGATATTGTAAGGAGAAATTCTGTCTTGGTCACTCATGGGAGGTAAAGGGTTAATGAAAAAGGGCACACTTTGATCCCTTGACTGTGATATGTTTTAAGGAATTCTCAAGTAGGATATGAATGAGTCATAGATCAGAAGTGATTATTCCTTAACTCTTACAACTGTACTTTAATTACCTTTTCCTTTCCTTCTGCCCAATCTGAGTGACCTGTTCATTGCCAAAATTCCATAGAACTGTTCTTTTCCTGGATGAAATCAAAAGCGCTTCCCATGAATATGACAACTGAACAATGGGAGATGCTTCTTGGAACATCATGGCTGTCTGGGTCAAACTCTGGAGATGAGGGAAAAAATAATTTGTTAAATCCAAACAAAGATACCCACAACACCCCTAAGAGTAACTTAATATCCCACAGAACCCACATATAAAAATATTACTAACAATAACTCTACGAGTCTGGTCACCATATAGACCAGGCAGATAAGAACCAAAAGAGTGAGTCACAAGTTTGACAGCCAACTTCACAATTTATCAATTATTTTCTCCCACACAGTCTCTGTGGCAAGTAAATATGCCAGATGCCAGTCTCTTGCTTACCAAAGCTTCCACTGATGCTCTGACAAAGGGCTAAGATTCAAAGCACTAGCTTTGAAACTCTTAACAGTGGCCAACTTACGTTTACCAAATTACTTTGTTCCACTGACTTTACCTTAAAATATCTGATAATCATTACCTTTTGGAAGTTGGTAACTGTAACAAAAACTGTGCCCAATGCATCTCCAGTGTAGAGCAGCTCACCATCAGGGGACCACTCCAAACAGGCCACTGGACTGTTATGGGCTCCACTCACATGCAGTGTCTGAGGCTGTGTGGGAACATAGAAGTATAAATTCACACAGAAAGTGTATACGTTCTGTCACACATTGCATTACCAGCCTTAATTGGGCATGCTGGGAATGTTTTCATGTGCTAGTGGTGTATACATATTCTTGTTTCACCTTGAAAGTTTGCTGAAATATTAAACATGGTTACACTGCTGGAAATGGCCTCATCTTCAATAATCTTAACCTCATCTAAGGGATGAGACTAATGGACCAGAACAGTATAGAATAAAAAATCATTGGAAACAAACCATCATTTTCAATTGGGGAACCAAATTAAAGGCTAAGCACCCCAATCCAATGAAATACAAGGGGTTGGTTTTTGACTAACCTGGCAAGAGGCCAAGTTTGGTTTTGTTTTTTAAAATCATAAAATTACCTTTCCAAACCCTTGTGATGCCAGAACAAATGTGAAAATTGTCACTAAACCACTGTTGAATCCCACAGCTGTGTAACTGTGTGTAGGTAAGAGCTTTGTACATCTGGCTGGTTCATGAGTGACCTGAAAAGTTACAATAGATTGAAATGTCCAATAGAGATCCTTTGTGTAATCACAGAAGGAGACATGGTTGCCAGGTGGTCACAACACTGGACTAAGCATTGAAATGTCCAGGTTCCACCTGAGTAATTATGTTGCATTCCTGTGTATGTCATTCATGGATAGCTGCAAATTGTCATTCAAACCTGGTGCACTGAATTTGAGGGGGTAATCTTGCCATGGACTGGCATTTTAACCAGGAAGGAGTTGGTAACCTTAGTCACTTCAGGCTGTTAGAATTGAAATAAGTTCTGAGAGAATTGGTTCTCTGACTTGTAGATAATATTATTTTTATTATCATTATTATATAATAATAATTATTAAACATGCGTCGGAAACATTATGCCCTTACCAAAAACAGCTACTTCACACTCCACAAGAGAGACTTATCTAACTACTTGGATTTATTACCCTTTCAAACATCCTGTGTCAGGACTTTGCCAATGACTCCTTTCAATATAAAGGTGTTTCAATTGTAACCCTTGAAGTCCAAAACCATCTACTTCAAAAAAAAAAATTCTAACTTCTTAAAAATAACTCAGAAACCACCAAACACCATTTTGGCTATTTTTGCTTTAAGGGGCATAATGTCAGACAACCACCTTACCCTCAACCACTTTAAAAATATCATCAGCTCCCAATATACATGAACAATTGTTGCCTCATTTAGTCATGGACCCCTGGGCCTTGAAGAATTATATTATTTAATTTATTTATAGTCATAAATTATTCTAAGAGTGAGATGTTTGTTAAATGTGTGAACCATTTGATCTCAAAGAAAGACTAACATCTAATTTCTCCTTACAAAATCCCTCCTAAATCGAACATTACGGTTACCAGAATAAAGGAAAGGATCACCAAGTAATGAAGTAAACAATTTCTCCTTGTCAGTACCAGTATTGTGAATATTTATACTAATGTTAGGGTATAAAGGGACACTGGTACTGAAATAGCTCTTAAAAACAAAACAAAATACTAAACCAACCTCAGATGGCAGCCTTGAAAGCTTCTTACAAGTTCGATCAAACAAGAAGATGACTCCTATATTTGTACCAAGCACAATAGCATCAAATGATACATCCACACATGTGTACTCAATTGGAATTGACTTGGTATTCTCCTGCACTCTCTCTTTCAATGTATTAAACAGATTTTTCACACCATGTTCTCTTGTTTTGTCCCACACATGGCCAACCAAATTCTTGGGACCAAACTGCGCCTTGTGAGGAAGGGAATCTAGCAGGTCACTCAGTGGTTCTAATTCTGCCAGAACAGTGTCTCGTCCAATAATGAAATCTGCCACAAAAATAACAACAAAAGAATTGATTTTGTGCAGGAAAAATAATGCAACTTTACAGACATCTCTGTATGAAGAAAAGCTAAGTCTAAAGCAGCCTTGTGGCTCTATGCCACTTTCATTAACATGAAAGCAGTTAGAGTTCTGATAACCCTCCTAAATGGGAGATTGCTCACCCATTACAGGTTATCCCCAGCTTTCTTGAAAGTTTGGTAGTATCCACTTACACTCCTAACCCAGGTTGTTCAAAGCTGGGTTAAGATAATGCAGGGTTAGTGTGAAATTTGATTTCAAGTCTAAAAGCTTAAGAAGAAAATTCAGTTCAAATATTTTTGCTTGCAATTTGATCATTGGATGTTCTAAAAAGAATGAAAAAACATTTTCACTTAAAGGCTTTTGAACAAAGAAATCAGGCAACCTAGATTGAAATTTAACCCTAGGTTAATGCTAATCAGCCTTCAAACAACTGGAACCTGGGTGATGAGAGGAACAGTGTGAGTTTAAGTGCCACAACAAAGTGAAGGATAGCGCTCACTTATTATGAGGCCCCATCATGTCCTCCACTTTGACAGCAAATTTCACTTACTTAAAAACAGTTTTTTCTAAAGTTCCAATCCAATTTGCAGCACTAGGGATTAGCTTAATTCTGATTGAGAATACTTTTCAAATCTGCTTTGATTTATTTCTTTGTGATTTCTAACAAACCGATAGATTTTTCTTTGAAATTGCTTAGTTGTAATTGATATTATCAAGTTAAACAAAATAGTTGAGACCAAATCCAGAAAGAAAGAGACCTGAGAGAAATAAAATATGGACCTGACCATAAAGTTACCAAGAGTAAAATAACTCATATTCTAAGGTGCACAGACTGACGTAACCGACAAAACGTCTACTGGTAATTGTTGATTTTTTATAGGAGATAACAGTATAAATAAGTCTGGGCTGTCCTAAAAACTTTATGGTCATCAAGCGGTCCAGTTTACTTCTTGATGGTTTGGTAGAAATGCAATCGATGCCAGTAGAGTGAAACAAAAATACCTTTGCCTGGCGATGTCTTTCCATGGAAGTCTGACTTTATCATTGCGCCGGAGGAAGTATTATTTTATCAACCACTACTCAAACGGTGCGCACAACAACCATTCGCTTTTGTCAAACATAATTAAATTAGAGATTATTCTTAAGTAAGTGTAGTTTTAGTGCAAAGGAAAGTAAAAAATCTTTAGAAAGTGAAAAGTGGGTATAGAACAGTAAAAACTCCGTTGCGCTAAAAAAAACCGGGTCCAAATCAAACTAAATGATTATCATGATTGGGCATTCACCAAACATGTTTCCGATGCCTACCTTGTGACTTCTCCATCGCTTAAATGCAACCTATCCCATAATCTATGAAATTTCAGGACCCTATTTTGGTAAAAACGTGAGATTTTTAGTGCATTATTGGCCTAAGATTAATTGCAAAGGCTTGCAACTTTCTAAGTGTTTCTCCTACGCCATGTTTACAAATTACGATCGTTGAGCCCGCGGTGAAAAGCGTTATTCACTCAGAGACAAATCACAATGCACCCATCAAGTCAGGGTAGATGATTTGATAAAGGAATTCTCGATCGGAAGGGCTGGAGATCTGGAGATCCTTCCATAACACGTATTTCACTATATTTACCGTGTTACAAATGGTTTTACACATTCAATAAAAAATCAGATGAAAGGCTGCATGCAAGAGAAATGTTTTCGTTTAAAAATTGCGTGACAATCTATACTTGGACATGATCAATGGCGTGTTCAGAACGCCCCATCACATGACTCGAGCACTTCTGGTGATGCGTATCATTGAACATGAAAATTTAATTACTTTTCTTTGTTTTTATCCGGTAGACAGAGAAATATTGTTGGAATTATAATTAAGGTTGTTTCGATTCTTGCTAATTATGCCAACTTACACTTCTGCCCAACCAGAGCTGTTCACAAATCCTCCGGAAAAGTCGAGCTCCGCGCAAAAGAAGGGACAACTCACTGATGAGCAAGTTCAGCAGTATTTCAGCGAGGTAGTATTTAGATACTCCACGTTTTCTGAGACTTGAGCTATGTTGATTTTATCTTTCACGCATCTTGTTTGGGTTAAAAAAGTATCCTACTTTCGTGGTTTCTTTCTGCTGTAGAGTATTATGAATGGGAATTATCATTATTTCTCGTTTTATTTCCTATCACTCCAAATTGAGAGGGAGACACCCTTAGGTTAAACAAGAAGTGTGATATTTGTCTCAATTATGGTATGTTGAATTTCTCTCAAATTATTTCATTTAGATCATCAAATCTGATAAAAAAAACCCAAAATTTGGCTGTAACCCTACCCATCTATTTCCACTGTTTTTTTTTCTCTGATCAGATTGGCCCAACATGTAGGTATATTCACATGTCATTATGTTAATTTTGATAATAAATTTTTTTGTTTTGTGTATCAGGGATTCCTTTTAGTTCCAGAATTCTTTGAAAAGAGTGAATTGGAACCCATCATCACAGCTATATGTGAATTAGTAGATGGCCTGGCAGAAAAACTCTATAGTGCAGGAAAAATAAAGGGTAAAACTGCTGCTTTTACTGTATAGAGTGGCTGATAAAGTTATTTTGGAGAAAACTACAATATCATAAGGAAAGAGAGGAAGGAGGAAGGTGAAGGGGGGGGGGAAGGAAGTAGAGAAGAACCAAGGGTGCTTTAAGAAATCAGAGAATGGGATGCATGTATGTATGTGCATATATGAATATTCATTAAGTTGCCATTTTCTAACTTCTGAACATCTCATTTCTTTTATTGAAAAAAAAAACTTCTTTTCATTGGTTTGTTATTTTTGACTTCATATGTAGGCTTATAAATTTAGTGCTAAGATCTTAATATGAATTCTCAACACTGTATCTGTCAAAGCATATTTCTGAGGATTTTTAACCAATGAATGTAGTGTTTAATAAACCCTTTTACTCCCAGAAGTGATTAACATGTAACTTCTCCTTATAGTATTTGTACATCATGTAGAAAACAGATAATGAGAATACTCAAACTTATCCATCAAGATATTATCTTGATTGAACACCAAATTCTTGTTACCAATTTACAAGGAAATGTGTAGCAGCTACAGGGGAGAATTAACTATCAGATCTTGGGAGTTAAAGGGTTAACTGATAAACCTTCATTGCCTTTTATTGTTCTTGACCTCAAGGGTCTTAATATCATTTAATAGCAAATGAATTTTATTTTCCTTGAAATTCAGATAAGTACAAGAATGCCACATTTTTTGATAGACTGATATTAATTGAGAAGGAGTTCCCAGGGGCAGCAGTTCTGCTACATAAGAATGGAATTATGCCAAAAGTAAGTAAATATGTAGGGTAATTAGGCATTATCAACTGAGATGATAACATAAATTGGCTGTAATAAAAAGTTTCTAAACTGATGTTTTAAGCAATGGCCCTAATAGTCACAGCGTTAGCCCGTAGTCAGGGTGATTGATGAAGGGCTAACGCTCGAAACATCAGCTTTGAAACTCTTTATGGTGGCCAATTTACATCATCAACTCAGTTCATAATACTTAATTACCCTAATATACTCTCCCACCGACATAGCACCACAATTTCTTAAGAAACTATTACCCCTTTTATTGGGAAATATATATAAACATATATATATATATATGTAAATGAATTTGGGGGTAGAGTCTACCTTGGCATAAAGTGCTCAATGCTGTGGTAGCAGAGCTTAGTATACATAAGTTACAGAAAAGTTCTGTCTGACGAGTGCTTAGGCACAAAACTCAGAGTTACAGGGAATTGATGCTTCCTCTTTAATACTTTAACTTATGTATATATAAATATATATATATATATATATATATATATATATATATATACCTAAAACAAATAAAATGATCTTTACTAGAAACATCATTTCGGTGATTGATGAGTTGAATGAAATGTTCATACTTTAGGCTTTTCAAGACTTATGGATGAATGAAAGACTGCTGAATGTCATAGAACAGTTTATTGGACCAGAAATTGGTGGTCACCCTGTTTGGAACTTAAGGACAAAGGTACAACCAATGGAAAGTCATAGCTTGTGGCTTTTTTCCATCTTGTATAATTATTTATTTGACATTCTTCCACTTAATGTGTAAATAGTGTGTGCTATGATCATCAGTGCACTGTATGTCCCACCATTGCAAAGTTGGTGAGAAATTCTGGCATCATTATTTTTCTCTAAGGAGCCTGTAGCTTATCATAGGCATGTGTTTTTCAGACTCCTAAAAACTCCCAAGTAACAGTTCCATGGCATCAAGGTGAGGAGATGTCTGCAGGTTAAAGGGTAACACCTATTTTCATTGACAACTGCATTAAAAACCTGTAATTGTTATGTTTCTTGAGATAATTATTTCTTTTCTGGGAGATCATCATCCCAAATTTCAGTTTCAGAGGTTTGCTACAATTTCTTATTCAATGTGGTAACAGCAGCTTGAGGTGACTAATTTTCAAAATGTCTGCAGATTCTGCTTACCTGACATCAGCAGCCTGTGAAGTTCTTCAACCCACAGCATGGATTCCACTGTTAGATACCAACAGGACAAATGGTTGTATGCAGGTATCATGGGTATTAAATTAGCTATGTTAATGTAACTATGTTGTTCGAAGGCTGCATAATACTGTCCACTGAATAAATCTCTATAATAAGTGCAGTGAAACATATCTGCCAGATATAAGTGTTTTATCTTCTCTCTTCAAACAACTGGGTCCTTTTAATCATGTGGTGTTACTTTTTGAGGGGCAGAGCGGTCCTGAATAAGGCTGTTGTTGGGATATGTAACAACATTTTAACAATCCTAGGAGAAGTCATCACTTAAAAAGCACTTCTGTTTAGGTTACTTGGCTCCCCACACACTGTTATCAACTGTTAACCTTATACTCCCAAGATCTGATTCTTCATTCTCACCTCTGGTTGCAACACATTTCCTTGTAATTTTGTTATGAGAATTTGGTGTGCGATCAAGACAACAACTTCTACCTGATAAGTTTGAATATTCTCATTACCCATTTGCTGGATAGTCTATATATATATATATATATATACTATATGGAGAAGTTACATGTTAATCACTTTTAAGAGTTAAAGGTGGGGTTAATGATATATAATATAACATTCCTGTGACAAAACATGTTAATTAATTGTAATGTGATGGAGGGGAGACAAACTCGGTGGGTCTGTTTTTGTAAGAGCGATTGACGAAACTAGAAGACCACAGTGTGGGAGTCGTTTTATTGTTAATCACGGTTACTCATAAAACCTTATACTGATATTTGTCCTTTTTATCACAGCAGTTAACCACTATGATAATAACAAAGTAATAAACACCAGTATTACATTTTGTCAAAGGTAGCACGTGGAGGTCATAGAAAAGGTATCTTAGCAACGCACACATGTTGTGCAGGAGGTACATGGTACGTGGACCTTGCAGAAGAAGAAATGAGAAATACTCTAGGTAAAGGTGGAACTGAGTTGCTGGGTAATGAAAAAAGTCAAAGAGGGACTGGACATGAGAGAGACCGAGTCCTTCTCTACCTTTCTATCCTTGTCTTCCATTCTCAAAACTGACAGCATCAAACCCACCCCCCCCCCACCCCCCTTACCCATATCTTAAAAGCCCATTGAAAGTTTAATATTCTGACACAGCTTTGTAAGAAGTCAGGACTTCAGAACCACTACCTATACCTATATCAAAAGGCTCTTTAAGGGGTTTTTAAGCTTATTTCTCTCCTCTTGTGTTCTGTAGATGTGGACTTTGAAAAAGACATCGTTCTTTGTGAAGTTCCATTTGGTGGTGTTTTGTTTATCAACAATCTAGTTCCTCACAGGAGGTTCGTGCTTCTTTTTCCTTCTTTTTCCCCTGCTATAAATTTTCCGACACGCTGTTACCAAATTTTAAGGGAGTTAGGTGTAAAGGTAATATTGATTTTCTCTGATCTCTGTTCCGCGCGGCGCGCAAACATAATTTTTTTTTTCACATTTTTTTTGTGACCCGCGCGATCGACCTTGCTAAAACAAGGACTGCTCGAAGTCTATGGAAATCCAGCAGGCGTGAGATTCGAGTTAGCATGGATTCGAGCTGTCTGAGTCGATTCCACCCAAGGACCTCTACTTTCATTCAAGACATTTTCCCTTTCTTGATGACAATATTGTCAGTAATGTATTGTTTCCTCCAAGAACTTTGTGATTTTAAATATCACATCAGTTTTGACTGGTATCTGTTTCTTTTTTCCCGTACATTTTACAGTAACGTTATTTTTGGCTATTTCAGTTTAGAAAACATCTCAGACAAAATTCGTTGGAGTTTGGACCTCAGATGGCAAAGACCTGACAAGCCGAATGGCTTTTATGGACTCAAGGTATATTGGCAATGTCAAGATGGAGACCTTGTAGCTCACGTTGTAAAGAAAAATACAGAGCGACAGACGAGGCCATAAAACTTCGAAGATTTATACAAATGAAAACATTGTCGTAGAGTTTTAGCCAAGCCCGCTAACAGTTGCTTTAAAAGGCAGTTTTAGCCAATCACTACAGGGGAATTATAACATTTCTTACAGAGGCCTTAGTAGGGGTTATCGGGATACGGGTTCTTTGGATTAAAAACTATAGGGATACGGGATGCTTGAGGAAAAAAATTAAAATGGGGTACGAGATATTTAAAATAGAGATTCAGGGATGTCGAACTGATATTATAGGGATACAACCCACAGGAATTAACGGAATACGGGATATTTAGGGCAAAATGGATAGGATACGGAACACTCATGCAGTCGCCTCTCCTACAAATGCCGCCTCACTTTAGAACCTCATCAGTACACTTTTGTTCTAGAAATTATCTTCTCTTGAACTCAGTATGTTCCTTATGTTATTGTTGTTGTTGGTTTTTTTTTTTTTTTTACAACCAACTCTTCCAATCATTCTTCTTGTCTCTGGTCTAGTACTGTACGCTGACTTTTGCTTTCAAATGTAATATCAATCTCTTGCTTGTAGGAAAACATACTTCTGCGTACCTCAAAGGACCCAAACTACACGGTGGACTGGACCGAGTTTGCGTCTTGTGACAGGACTGAGTTACAACGAGGTCATCAGGACGTGAAAACGAAATTTGAAAAGGTATAGCGATCACATTAACAACCAAAAAAAGTGGGTGTATGTTTTTTTTTACTTTGTAAAACACCGAGGTAGTAGGGCGTGGAGCCCGTCAGGGTGCTACACGCGTGAATATTCCTTTCTTTTCCTCCCTCGAGGGCATAGGGAACGACATCGGTTGAATCATTTCAACATTTCATAGGACGTGATATCACTTCCTCTCTCGTTCAAGCTCTCTCTAGTTAATTTAGTAATGGCGAACGGATTTCGTAGGGAGAATTCGTAATTCAAAATAAAAGCAAAGATCGCCATCGTTATCTTACCATGTTGCCTTTCTTTCGTCACATTTCATCGATTTTTTAAATATTTTTCAATATTTTTATTTCTCAATCGATGTAGTGATTCATAGCCTTTTATCGTTATTTTATATTTCTTATTTTGCAGGAAGAAATCAAATTGAAACCCGAGGAAGATCCTGAATTTGACACAACTATTATTGGTCCCTGGATGGGCCAGTGGGAGATAGTGCATCATAACAAACACACTATTAAATACAAGGACCCGGGAGATAACGAAGAATCATGGTCCAATTATCAATCAACATGGACCAAAGCATAAGTTAATACCATCAATGGATGGATCACAGTTATAACATAATTGATTAAGCAACTTCCCATCAAAGTCCCTAAATCAAGATTTGATCCTATAATGAAGTAATATTCCAGATCAATTTCAAATAGAGATGAATTTTGAGGCGAAACGAAATTCCCATTATTTGAAAAACGGCTGATATTGAGAAAATCACAACACGAAATTACTGTTACGTAGATGATAAAATTGTCTTTTCAGAGAAGCAGTTCGATGGAAGAATGAAAGAAAATGGAGAGCCTTGTCTCCTTTTCAATGTCAAATCGAACGATTTTAGTGATGAAATCAATCTAAAAAGATACAAATAAAGTCGAATATTTTCTAGCTAACCTGTGAAAGAAATCAGAAAGAAAACTGGCAGGTGTAGGTCTATAAATTATGGAATTAAAGTAATAAGTTAAAATGTTGTTTTTCTATTATCATTATTATTATATAACTTAAACATTATTATTATTATTATTATTAATAATATCAATTATTAATAATATTAGTATTACTATTATCATTATTATTATATAACTTAAACATTTAGTGAGAGTCATGTTTCCTTACGCTCGTGTTTTTGAGGTGACTCATGGCTCTGAAATGAAGGAAACGTTTTTCCAGCGTGAAGAACAAGTAAATAACAAAAAGATGTGGAATTCGTCTCATCAAGAGCGTAGAACGAAGAGAAAATTTGAGTTCTAGTAAGGAATCGAACTCCTCACGTTCATATTCTGTGCTCCATCAAGGATCTGCTGAGAGTAGAAATGTGGTCAACCAACTCGTGTCCCCGAATGAAAAAAATTGAGTGTTCACTCTAAATCATTTAGGCGAAGCAGTCTTTTCTTGAGAGCGCTTTGATGTCAGTAAAAAATATTTGAGGGCCAGTAGACCTTCGCCTATAGGAATGGCAGTATTAGGAAATATAATAATGTCCGTATTGAAAAAAAGTTTGTCTTGCCTCAAAAAATTGAAATCCTGAAAAATTTCGAGTGCGTATTCAGGGGTGTCTTCAATGTTTTAACGGTGAAGATTTGATGAAAGGTGCAAAAAGATTGTAACTTGTTCCTCGTGTGACTCTTTTCTCAGCGGCTCATATAAGTACTTTTGTCTTAAAACATGTCAGGGATGCCAAAGCACTCGGTACGAAAAGGAACATTTGTCTTGTTACAGTTGTGCAAAGTAGAAAACGAACGAACAAAACGAAGACTTACTAAGTTCTCGGGTAAAGGGGCGTGTACTCGCATCTTTGTGCGCGCTATCGTTTTTAAGACATCTGTAAGTGTACTAGGCTTTGAGGTCACTTTAATCGAGATGTTAAAACCAGGAAGCTACTTTACATCCATACTCAAGTGTTATATAGGTTCGCATTCTAGTTTATCGGGCACATGGAATGTGCGACATGCAATTTGCTTGGTTCTGCCCGCTCAAGCTATCGAGCGATTTGATCCATTTTCGCGTCGTAGAAGAGTGTTGATTTGCATTTTACCTTTCCTTAAAGACTAATTGAAAGGCACTTTTTCTTAGGATGCAATTCGAAGTTATCTGGTCTGAGGTGAACGTTTAGCAGCAGTAGAAGTACACCACTATCGACTCGGACGGTCCAGAGACGAACACAGAAACTTTCAGCAATCTCGAGGAATATGAAGAATAAAATGTTCTCGTAAAGGATCACGAGACGCTCTCAACAAATCACCCAGCGAGAATTGTTTCCAGCTCAAAAACCTTCCAGTTGGGTGAGCATTTACGTTTGCGCACTGCGGCCCAGTGCTCCTAGTGCCATGCCAATCCTTTCGAAAGGGCCGCAACGTGGAATGGAGAACCGATGGAATATCGCCAGATAAACAGGGCAATCGATATGGCAGATGGCGAATATGGACGGAAGTCCAAGTTCCCCACTGTTTAGTATGTCGACTCTATTAAAAGCCGTAACACAACGAGCCACAGTATGTTAGAAGGAGGAGACCTTATCGGCTTCATGGCCTTTAATGGTGCCCAAAACTGACATATTGATATTGATATTGATAGATATCCACTACATTCCAAAGCTCAAGATTCCTTTGGAAAACAACAAAGTATCTTTGATCCAAACTCCTTCAAAATGACGAAAAATTAATTGATAAACAACCTTTCAACACTATACTATTGAACAAGTGCAAGAAGACAAAACCATCAGCCAACCATCTCACGATCTCTGAAATTCCCTGAGTCAGACACAGCTGCACTGGTTATTTTTTTTTTCAATTCTGTCCACATATAAACATCAATCCAGAATTATTTTTATAATTATTATGATGCCAAAGACACCACATATCCGGTAAATTTGTTTGACAACACTTACAGGCTCAAATATTATTCCCACATTTGAGTAGTAAAAGTTAAACCATAGGCATGCCACTACAACAAGGAGACTGATGATAAAAAACTGATCAAACTTCCAACGGCTCATGTTGCAATTGTCAAAATTGGAAACTATAGCCAGAGGCTTCATTTTGAACTCATCTAACAGTTGCATTGCTGCAGTACGCTCTTCAACTCCATAGGGCTCCAATATATTGATATGTTTCATGAAATAGTGCTCTAAATGTCCTTGAAAAATATGTTGTCTGTATGTTGAAATGATATGGAGTAAAAGTCCTCCTAATGTTTTGTTATTGTCAATTGTAAACATATCATAGGGAAGTTTTTTACTTTGCTCTGCAATCCACAAGATAACTGTCTTCAAATGATAGGATTTTAAAGCAGGGTAATTTCTCTTTTTTACATGGCTAAATTGCTTTACTGCAAATTTGATAATTGCATAACACAGTTTCAAGGCTGCCTTGTCAGAATGATACTCAAAGAGTTCAGACTCAGCCTGTGCAAATGTAATTCGCCAATCAAAGTCATGGCATAAGTGATTCCCTGCACAATGCTTGTGAACCACATAGCATCCCCCAGTTCTGATTCTGTCAAGCAGCTGCAGTGGGAAAGTGTCCTCCACTCGCCAGCACCAATCGTAAAATACTGCAGCAGAGTCATGGATCTTGACTGCAAAGACAACATCACAGTCAAACCTAAACTTTCCCCGAGGGCCATCCAAAATTGTTTTGAATGTTATTGCTGGATAATTAAATTCAATATTCCCATCCAAAAATTCTGTTCCAATTTTCTGTGAAACCAGTCTTCCAGAAAGAAAAGATTGTTTTCCTCCTTTCACAATACAATCCTTCAAAAATGCATCTTCAATAAATCCATCAATGACAACTTGGCAATAACCTGGCATTGTGGGAATTAACTGGTCCATGCTGATATGTAATGGCTTATAGAACACATTCACATCCACGTCTTGCACAATTATTGGATTTGACCATGGGAGTATCCCAGAATTTAAGTTCAGCAAAGGGAAAAATCCAAATCCATGATCTGCAGAGCTTCCAACCAGTCTATATTGCCATTTCCAAGTATCTTTAGGCAACAGTGATGCTATATACTCCCTTGGCATTCTGCAAAAATCTAAATATCTCGAAGTCTTTTTCATATGCCAATTAAGTAACCAATGCCCACCAAAATAACGAAAGAAACCAAATAACAATGCAGGAGTGACAAGTAGAATTGGTGTGCAAATAGCTATTACTAAATAAAGATTTACTCCTTCAAAGATGGGAAAGAATTGATCATAGGCAATCACTGCAGTCATAGGACCAACCAGGAAGATATGCAAGTACTTGGCAATGTCTAAAAATGATGGTGTATGCACTGCTGACATGTGCAGACCAGATACAATATCTGTAAATCCTCTGAAAATATGAGCAACTGCTTCTTCAAACATGATGTCTCTAAGCAGATAAAGAACACACTATGATTATCATTTATAGATTGCAATATATTGGATTGTGATGAATGGAATAATCTTCCCAGAAATGAGGTAGAATTTGACGTGGAGAAGAAAAAGAAGCTTAGCAATCAACACTGATCAGCTGTTGTCAGCAGACCTTCATTCACTCTAGAAAACCCTAAATGGTCCCCTTTTTAGCTTGTTCTGCCTGATTTGAGCTGAATTTACAATGAGCCTATGTGAACAAGTGCATTCATTTAAGGGGCTAAAAGACTGAGAGGAGAGTAGTGGTGGTAATGGTCATGGTGAGGGGAGAGGGGGAGGGGGCAGTGTTTAACCTTTTGAAAGAGTATGCTTAATGCTCAAATCATGGTGAAGTCCTCGAGCCCTTGTCCTCTCATATTCATCATTGTCCAGAGGCAATATATTACATAAAAGTGAGTTAAAATTTTCGCACAGCCCCATACTATTGTAAAACAAATCTGTTTTCCCAATGGCAATGTATTGTTTTTGTCATTGTTTTCTCTATCCAAGAACTGAAAGCATAATGTAGTATGGGGCTGTGCGGAAATTTTACCAAAACTGGTTGTGAATGGCAAACCACTCCAACCTGTTCCTCAAGGCGCTTTCTCTATATTTAATATTCATAAATTAGTCATAGAAACACTGAAAACGAGTTGAACTAATTCCAAGTATTCTAAATATTTTTACCTAGCGTAACAAAAGAAACATTTAGTAATCGAACTCAATCGATTGATTTCGATCGAAAATTCTTTGATTTTTGTTCGATTAGGCACTCCAAGAGATTTTCCGAATCAAGAGTTCTTTTGCTTACGGCGTTGACCCGAGAAACACTCAGCACTATCCTAACTCTCCAGAAACGGATGCTAATCAGCTTAAATTTACCTTAGGTTAGCATTTGTGACTCACTGAGATGGCTAAAAGTGCTGTTTTGACAACAGATTTTCTTTTCAGTTTCCCGAACGCTCTTCGCCAGTTCAACATAACGTGAAGTAAACTTCATGTAACGATCATGAAAACTAAGTCTTTTGAAGAGTCTCTTAAGAAAAAGTTTATCAAACAAAACTATAACCAAAAAAAGCCAAAGAGGAAACAATACAAAAAAATAAGAATTTTGGATATTTCTGTCTCTTTTAGGTCTTCTTCAGCCCGCACATTTGATCAGATGTAACTTATGTTTTGCTTCTTCGATCTCTAACTGCTTTTGTTTTAGCACAAAAACAAGCATCCTAATTAATTCAGTTCTAAAGGGTCATATTTAATCGAATTTGTGCATGCAACTTAAGATATCGGTATTGTGACGTCCGTAGCTTTAAGGTGTACATGCATTTAATATGTTATTTGTTACAGTTGTTATAAAAACATCCCGTGGAATTTTCAGAGATTTCGTCAAAGAAACAAAGGAACAACACATAGCCTTTTTATGCTCTGATGAACCTGAATGGGTTCCCAGAGGTTCCCAGAGGGACTCCTTACGTAAACGTTGTTATAAATCACGCAAACTGAGCTTGAGATCTAAAGAAACACGCTATTGTGTGTTTCAGAGCGGAATACGTGCTTTTTGCCGTTGTTGTTGTTTTTCTTTCTACGTTCGCTTAAGCACCATAGTTGCGTCTTAAATATTTATTTGATGCGCCGAATCAACCGTAGGATGACTAAAATTGCTGATGAGTTTGTTTAACCAAACAGTGAACTTAACAGATAAGAGGTCAAATTATTCTTATGAAATTTACGTTTGATCTTTGACTTCGTCTTCATTTCAAAACTTCTCACAAACATAGACCAAACAGGCTTGTTAGCAAGAGTTCCTGCTAGAAATAATTGCGTGAGATGTTACTATTTGTGAAAGAAACCTCACGCAATCTTGCTAATTAATAACCCCGTCAGGAAACATAGATTACTTTTTTCGAAAAAGTCATGCCTTCAGGTAAACTAAGATTTAGTATTAGAGATGTATATTTTTCTTGGGTAGTCATACGGAATTTAATAATGCTCTTAAAATCATAGAGGTTCGATTTTCAAGCTCGTGTACTCTCAAATAATTGAATCAACAAAGTCATAGTAATAAGTTAATTGCCAGTGGATGAGAGCGGTCTTAGCCAATAGGAAAGTGACAATAGCTTGAGGATGAAATTGACACGCACGTCAGAGGAAGAAGCCGCATAATTTCACATCAAGTTGGATGCACTTTTTCTTTTCTCTTCGTAAGATGTGTTTATAGAGAGGAATACTTAAGCTTTCATCGATGACGGACACAAAACATAGCCGTGGACATTCTAGGAAGTTAAAAGTCGGAGTTGGCGGAAAGCCAGTGGTGGGTTTAGTTGTTGTTCAATCACTTACGATCTCTTTGACGATGCGTTCCATTTTGACAACTAGACTAAATTTAGAGTGAACGCTATATTCGTTGTTATTCTTTTCACAGCAAAGCTGGCAAAATGAAGTCGAAATGCAACCTACTAGTTCCTTGGGAAGGGCAACAGCTGCCCAGAATACAGATTCGTTGCAAGAAAATGGTCCGAGTCGCCATCCCGTCGCTCAGGGAACGCAACAAGCGTTTCCTGCCACTATCCCGCGCGGAAAAAAAGAAGCAACCACATTCCCAGCATTTCACTCAAAGAACGCTCCGGTCAAAGTATCCGTAACTGGAGAATGGGCTCTGAAGGAATGCGAGGTCCTTAACCATTACTTTATTATTACTTCATTTAAATTGCATAAACGGGCGTTGTGATTTCATTTAAAACATTCTGTTATTTGCAGTTACCGAAGTTCAGATTCCCTTGAATTCACTGAGTTTATTCAAGCCATCCGAGCCTTTGTGTTTTAATGCCCTAATTTTAATACTGTACTTAGACTGTCGAGCTTTTTAGCGTATTAAGTGTATAAATGTTGATTTTAGATTACCGGTGTCTGGTATTAGCAATGAAGGAATATTTATGCATTTTGATCTGCAGGAACACACATTCTGGGCTAACAATTTGTTGAAGAGAGGAAAGAGGAGACTTATTTCCGACATCCGTCGTTCGATTGGCGATGGCCAAACTTTGGTTTATGTTTTGGAAACCTTAGGTAAGATTTAAGCATCGCTATTTGATATTGATATTATACAATACTTAGTAGCTTGTAATGTGTATGACTGTTTGACTGTTTTACTCTTACAAACAAACAAAGCGAATATCGCCCCTCTTCTATTGTTGATGTCTGCGGTCCATGTTTCCGCTTAGGGAACGAAGCGTCACATGAAATAATTTTTCCCGTATTTCCGTATCAAGAAAGCTTTCTCTACACCTTTTTTTGTTTATGTCGTCGAAGGTTAATATATGTGGTTTTTGGCCAAATATGAAAGAAAGTGGCTCTCAAATCTGACTGGGGAGATTACGGATTGATGAAATCACTCAAACCATGGCGTTACCATCTCCTGATTAGATCTCGTTTACATATAACCTAGTCACTCCAACACGCCGGTAGTCCGACAGGAAATGAGAACATTAAATCAAAATAAAGGTTTTCATCCCTTAAAAATGATATACTAGTAACTTCTCTCTTCAAAATCCACCATTATTTAGGAAAAAGTTGACGAGAAAATGTCTTAAAGTGTCGAACAACTCCCTTTCATCTTGAAAGCGCCATGTAACAGCAAATTATCTCATAAACTAATTCATAATGAAAATATATTGTAGCAAGAAGAGGGGATTACCATTCAGATTTTGACAGTTGAAGTGTAAAGAAACAGTAGGTTTTATTTAACTACGACCCGCTTAAGTGATGATGGTATTTCCCATTTCTGGCAAGTCAAATTTGGTCTGCTTTATGTTGCAAACTCCCAACCATTCGTTCATTTTGTGTGGTATATTTACTAGTACAATGATGTTTCCTTGTTGATGGTTTCACAATTCTCATTACAATGTTGCTATTTTAATGAAAATTATGATGCTTCTCACTCAATCTAAAGGATAAATTTATCACAATTATTGTCACTCAAAGAGGTTTTAATATCAATAATTCCACTTGTTATTAATATGCAAATATGGATAGCTATTGTTCAAAAATAATTCAAAGAATGTGCCAGTCCTTTGTCTTTTATTACATTCACTTATTAGCTTGACACCAAATAAGCAAAATCAAAAACTAATATATTTAGTGATGATTAATTTCTTCTACCAGTGAAACCAGAGTGAACTGATTTTGCTGTGAAATATCACATTGCTATCCTGATGTATTTCAAATTTTGGGAAGCCTTATATGTAGGCATCTACATGTAGTAAATGTGCTTGGTTTAGTCCTGAAATTGTTATGGAGTGTGTTACTGTCAACTCATCAACCCAATGGTATTGTCTGCAAACACTTAAACAATCACTGTATTTCTCATCAACTAATTCTGGCATTATACAAATTCATTGGAGTATGCCATATTTGTCAAATTCACATTGGTATTACTTTTGTCTATCAAATGGTGCATCAGGACCTCTTATTGCAGTGAAGAAATGGTTTTCAGTGTAGCTGGTGATGGGTTTTTGAAACTGCTTTGATCATGTGAAAATGCTGAAATGGCAGAAACGAAGAAGTAAATGTGTTATGTTTTTCATGTTGATGTTAGTGATATTGGAATCTTTGGTTTATCTAATCCATGTTTGTTGACATGTTACTGTACCAAGTGTTGGGAAAAGATTTGCTGTTTTTGTCAGTAATCTGTGGTTAATTCAATGTTCTGTCTTGATTTGAGACTTTTTAAACAAAAATACTCTTTTACTAAACATGTTTCTGTGAGTAAAATATGTTTTCTTAGCAGATTTTTTGTTTATGGCAGGTATTCTTGCTTTACTAGATTAAACAAGTTCTCCTTGAACTCTGTCCAGAAGTGAAACCCATACACTTCATGCTGTAACATTAAACACACAGTTTCTTATTACTACAAATGTTAGTAACATGATGTAGTTTGTGGCTTGGGATGTCATTCCCTGGTCAACATGAAATAATTTTTTGTCCTCCACATAGGTGTTTATACTTCAACATCAATATTTGGTAGTAACATGCTCATAGTGAGAGTTAAAACATTCTTGTAAACTGCATTAAACTTTCTCAGGATCAAAGAGAATTATCATTGAACTAAAATCATCAATGGTTGGCTCCCAGGACCTCAAATTTTTGAAAGAAAATTTAAAGTTTGGTCTCTCAATGTAATCCACAGAAAGAGGAATTTTAAAAATTTTTAAATTTTTTCTTTGTGGTTCAGCTGTCCATTGCATGTAGTTTTAAAGTATGTGTACTGATCATCTTTCTGTATTTCAGCTGGTCAGAAGATCCCAGGGGTTTATGCTCGTCCAGTGACCAGGGCACAAAAACTGGAAAATCTACAGCTATGCATGAGTTTCATGGGAAACAGGAATATAAACTTACAGGGAATCTATGTTGGAGGTAAGGAACACTTTCTTGTTGCCATTTTAATTTGCTGTTTTATGAACAGTAAAGGCAACTGCGTTAAAACTTTGTTATTTTTAATTGAGTTCTTGTTGGTTTCCATCCTCGTTATGGCTTTTTTTGGGGGGGGGGGAGGGGGGGTGTTCTTCAATTTTCCTCCTTCTGCAGAAATCAACACTGCATATTCCATTTCAATCTTTAAACAGTGGACTTAGAGCCATCTTGTGGAAGTGCAAATGCTAAAATCCGATTGATGTGTTGTTTATATGAGTATCTTAATAAGAATAAATAGAATTTTGAGGTTTTAGAAAGTATTTCAAACTATAAATGGAAATTATTTTGTATTCAGGTGGAAGCACTTTTACTTTTACTATTTTAATGTAGAAACATTAATGTAGAAAGATTGGGAAATCCTAAATTTATCATTATTTATTCTTACCCTTTATTTGTTTAGATCTTATTGATGGTAATGTGAAATCTGTGCTGAATCTCTGTAGAAATATCAAAGCACAGTTTGAGGTGAGTTTTCCACAGTCAACTGACTCCTAGACATACCCTTTTCTGCTGTGAGTGCCTGTGTTAGGGCAATGTCTGCCTTAAGAAGAGTTGCAATGAAAAACCCGAAGGATCCAAATGGCTGCTAGCTGTGGCTGAATTCAGAGACAGTTCTCTTGGTTTGTGAATGCAAGCAATTAGAGCTTGTGTTGTTATTTATCTTCTTAACCCTTTGAACCCTAAGAGTGACCACCATCTAATTTCTCCTTACAATATCACCCCTGAATCAAACACCAAAGTCATGAGAATAATGGAAATGATCACCAACTAAAGGAGCTCTTGATTATTAAAGAGATTCTCCTTGGCAGCACCTTAGGAAATGTACAGAGAGCAGTATGGAGAATATGCAAACTGATGTTGGGGTATAAAGGGCTGTTAGAGTTGACAGACCAATTAGAAAATGAAATCTCCAGTTGGGAGTGTTGATTTATCACAGCTTGTATGATTGAACTTCTGTTTACTGTAGGGAGGATGGGTGTCTCCTGATGGGCCGCGCCCTGGCTCTTCTGGATCCACCAAGGAGGAAGATTTCCGACTGATGAATGGCACAGCACCTCAACATACTTTGACAAATGGTAATTGTGATATTATTTTTTAAAATCCTTGTGCATATCATGAGTGGGTCTGGGGTAATGAGGATTTCCTTGGTGCATATCTTGCCTATTACCATTCGTTACTAGTTTCAATGAATAATTTGCTATTCAGTTCTGAAAAATTGGAGTTGGATCTAGGTATCATTAGGAATGCCTCTGTTTATTGTATGTAGGTTAATTCCCTGTGACAACCTTTTCATGTTACCTGGGTTTCCATAAGTTTTGTTTGGGTGGCAGGCATTCAGAAATTACTCAGCTTTGGATCTCAATTTTTAATAGATAGGAACTATAAAGCTTGAAACCCAAATTTGTCAATATTTACTGTCATTTCTGATTATCATTGGTTGATGATTAAGTAGCAAGGCAAAACTCTTCACAGAGAGGGGTGAAGTTTCCTTGCTGATGGCTCTTATATGCAACCTGGTTTATGTCATGGGTTATAGATTTAATTCATTTATCAGAGGCTTATATTAAGACTCTCAGATCATTGACAGTATCTGAGCAACTGTTCAACTATCCCCTTCCTTAATCCAATGTTAACCCTCAGTAACTTGTTATCACATGACTGTTGTTGAGCCAGGGGAGGGGTAGGTGCATAGTTGCTCACATAATAACATTGATCCAGACTAGATCCAGATCCAGATTAATCCAATGTTAACCCTCAGTAACTTGTTATCATATGACTGTTGTTGAGCCAAGGGAGGGGTAGGTGCATAGTTGCTCAGATAATAACATTGATCCAGACTTTCTTGTACCTAACATGTTTTGGTGTTTCATTGAAAAAACGTGGAAGGCTTTCAAAATTTCTCAATCCTCTTCAATCCTGAACGGCTAAGAATATATTTTTTCAGGCCTTATTTTCACTACTGCTCAAGTAGTGCACATTACTGCAAGGATCACTTTCATTCACATCTTTATCTGCAGTTCAAATATATGACTTTCATATATTCTTAGCCATTCCTTCATCACTCCATGGGTTTATTTAAAACCAACATAATGACCAGCTCCCAGTTGGCTTGTTAGCTCAGTTGGTAGAGTGCTGCACGGATATTGCAGAGGTCATGGGTTCAAATCCCATACAGGCCTGAATTTTTTTTCAGGTCTTATTTTCACTTCTGCTCAAGTAGTGTGCATTACTTCGAGGATCACTTTCTTTCACCTCTTCAATCCTGTTTGGCAAGATGTGGCAAACATCTGATTGTGTGCTTTTGTGGTCCTTCACCCATGTCCATGCAGAATGTAATCCTAGAATCAAAACAAGTGAGTTATGAAATAAATCTCATGTACATATAGCATGCATCAGTCTCAGCTTTCCTTCCATTGGCTGCTTCAGGTTATGATGTGGATCCTCGACTGCATGGGAACAGTTCTGGATACCACTCAGATGATGCATCTCCCATAAAGAAGAGCGAGGGAGCCCCGTTCCAAGAGTTCCGCATGCCAGGAATGCTTGACAGTCATGACGATCATTCCAGGAAAATTGTGCAACCCTCTGATGTTGTTATAATGGTATTATTATTTAATTTTGTCAAAAAACAAACAAGTAAATGGTTTTAACCAAACTTACAAATCTCAATTGATTGAAATTTTTCCAATATATGAACAACAGGCCTTAGGTTGTGCCATAATTTATTTGATTAGGAAATTGTCAACATGCAAGAAGTGACATTGTGTTTTAATTGTGTTGCAGAGCCGAACAGAATTGAACAAAAGAGGAGTCTTACAGACTAGTGAGAATCCACAAGTGAGTGTACATGAAGTCGTTCTGTGAATACCATTTGTCCTTTTTTCAATAAACAATCATCAAAGGTTCTGTGATGGTTTTGGAGGATTTACTGAGTGTCATTTATCTTCTTGAAGAAAGAAGCGCATTACACGATTGTGGTTAATATGACCAACCCTGGATGCCAAGATTTTTTTTCACTTACATTGTGTAGCGTTTTTGAAGATTTTGGGTTTTTTTTTATTGTCTGATCTTTTCTCTTTGCAATTATCTTGTAGATTCGCACAAACGGAACCATTTCATTGGAAGAAAGACTGAAGACATTGTTGAGCTCTCCAAATCCTGGAGGACAGGCTGGAGAGGTCAGAACACAAATTGAACCAATGAAGTATACATTTATTTTAATTTATGATGCTATGACTTTGTAATGTGAGTTGATAGTCCCTCAAAAATCGAGGCTTGATTCAAGTTTCGAGACGTTCGAGACTTTCCGAGGGATTAAGTTCCACGACGTTTGAAACCATTCGAGGAATAGTCAAGTCAAGTTCTGTAAAATTACGCGCCGAAGAAACAGAGCTAATTGCACTCATATTTACCCCAATCCTCAATTTTGCCCTGACAGGAAACTGAGGAAGAGCTTATAATTCCACCGCCACCAAAGGGAAATCATTTTGATGATGATGATGATGATGATGATGGTGATGTTGAGAGAAGACTGCAGTCGTTGCTGGATGTCGCCGAGGAAGACAAACCTGATATGGAGATGAAAACAAAGGACTTTAGTGGCTTGAAGGAACTTGACAGGATTGGTTATGTGGTAAGCCCAAGTGGAATTGATACATTTGGTGAAAATGATATTTATTCTGTTACCTAAAGAGTCATTGTTTGGTAATCTTTAATGTAATTAATCCAAAGGAAAGCAGTTACCAAAATAAGGCATTATCATGCTGGAGGCTATCTTAATCATTTCCACTAAGAGACCAACAGAAAGTACTTTAGAAAGTTTTAACAATTTGGCTAAGCAAATTAGCATGTCTTCTCCAAAATACAGTGGCCGGTGGAAAAGTCATTCTTGTAGGAATTGAAATTCACTTTATGTATCGCTTATACACTTTTTGTGTGTTATTTGTTAACACAATGCTGGAGAGTGGAAAGAAAAAAAAAACTCTATCACGTAGCTATCTCATACAGAAATGACCCGATTTTTTCCCAACGTCCTGGTTAAAGGAAACTGGTTTTAATTATCCGCGGTTTTGAAAAGTCGGAGTTAAATTGCAATAGTCTGAGTGGCAACTGAACTTTTCAACAATTTTCAATCTTAAGCCAAGTCACCCATCACAGAAGACAAGAAATGTTCAGAGAGGGCGAAGTCAAGCAAGGACTAGCAGTTTCACAGGCAGCGGTAAACCTGCAAGGTAAATGATATATAACTGAAGGTTTTAAAGGCAATACAATATTTGAGTCTTTTTTGCGAAAAATAGTTGCGCTTAAATGTGGAGATTCACTTTGGAATCAATTGATTTATTAACTACGGTATGGAAATGGTTTTAAGAAAACCCGCCCCAGTTTCTTAACCAATCAGATGCCAAACCAAAACCAGTCCTAGCTTAGTCCTGTACAGCTTCGCAAATGATCCCAGTTCCTCGCTTTTTCCCCCCACGTTTAACCCTGGCAGCTTTTATTTTCTTTAATGATTGTCTCCTTCTGAATTAACTCTTTATTCTGATGGGTGGTTTTTATCACTATGGCGTTGGTTGTACGATAACTAGTAGAAGTGGGCTCTGCTTGGTATTTCCCTTTCACTTGTTCGCTTCAAAAACTCCTTGAATAATTAAACTCTTTTTTCCCGTTTTTTTTTTTTTTTTCGAAATCTTTTCTTTAACAGAGGAGCAAAATTACCAGCAGCACCACTGAAAAGACAGACAAGGCTCGAGTCCGATTCGCCGGTTCAATCGCCAAGATTTCACCGAAAATTGGCAACTGCTGTAGGATTACCAACTAGAGCAACAGTTGTTCCATCCGAAGTACAGGCCTCGCGGCCACAAACGCAAAGAGCAAAGGAGAGGTCCGGTGGCGAGAACAGCGCGTACAGTGAAAGTGGCCATGCTAAGAGGCTTGTTAAGGGTGAAGGCACACCACCAAAGAATTTCCAAAGAACAAATTCACGGTCAAGCTTTTTGAAACAGGTCGCTGAAAAGCTGGCGGATAGATCGACGACGCCAACTGTTTCTGGATCAGAGTCTGTGTCTCCAGCAGAGACACCAATGCTGCCTACTCTTTCACCCGCATCTTCAGTGGCTACGTTTGTGTTTGTTAGTGAATCAGACTCATCTGGTTTAAGTTCTGATGAAGAAGAAGAAGATCGTCGTTGGCGGAGACGTCCATCCGTTTCTTCAAATAGAAGCAGAGGTGGGAGAGACAAAAGAAACTCGTTGGCGTCAGGTTTGTTTCTCTGTGATTCCCTTATCTTTTTAGCCTTTTTGGCAGATAATATGGGTCAGTTTTGGTGAGCGCACGCAGAACTCTGCATTCAATAGTCCGCGATTAAGCCATGATTTGATAATTTTGGTTTTTGCGTGCATAACAAGAAGGTTATCCTCATGGTGCCCCTGTTTACCTAGGAATATAAATGGATTCAAACTTCTTAAAAGTAACCTGTGATTGGTCAGCATTCTGTCAAAGTGGGATGACCTTGCTTGAAGTCCCTTCATGCCGCTTTCTGCCTCGAACTCATTTGAAGAACTTTGTATATATAAATCCTTTTTTACGACATGAATTACTTACAATACATAAACTCTATCACAACACATCACCAACAATACGTTACTTACGATACATTACTTGCAATCAGCTGCTTACGAATTTATTTGAAGAAAATTTTGCTTATGAGAAGGTTGATCAACATGGTCAGGACATGTTTTAATTTTTTATATCAACTGAGAAATCTCAAGGACTCTTCCATCTTTTTCGTCAGGAGCTAGCTCTAAGTAAAGAGCGTAGTTCACCTGTTTTGTTTCTGTTGCTCCTTTTACAGGGAAAGCAAAGAGTACTCCAGATTTGCAAGAAATTCGTACACAGGTAATTTTTTGGAGGACATTGTTTGCGTTTAAGTGAGACTTTTAACGAAGTTAACATACGGAAGATTTGGTGCTAAACTAGATGGAATGTTCAGCGTAAATAGTAGTGGTAAACTTGGTTGTTCTGATGTTATTCTGGTGGTTTGCGTAATTTTTTTTATCTTTTCATCTGCAGCTGGAATTCTTAGAGGAGATGTACAGTGAGATCTTGAATAGCAAGGATGTTGAATCCAAGGATTCTAAAAAGTCCAGCAATAAATTCAGCCAAAGAGCAGCTGCAATGCAGGGTGGGTGTCCTCACAGCTGTAACTCATCCATTTAGGGCTCCGTTAAACTGGGCATTATGGAGATTCGTTACAAAGCGCTTCTGCGCAGCCGTGACCTACGACCACACCCTCATTTAGTAGCGCTTCAGCGCGTGTGTTTCTTCGCCCGCGGAAAAGTAAGAGTCTTCCCGCGGGTGGAGTAACCCGCGTCTTGCAGGCAAGCGAAGCCGTCGTTACGTTTCGTCACGCAATCTGAGAGTTGCGTGTCGATTACGTCATGCAGTCTGAGAGAGCGAGATGTAGACAAGACTAGACAACGTAACCACAGGTGCTAATGATACAACTCCTCTTCAAGCGAGTTACGATTTTAGCGTTCCTTTCAAAAACACTCAAAATCTCTCGCTAAGAATCATTGAGTTTGCCATGTAAGTATTTGAAGTTTAATACATTCAGCCCTGTGCATTTTGTTTTGCAGCTAGCTTGACAAGTTATAAAAAACAGAGGAACAAAGACATCAAGTAAGGCTAATGTTTCATTTCTAGAATGATTAAGATTTTATGAGAAATTTGGGAAGCCCCAGATTTAAGGCTGGGACATTGTGGAGGAAAAGTTGCTTCGACATGTCTCTGTGATTAATTGTTTGGCTAGGTTCTTGCAGGAAACAAGTCACAGAGACTTATTTTATTTATTCAAGCATTGAACGAATTCAAACAAGTTTGAATTTGTAGGCCTTTTTTCCGGAAAAAATTGTCTCACATGAATTGAGATTTTTACGTCGTGTGACATGCAAGGATTGATATGACGTGGTTCCGCTCCATGTCGCTGCAACGTAACGCTTCATTTCCCAAATTTCATGATTTATTTGGGTTCTTTACTTTATTTTATCTCATGTTGTTATTGACTTATTTTGTGACTGGAAGGTTGCATTTTGATAGAAAGAAATTCATCGGAGTTGTGTACTAATCCACTAAAGAAACACCAAATTTCTAACAACTCGCTGAATTTTATAAAGATGCTTACAATACAAATTAAGGCGAAATGAGAATCATTTGATGTCATTAACTTTACACTTTTTTCCTTTTTTTGGAAAGTCTTTTTCCGCGTCGAAATAAAGGTCAAAAAGTTGTCAGAACCTCGTTCCATCAGTGTCGCGTTTTTTTACCCAGTTATGTTCTTAACATGTTAACGACAAATAATAAGAATATAAAAAAAGAAGAAAACTATACGATATTCACTTTAAATATGGTGTTTTTGCCTATTCATTTGTCGGAGTGTTTGCATTCTTTATAAATAGAGCCTGTCTGAGTTTCCAATATAGCTTTCAAGAGCATCGTTTCCGAGGAAACAAAGCACATTAATTTGTTGAAAACATGACTTGTTGTATGTTTTTAGAAATTGCTGACAAACGATTTAGGTGTTCATTGCTTTTATTGTGCTTGACATTGTCGTTTTAGGAAGTTGTACAGAGCCATGTGTGCTCATCTGAACTATTTAAAACTCAATATATTCACGGCTGAGATGGCTTTTTATAATTGATCAGATACTGGCTTATCATCTCTGATATTCTGTCACAACTACACGAATAATGTAACCAATATATTTTAGTGCGTATTTGTGTGGCTCTAAATAAAAAGCAAGTAATTTGCGGGGGACGAAGCCATGGAAATCGAATGAGAGGTTAAACAGGCCCCATTTTCGACCATCATTTTCCTACTTTCAATAAACTTTTCTACAATATTTTTACACAATTCTGAGGCCAATTTTCAGAGCCTTCTTAACTTTATTGCCGTTCTCGGTATTAAGAAAAACCTTTTTCCCGGATAGACAAAATGAATTAAAAACAAAAACCTTTTAACGGAAACCACTCGAGTTATTGGCGTCAAGTGGTTTATAGTAAGGCATGCGTTGGGCCTCTATTGACGTCACCATGGTTACGAATTTAGACAGAGTTTTTCCCGTCTTATCGCTTTCATTGGCGAGAGTTTTACGGTTGGCATTTCTTGTAAGCATAATTTGCGTGAACATCATAGAATGCCAGAGCAGAAAAGGTATATGTTACGAACTTTAGGTTAACATATCAAGCCACAGTAGAGATATTTAGAAGCGCTTTTTACGTGAACTGCAAACGGCAAGAATCGAACTTTTGCTCTCTATGGTTCAACTGGTTTTGCCACAATATAGAAATATTTCCATTTTCTGCTATTAGAAGATTCTTTTTTTACTTTCCTGTTGGATATGTTCACTTTAAGGATCAGAAGAGAAGTAATTCGTTCGCCTAGCTGAATATCCTCATTCGTTTCCTTCAACAGGGCAGTAAACAAGCGATTTGGTCGCCTAGAATCTCACGTAGTCACTCTCGCCAGAAGTGTAGCTCATTTGTCATCAGAGTTACGTTCACAAGCTTCGCTCAGTCAGGATGTGGACGACATGAGACGACAAGTACAAGACCAACAGCTCAAAACTAAAGAGGAGGGTGACCCGGCCAAGGAAAGCGCCCAGCTGCAGTCAAGAGTGAAAAAACTTAAAAGGTACTTCTTGACAATTTATTTCTACAGTGGGCTTTTTTAGCCCTGAAATATCAAATCCTTTAAGACTAATTTCGCGGTATATACAAACATCCCTGTAAGGCCAGTTTCTCTTTTTCCCTCTCCCCCCTCCCCTCCCTCCTACATTTCCCTTCATGACTGGACTCAATATCCTGAGGAGATGAGAGAATTCAGAACCAATGAGACAAATTCGGACATTTCAGAAAGGCAGACTTGTTTGAACTTGAAAAAGTTTCCTATTAGTTTTTTTAATATGTATGCGTAAATCTAAGACGTTACAACTTTTTTATTTTTGTTATATATTTTTTTTACATTCTCTTATCTAAGCACACCTATGGATAGTGATAGCGCGCGGTGTCTGAACAGTTTACACTAATTACTATATAGATCCTATCGAGGTCCCCTCATTACGATCCCTCTTGTAAGTTACTAATTTAATGAAATGCTTAAAACGAACAATATCCTTTCATGCGGCTTAACTACTGCCAGTAGAATATAGGTAATGGAACTTCGATGTACCAGAATCTTACCATACCAGACACGATTCAGACGCATGACGATTAAGTTATTGAACGTTCTTTGAAACTGGATTGTCGTCATAGAGAAGAGGCTGAATGCGAAACATTAAGGGGATAAATTTTTAAAGCAACTGTGATGTTGCGTCGGTGGAGGAGTTGAACAAGATAATTTTGATATTATTAACTGAGTCGAAAATGTAAATTGTTGGCCCTTCGTCAGAGCGAATCGTCTGACGAAGTGCGAACGCTCGAAACGTCAGCTTTGAAACTCTTTGAGGGGGCCAATTTACATATATTCAGTTGATAATACCAAAATTGTCTTTAATGCGAAACAGTTTAACAACTTAAAATTTGACTGAATCCTTCATTTCTGAAACTGCGTCGTAACGCTCTAAAGATGAGCGAATGAATTTGTTAAAAATAGCAGAAAGTACGTCACGTTCGCTATGTTTAGATCTGAACCAGGGAAATTGGATAGTGTGTATGAAGTCGCGCTTGCGGTTAAGCAACCACGGCAGAAAAAAAAAAAACCGGAAGAACATTTTCTTCCGTAGTTTCAATGATTTAGTTGGGTTTTCCTTTTCTTGCGAGAAAACGTTTTAACTTGTTAAATACCGTTTTGTACTGAACTCACGTTATTCCTGGTTGGCAACCAAACATAAGGAACGTGCAATTTTGTAAGTGATCTGAAGGATATTTAACATGGGCTCTGTTTTTGTCTTTTTTAGCTTTTTCGGTGAGGATCCTCCACTTCTCGCACTCTTTCTGAAGAAGCTCGGATATGAGGTAATGCGTAATAACGCCGAGTGACGGCTCGTGACGTAAATGTGCATTTTTAGCGACACGAGCCTGTGGAATACTTTGTTGTCGGAGGTTTTTCTGGTTTCTGAGTCATGGTGTCAGAAGTAATACCACGACTCCTAGTTGGGATATTAGTTCATTCTCAGCATTTTCCAAAGTTTCCCTTAGAGTTCAACAGGACATATTTTAACCTCAGGGTGGGTACTGCGGGAGTTAAGTGTCTTTCCCAAGAACGCAACAAGGTGAACTCAACTCAGGTCCTTCCCTGACCTCTTTGGGTCAAACACACCATCGATCGACTGTTTGATGTGACAATCGCTGTCTCGTATATGAAACTATATTTACGGTTAAGTTTTTGTAGCCACAAATTCGATGAAAAACGCTGTTTATTGCAACCCACTCTTCCGAGTTACGTGATACGTATTCAGAGAAGTGGAAAAGCTTCTTTATTTATAGTTCCTGTACGCCAAAAAAATACGTAACCGGAGTTGGCCATTCAGGAATTAGTCAATATGTAAGAAAGTCTTTTGTGCCACCGGAACGTCACGAATTTATTTTAAGTCCGGGTAAATGAGACTGAATTTCCTTGAAGGCTGTATCGTTATAGAAACATTTTTTGGCCTATTTTAAGTAGCTCTCCTTTTTGAAATCGCAATAGGGAATAAAAAATAGCCATATGTGTGTCGACAAACTATGCGGTGCTTATTCGTTTTCCAGCAAAATATATTGCCGTATTCAGTAGTTTCATTCACGATTGTCAAAATTCCCGCAACCAATCCGTCATTTCATTCGTCTGAACCCTTTACACCCTAATATCAGTATGCATATTCTCCATACTGTTCTCCACACATTTCCTGATGTGCTGGGAAGGAGAATTTGTGTAACAATCAAGAGCTTGTTTAGTTGGTGATCGTTTCCTTTATTCTTATGACCTTAAATCTGTGATTCAGGGGTGATGTTTGAAGGAGAAATTAGATGAAAATCACTCTTTGGGGTCAAAGGATTAACTATGTTCTCACTTCGTGTTCCAACAGAGATTTGTAGACAACTTTGAAGCCGAACAAGTTGGCATTCTGGAGGTGGCCTACATGACTGAAGAACGATTACAAGGCCTCGGAATTCCACTGGGTCCGAGGTTGAGAATTATGGAAGAAGTTAAGAAATTTGCCTTGGAACACACAAAGAAAGTCCGCTAAACTTTGTAACATGTATTTTAATTTATATACGTGGTTTTCTTTGCCCCTTTTTGAAAATTATTTATGATACGGAAGAGAGAGGGTCGAACAAAAAAGAATATGCGCAACCAGGTTGCCAAGTTAGCATTCTTCTTGGCATGCTTCACCGGTCACGCAATCGTCCCAAAAGTTGAGTTTGAGATCTTCGACTAAACTCATTTTCAGTTGCACAACGACAGTTGTGATAGCAATCTTAGCTGGCGTGTAGGCCCTCATCAGTGCTGCAGGACGTGCGTTTCTTCGCCAGGCGGGAAGATTTAAGAGACGGTCAGGCACAAATTATCATTTCTAGATCCTCTCGCTAGACCTCTCGCTAGTTCGCGATGCTCTCCCGCGGGCTAATAAATGCTCGTGCTGAAGCGCTCATAATGAGGGCTTGCTCCCAGGCTTCAGAAATCTCGTCAGTTGTCAAAAATTAAGTATTGGTTATAGACATGACCTAAGACTTGTCAGTGACGCTTCTTAAAGAGAATTCACTAGCTCTATTTGTATGTTTGAGGTCAGAATTCTTAAAGGTGCCCTGTTTGTTGCTATTTCATTCGTATTAATTTTAGGACTAGTGTCGTGTCCTTGGATTTTTAAAAAGCAGGTGTAAAAATGAATTAGAAAATATTTTTATAACGGATAATTTTTACCTCGATGCAAGACCTCAACTGAATCATAAATTATCTATTTTTATATAACCACTGTCCATGCATATGTTTCAAAAAGCAACCGTCAAGATATTTATAGGATAATGCGTTACTTTCGTTACTTTCAAATCGCTGCGTCAAGTCGATGCAGGCCCTACTAAACTTGATTCATGGGCAACATTGTTGAAAAAACTTCAAATATATTTTCAAAATTGCATAACTTTACGCAAGTGGGGTATTCGTTCATAATATTTCAAAATAGCTTCAGAGAGATGTATATTTCCCCAGTTGATATTTTATAATAAAGACATTATTTGTACAGTTATAATCCTGTCTGTACACTTTTTCGCGATCACCGTGCCTGAAGTGTTACCCCACCCCTCCCCTCTTTTGACCATTGCTCACCCCCTTAGTAGAAATTTCTTTCTCTCCCCAGTTTGCACTGCTGTAAAAATCAAAGACGACAGCTATAATTTTCACCAAGAAATAACAAAGCACTCGCTCCGCCGGCTCAATAGCCTGTGACACATAATTGCCCATCAAGTTTCACCTAAACGGCACCAAATTGGAAAGGGTAGCTTTCGTGTTAATAATTAGCTGAGTGAGAGTTTTTCTTTCCCAAGATCTCAACTAAATTCCCCTCCTGTCCCTCCCTTGGGTAGACCAGATAACCATGGCAATAAATAAAACACCAAGAGTCTTGCATTCCACGTAATTCCATAGCGAGAGATGACCTCGCTTGAGTAAATGCCAGTAAGAGGCACTGGGGAGATTTGTTAAAGTTATTAAAAATCGTGACTGGACAATTGAGATACATAAAACAAAATTTAATTGCAAAGAAAAAAGTATTTTATAGAGTAAAAACAGTTTACCAGCCACAAGCACTATCTAAACTAGCGCTAGACTAAGAGATCCCCTAACTTCACGTATTTAACCCAAAAAAAAATGATTAGCACTGACTGAACATTGAGTTTCCAATACTCATTGGTTAAAAAACACAGCTACTGCAGATCTAGTCTCAAAATTAACATCTATACTTAAAATTTTATAAACTAAATGAAGAAAACTTTTTCTTCCCTTTTCTAACTTACAACTTTATCCACAATTTTATCAACAATAGTAGAAAACTGACAGCGGTACGATTGGACACTGAAATGTTGACAAATGATTTTCCTTCCTTCAATCTGTTTGTGCTTAGTCTTGTGTTTAACACTGTGAATCTTTCAACTGCCATGGAAAATTTTACTAAGAATCACAAAGTTATAGAAAAATTCTGACAACTCTACAGTGTGAACTGTGAAGAGTTGCAATCTTAATTCAATTTATGCCTTCAATTTCTTTCGCATCCAAGCATCAGGTCCATGCTCCTCTTTGATAATCATTACTTTGTCGATGACTTCACCTTGCTGATGAGAAAAAAATAATACAACCTTTATGTTGATAATTATGAAGCAAATACATTGAATACTACTACTACTTAGGAAATATTCATTCAACATTCTTGTTACAACGTCCTCTCAAAACATGTTAGAAAAAAACAACAACAAACAAACAAAAAACAAACAAACAAACAAAAAACACCTGCTAAGAAATTTAGTGAATAAAATAAAGTCAGTCCATTAGTTCATACAGTACAGCTGAAAAGTGCCTTTTTTTTGCACTGATTGATTACCATTTTTTGGTATATTGACAGAAACTAAAGTTTTGTTTTTCACCTGTGGTATTTATTCTGTGTGTAGATGAAAGAAAAGGATATTCACCTTCACTTTGGTGAATAACTTATCAATAGCCAACCTCTGAGCCACATACACAATTTTTCACCAACATCCCTTATTGTGCTCAAAATGTGTCTCAGACTGCTCCAGAAAATTCTTAATATGTCTTCACCATTGTTCACACTCAAGCTTACCTTATCCACACTGACTTGATCCATGTACAAGTGGGTCTTGTTGTGAATTGTCATACGGGTGTAGCCATAATCATCTGAACGGAAAGCTGTCCAAGGGGGGTAATCTTTCTCGAATGGGTCATGGTCTTCTTGACATCCCTAGAAATAAATGAATCCTTACAGTCATGAATGAAAAAAAAATTGCTATTGAAAAGAAAAAAATGTGTTTGAAAGGTTGAAAATAAATTTAAAAAGCTGCAAACAGATCAGTAAACATAATTTTACATAGCAATATTCATTTGTTAACCCTTTAACTCCCATGGGTGACCAAGACAGAATTTCTCCTTACAATATCAATACAATATCAACCAGAGGAGTAATGAGAATAACGAAAACTATCAATTTGAGGATAATTACTTGATCCAATACTAAATTCTCTGAACTAGCATTATAAGAATTGTATGGTTGACAGTAAGGAGAATTACAAATTTGGTTCATGAGTTCAAGGGTTGAGAATAGGAGCCAGATATCAAACCCAGTGTACCTCACCCGTAAGTAATCAACCTACCGCTGATCCTGTGGTTAAATGTACTGGAGCACAAGGGTTGGTATAAGGCTGCTCAACTGATCCATTGCAAATCTACCACAAAGAAAAGAAAAGAAAAGTGAGAGCCATCTGGTACAGCAGAGTAAAAGTTGTCTTGGGATCTTCAGGCAATTCTTGTCACACCAATATGTTCTCTTACCTGCCTGTCGTAGATAGGGAAAAGACGTTCATATGAATGCTCATGAGCCCAAAGCATCAAGTCCACACCTGTAGGGGAAATCGGTAGACCCACTCTTAAACAACTTCATTCGAAAGAGAAAAAAGGAGACAAAAGACAAATTCTTAACACCACCAAATAAATTTGATATCTCCATCTTCACTCTGAATCAACCTGTTTGTTGTAAAAAACATACACAGGTGCAAAATCAAGTTCACTACTCATTGCAAGTGAAAGCAATCACAGGCTACATTTAACTCACCATATTTATAAAACAAATCCTCCAGACGAAAGAGATGTTCAGATGTGATCCCAGTGCGAACCTACAGAGATTGTGTAAAAAACGAACTGTCAGAAATGAAAGCAGAACTACAAGGGTTAGCCTGATTGGGTTTTTAGTGCATGAGACCCTGTAAATAAGTTAGTGGTGTCTAAACATACTTTGCTCTCATGTTTGGTGCAGTCATCACCATCAGAGTTACTGCAGTACATTGGCCTATGACCCATAGTAATAATCCAAGGGCGTTGAGCACGGTTTTCTGGTTTTGTTGCCTCCTGAAAAATGATTAATTACATTAGCAAGTAAAGAAAAATTTCAAAATGGAGGCTCAGTGATAATATAAAATGCTTGAAATTAATTCATCATTAATGTTTATCTATTATAAAAATTCAGCTAAAAGAATAATGACATTCAAGAGCCTCTCTAGTCAGTGATCATTTCCTTCATTCTCATGACCTTAAAGTCTAATTCAGGGGTGATATTGTTTGGAGAAATTAGATGCTTGCCACTCTCAGGGAAAAGGTAAAACACATCAATGGTCAATTTAACAGCACTCCAAGAAAACTAACCTGCAGGTCTCTTTCCAACCATTCATACTGTTGGACAATCTGCTCAATTCCGTACTGATAATCAAAGTACACTTCCGTTGAAATGGAAATAATATGTGCAGGACCAATGTTCCAGCTGATACATAATAAACCAAAAAGAACAAATATGTCAAACCTTCAATTACCAAATGAATGAAATGCTACTGGTATTGCCAGAAACCAACCATCCTGAGATATTCCAGGTCTGGAATATTAAATGCAGAGAAAACTTTGTATGCACTGAAAACCTAACCATCAGTAGTGAGCATTATTGGAATCTTAACACTGTAAAAATTTTGTTCACAATATCAAGGCCTCACACATTCTGTGTGCAAGAGTGGTCATCTTCCATGTTACCCTAAAAATCCCACAAATAAGTCACAAAAAAGTCACCAGCAAGTCATAGGGAAGATTTACTGTATTAGCCCCATTTCAAGTATCACAACCATTATTTTCTTGCTTATGGTAGAAGGATAGCATGAATTTTGAAGTAAATTAGCCACCATTTGCCTCTGCAGTGCTTTGCTTTCTAATGTAATTTATTTTGAGTATCCAAATAGTATCCAAAGTAAGCTGAACTTAAGATGCAGATTCTGTATTTCTCCTTTGCAATTGTTCCATACGATACATACAATACATGACTTGTGCAAAAACATTTGATAATGAGACTGGAGTACCTTGTACTTCTAACATTACTATTTCAGCTACTGCAAGAACAATATATATTACATACATAATCTATGTAGCAAAAGTAGAGCACAATCTGTAGATATGTTTGGATTTTGCAGTATTATCATTTAGAACTCTTTGAATTGTGTGAGACAATCCACTTATTTGTCAAATGTTTTGGATTTAAATGAAAGACTGGCTAATGGAATCAGAGACACATCTAGGTGTTACATGACTTTTTACCTGTAGTAAATATTCTCAGTATTTCCTGGCATTGAAAACCTGTTTTTGTAGTTGGAAAAGTTGCTGTAAAGAACACAGATATGCATTAATATCAAATGCAAGTCAATATAAAAGAATTAATGGAATAATTTAAATATTTCAAGGTCAACTTACTAAGCAGCTTCATGATTTCCAGGACATGTCATGTATGGTACATAGGCAGCAATTGACTGAATTTGATTCATAAAGTCATCTCCAACTAAAGCATTGTCCTGTTTTTAACATGAATAAAAAAAGGAATCGACATAAGAATCATGAGCAAGTTGTTGCAAAGCCCTCCAATGCTACATATGAAATTTTCCAGCTAAGAAAGAGGTGATCAGCAGCTGTTGGTGATCAACATGTTTGGTGTTTGGTAATCAACAGCAATGAGTTATTGCAAAGCCCCCACTGCCCACAAAATTTGCCAGCTGTGGAAGAGGTGATCAACATGTGGATTTTCACCTGCAGTTACGTATATGCTCTTGTTGTAAAGGGAAATGAATTGTGTAATTCATAGGTGATGAACTCAAAATTGTTTGATAATAAAATATCTTTTTTGTTGCCATGAACGGTGACTAGGGATCAAAATAGTTGACACTTTTTCTTGGGAAAGGATTAGCTGTTGAAAAGTACATAAACATTAGAAGGATTCACTCCCCAAAAAATGAAAAAAAAAAAAAAAAGGCCAGAAACAGTATAATATCAAACATAAAACAAAAAAGTGTCTTACAGTGTCCATGTTATATGCAAAATCACCTAAAAAAGGAAAATGAAAAGAAGAAAGAAAAAAAATTACCTGATGATATTTTGTTCTCTTCAAAATACATCAAATAAATAATGAAACCTCTCTGCACGTTCTGGTAGATTCCATAATATTTTCAATCAAAGATCTTGATCTACCACATAGTGTATTTACAGTATATTGTCTAGCCAAGCTGATGAAGACAAATTTTGTCACCAGCCACAAATGTTTAAGCTACGAAACCTTGAGCACAAACATACAATGTACATACCAACATGAAGGAAGGCATCATAGAGTCCTTGTTGAGTTTCTTCTTGCAGAAAGCTGATTGATTTAGCATTAACACTGCCCATATCTCCAAACACTGCCATTCTAGGACTCCAGTCTACACCAGATTGAAGAGCTTTAAACTCATAGATAGCACTCCAGCCTTCCATTCCTCCACAGTGGTATTCTGGATTAAAGATAACAATCATAACAATCAGGACTTTTATGTTGTTGTTGTTGTTGTTTTTTGTTTTTTGGTTACCATAGCAAATTAATAAATATTTGGTGACTAAAATCTCGGTGAAAGTGGCCAACATATTAAAAAAAAACCTCAAAAAATCCATAAATGTTTGGTTGAATTATCAAACATATAAACTCTGGTGAACCAACATGAAATGTCCTTCTCTTGATATAACATATATTCTTTCTTTGAGACCAAATTTCTTTTATAGCGAATACTTTACAACTGAAGGTCACCAAAGACAACTTTTTGAAAAAGAAAACTTGGAGCCCTGTGTAAGAGGCCGAAAAAGGGTTTATTGCATGATGTAGGATTAAGTGTTTTTCATTTTTATGACCAGTGAAAATACAAAATTTAGACCTCATGAATTGTGAATTTTTTTTTTCATGATACATGAACCTTAAAGTTGTTTATCTGATTTTTCATGATGCATTATTTTTACTTTTTGATGTCCGAGAAATGTGCGGGTGACTCTCTTTTTATCCCTACCTATAACACAGGACTGACCACAACTCATCATTTTATTTGACAGATAACTTCCACTATAGTTAGAAAAACCTCAATCACAACTGTTGCAAACCCTGGTTCACACCATTTACTGTATTATTGATAATCAGCTGGTTGATCTGCTTCAGCCAATAAAACCAAATATTCTCTGGCAATAAACTGTACATACCATATACTTGACCAGGCATCAATCCTGTTAGTTTCACTCTGTGCATCCACAGCACTCTGTGTGCTGATCCTCCATCAGTGAATTTGGTTACGGTACCTGAGGTCTGAAGCGTTAGGGATAAACCAGCTTTGTTGTATTGCACAACACTGTATTCTGTTTGTGCTAAAGTCACCCATGTGACCATCATTTCCGTTGGGTCTCCTTGAAAGAGTGACAAAATGTATCAAAATTATTGTGAATGAATATACAAGCGATCCTCACAGTTATGAATACTACTGAACTAGAAGTGTAAATGAGACCTGGAAAAATTCAGGTCTCTACAGAATTTTAACCCATGACCTCTGCAGTTGAAGAAACAAATATAGAAGCAATCCTCACAGTTATGAATACTGCTAAACTAGTAGTGAAAATAAGACCTAAAAAAAATTCAGGCCCATATGGACTGCAGTCTTCCTATATGATTTTCATTTAATTACAGTAATGAATTAACCACTTGGAGGGTTTATCTGAAACCAACATAATGACCAGCTCCCACTTGGCTTGTAAGCTCAGTTGGTAGTGCGCTACACCAGTAACACAGAGGTCATGGGTTCAAATCCCATATGGGCCTGATTTTTTCTTCAGGCCTTATTTCAACTACTAGTTCAGTAGCTACCAGTAACTACAAGGATTGCTTCTATATTTGTTTCTTCAACCCTCAACATGTATGATTTTCGTATATATACAGTTAAATTAAGCTTAATTTATGCTAACACCACTAATGTTTACATTTACATTTACATAGACCCAAAAGTTTATTTGAATCTTGTAATAAGGTATATCACAATAGTGATCTTAAATGCTCACCAATGCTACATTGCCACTGCAACTTTTGTGTACTTATAAACACATAAAACTTTCAGAGCCAGATCTGAGGACAGTGAAACAGTTAGCTCTGAAACAGAGCCAAGATTTAGGAAACCCACCAGTACACCCTTGCTAAAAGTTCTTACAAGTACATGTACCTCCTCTTGCCTTATTTAGAATCAAGATGTAGGAATGTGATACTGAAGAGAAGCCACCCCTGGCAGGTTCTGTAGAAAATCGTCATTTTTTTCACTTTCACCCTCCAACCTCTGAGGGCTGGTTTTCACTTACAACAGAGCCTGCTATAACCGGATAATTGTTTTTATTGGAATCATAAATAAATAATGACGTTAGCTCGTTTCTAAGTTTTACTTGGGTATGTTTCTGCTTTAAAATATCGTTTCACGTATCTTCCCCTTTCGCTCTGTATTTTTCCTCAAAAATTTAAATCTACTGAGAGTAAACGCTGGCAAATAGCTCCAGTAGATTTGGATGAACATCTTGATGACCAAGGCGTTAACACCAAAATTATGATTGTTTGTACATGCTACAACGAATTTCTTTAGATCCTTTTGTGGTTGAATCGATAAACCTAACTACAGAATCCAGAAAGAATAATGTTTCGGATGAACAGTTATGTACGTATGTAAACCAAACTTCTTGAATTTATTTGTATCTGCATGTTGACAACACCACTTCAATCTGCTTTTTTATTTTTCTTTTCGTTGTTTCAAGAGTCGATTTAGGCTACGTAACCGTCAATAGAGTCTCCATACCGGTAAAAAAATTGCCTAAGTAAGTAAGAACTTTCCAAAAATCCTCAAAATAACCCTTCTTTCACATTTTACATTCTATAACTGCATTTCAAAAATGTACGTATTATGTAAGAGAGTGCCAACTGTGAAAACAAAGTTGATTTCTCACAGAATTGTCCGCTCATATCTCCGAACAGTAAAAGCAACTTTTCAATATCAAATTCTTGTTTATATCAGCTTATGCTTTCGTCGATCATCGATAGACCGGTCGCTTTGAATTTCCTTCACAATCTGTTTACCAAATCATGCATGTCCGGATGCGTACATGGGCGAATTTTTAATCTCTCAGTTACCTTCATTTAGTTCTTTCCGATCATTTCTTCCCTTACCTGTACTTGACAAGTGAATCTGTTGCGGTTGAGGGTCCGTTTGTCCATAACAAATCGGTAGAAAAAATAGCAAAAGCGATGCAATGAAACTTTTCGCCATGTCTGCAGCAAAACGCACCATTCGTTTGACGTAAAGTAATATCTAAGTGCAAGTCATGGAAAAGTCACATGACGATCACCTTACTTCCGACCCGCTGAGAACTGCTACGCAGGCTCATTCTAAGGTAACCTGCACCAAAAAGCACCTTGAGACTCCTTAGAGGGTCCAAGATAGACTCTTCCAATCCCGCATCCCGCCGCCATTTTTCGTTCCATCCCGCCATCCCACCGGGTTAAACGTAGGTTGCTCTAGTTCACCGCCTTCATTTAAAAGCTGACGTTTCGAGCGTTAGCCCTTCGTCAATTGCTCTGACGAAGGGCGTGCATGACCAGAATTTTCCAATTCATAAATACTAATTTCATTTTGCTCCTCTCGTTTCGTTGTGTGACAAACAACCGACTCGACCGAAATTCTTACTGAAATTGATGAAAAAAGGTCTTACTTTATAGTCATAGACTGCTCACTAGAAAAAAGCTAACTAAATATAGACGAATACAAAAATGCAAAAACGTTGGGGACAAATTTCGAAGAACAGAACCCTTCAACTCGTGAATACTCATATAGTGAGCCTCCTTGTTTTGCACTTCGCCGACAGATGTTTTTTAATCAAGCATTTTTTGTTTATTTAAGATAAAGCATTTTTTTTTTGTTTACCTGAGATATCACGGGCTCTCAAGATTAGTTCATACACGTGAGTTAGATTAAGAAAGCGGCAGTAGGGAATCCAAGATCAGGTGAAAGGACTGTGCTTTATTCGAAAGTGTGTTTTATGCCTTTGTGCAAGGACTGGAAAATATTGCGTCTTAAGAGGGATAACGCCTTATAGAATTGTGAGTATATCAACATTGTACGTATTCTAGAGAGCTTTTTTGTCGCTTCTGTTTTTGTCCGATACAGGCGATCCTCACGTGTATTTTTTGCTTTCAGTTGACTAGCTAGCGCGTGTGCAAGAGAAAACTTGCTGAATAAACTAGTTCAAAAAATTCGTAGACCCCGAGGACTTTATTTTCCTGGTGAATCTTCAAAACCAGTAGTACCCGAACCTGTGGTGCCAAACCCTCTTAGACGTATTTACGGATCAATTACCCCACCATTTCCCATCATTTTTTTACCATTCAAAACCATTCACCATCATTAGAAATCCTTTCCCCCGCCACAAGACATAATTCGTTATCATTAACCTTCATCTATCCTCAATTATGGTGACAAATGGTGCCAAATGACGGTGTATGATGCTCAATGACGGAAATGATGCCTAGTGATAGGGCCAACGATGGTTACTGTCGGGGAATTATGTTTAGTGACAGGGTATGACGCTTGCAGATGGCGATTGGTGACTAATGGCGAGGAATCATCAGTGATGTCTTGTGACGGTTAATGACGCCCAATGAGTGTAAATGATGTTTAATGACGGTACGTGTCTCATGAAGGCAGATGATGTCCAATGACGAGGAGTGATGCCTAATGACGGTGGATGGTGTCGAACAATGGGTATTGCTGGTTATTTGAGGCGAATGATGGGGAATGAAGTTCTATGACAGGAAACAGTAACGAATGGTGGGTAATGAGGCAAATGATCAGTAAAGATAGGAATGACTGCACGAGATCTATTTGTTTCTGGTTCTGCATATATTCTTTTTTTTTCAGTTTGGGACTCGGGGTGGGTACATAAATGAGTTGTCTTCCAAAAGCCTGGAACATGCTGAGCCTGCAAATATTAACCACGCACACGGGGAGCGTGTGCTTTGACGAGATTGTACGTAGAAATTGTCACATACACACCAACACTTTGTTTGTACAAATCACTTTAATTCCTTCCTTACAGTAAGTTGTTACAAAAGTTCTCTCTCCCAGTGGCAGTGTCGCTGTGCCTAATTAAAGACGAGAGGAATTCGTCTTGTTCACCATTGTGAAAACAATTTCCCCAAAAAGTGTAAAAAAAGTTGATAATTTACTGAAAATCTAATTTAAGCGTGCATAGTTATTGTCCACTCTTTAGCTATATTAACCCCAGGCTTCTTGATCGTCATCGTGTGAGTTGAGGGATCATGTGTGAACTGGAGGTGTCTGTTCTCTCCACCTTCAGAAAAAATGACAGAAAAAAAAATTCAACACATCACAGCTTAATGATAATATTTTACACATAATCAAGTGGTTTCCTTTCCTTGGAGATGACTTTCCGCCGTGAAAAGGACGTTAATAGAGCTGTTTCGCTCCTCGATTACAGCTCCCCCACAAGGAAGAGTGCCAAGACAAGCATGGTGTTTAAGGCTACATTTGAGATACACACATGCACAAAACAAACAGACAAAGAAAAAAAAAAGACACAAATACACCACTGGAAAATTATCTGATTGGAGTGTTAAGTCACTGAATTCCTGCAGAAGAGAAAAAAAAACCAAGGAACATCGAGGAGGCGATGGAGAGTGGTGCTGAACAACAGCCACTGTATACAGTACTGCCTGAAAAGTTGATCCAGCCACCTACCATCAGCAGTAAGGAGGATTCCTTTAGGAGCGTTACTTATTCCAAGAATGACAATGCGTTCTATCCAAGCAGCGGTAGTGTACTGAGTGTTCGGCGTCTCCCGCCTGCAAAAAAGAGAAAAAAAACATGAGTGGAACTTAGCAACTCTCGATTTGCACTGCGGAAGCTCTACCACCGAGCTACAGGGAACTCTAACTGGTTTAAATGACAACCCTCCCACTTACTGCTATGAATTTTAAACCCTAACATCATTATCCATGTACATTCTCCATACTCTTCTCTACAAATTTCTTTTAGTACTGACAAGGAGAATTCGTTTAACAATCAATGCTTCTTGGGTTGGCGATCATTTCGTTTATTCTCGTGATCTTAATGAATGATTCAGGAGCATAACTGTAAGGAGAAAGTAGATGCTGGTTACACTTTGGATTTATGACGATGTGTTCCCTTTTGGAATGATTGTAAATAAAGATGTTATACTCGCTTTTAGCCTCAAGATAAAAGTAAACAATGACGTTTGTCAGAGAAACAGAAATCCAACAGAACGCCGATCTTCAGCATGGCAATGAAAGGGAAAGATGACTCCTATTGCAGTTGTGCCAAATTACCATGGGGTAAGAATTTAGGATTTTCTACCACGGAGCTTCGGTAATCGTCTTGTACCTTGGCCGTACCAATATTAGCGGTATGCTTTTTGACAATGATTCAAAGAATGCCTTGTGATGAAAATGAAGATAGTAAATTTAACTACAGCCTATTAATGAAAGTGAAAGATGATGTTCTCAGCCAAAATCAGAAAATAATAATAGTTATCATGATCATAATAATAATAATAATAATAATAGTAATAATAACAAAGATGAAAATAAAAGGTCAAAATCTGAAGGGAACAGTCTAATTTTTAATCCGAGTATTCCTGAGTCAATTGTGGAAGAAAGACAGCGGCATCTCACACTTGTAAAGCTAGCTGGAGGCTTTAATCGAATCTCGCCCAGTTCTAGAATATTTAGATAGACGTTTAACTTTGTGACGAATTTACATCAGAAACCGCCATCAAGATGTAAAATATACTCGAAAAGAAACAACAAGAACAAATCTACTAACAGGAAGTTCCACATTGACGATAAAATCCCTGATTCTTCAGTCTGAGGCTGAAGAGGAATGGGTTTGGATGCATTCCTACGGGGCGGAAAAGATCCTTGCTTCAAAATTACCAGAAAATATCAATACAAAATATAACACATTTTAGCAGGGACACATCTGCGAGGTGCCCATATGTTCTTTGTTTCCGAGTCGAATTGTAATGACTAGTCGAGAAATAGGCAAGAAAAGTGATCTTACTTCGCCACCATTCGTCCGCCACGGAATGAAAACTTCATGTAAATGTAGGCGCCATTCTTGTAGTCAAAGGTGTGTCCATCGTCCACGTAAAGATCTCCCTCTGCTTCAGCCTGCGCAGAAAGAAAGTAAGCGCAAGTATTGAATAGGATTCTTTAGTTTCAGGATGCACGGTACAACCCAGCATTGGGTATGACGTGTAGTTACCGGAACTTATCCCTCCATCTGAGTATAGAACGAATAGGAGTATTCAATACTAACCCTTCCCCTCCCACTACCCCTAAATGGAATGCTCGCCTATCGCACGTTAGCCCCACGCATTTGTTGGTTTCTGTCAATACTTCAAAGTAATGCCAGACACTCCGAGACTGACGAATCTCAGCTTAGAACATAATAACCCAGACAAGGCTAAAATCCGGACTTTTCGAGGGGAGTATTGCCCGTAAACTGTTTAAACATCGATAGGGCCGACATTTATAAGAAACCAGATGTAATAATAGGGAGTTTGAAATGTAACTACGGGTTCGTGTGGTAAAAAGTTAACGAAATAACGTAATGAATTTCCTTCTAAGATTTTCGCCTAAAGCTCGATGTGTTCAACGTTTCTGACGGTCCGACATTGTTACTTCGGCATAACAAGTGAATGTAGCGTTGAGTTCAAAACGTTTAAAACGTGACTGAATTGCTGTCGAGGTTTCCACGCTAAGAGAACGTAAAATTTGGCGATTTCACGTTTTAGTTCTGTATGGAACGGCTAGCAAGTGTACAAACTTTTAAAACACACCTGTTCCGCTATTGTTTTTCTAATTAAATCTTTAGTTTCGCTACATTCTCGTTTCCGTCGCAGTCGCGACTTTCTAAATTCCCTTATAACAGCCAAGTAAAACTGGCAACAAACAAGCATATACAGTTGAAAGGGGTTAATCCATCCATCCGTCCGCCCGTCTATACGTACGCACGTATGTTCGTAGGTTCTCTCGTTAAGTTTTCAGTTCAATATTGTGTAGTCATATGCCTAAACTTACACTGGGATTTAAGGCCATGGTTAACGTATATGGATCCTTGTGCATGAGTGCACTGCATCGGCGAATTCGTTGCTTGGTCGCGATGATGCTTCCTCCACGCTGGAACACTGGGATCTACAATAAAAATTTAACACTACAAAATTAGTCACAGACAGAGGGGAAAACTTACTTTGCCCAGTTCTTCCAAAAGGTGAGAGATTTGATCTAAATCCTCTAAAATATTGATTCAAAGAAAGGAAGGAAATGAAAGCCACTTAAGATTTGTCATCAATGTGGTACGAATTAAATTGATGAATTTACCTTCTCGAGTGGTGTAGACACGTAGATCGTACTCTCCCCTCGGTAAATCTTGAAATCATGCAAGTCGTACCAGTACTGTTTAGAGTAAAAAACACAGTTACGCTGATTAAGATAAGTCTTTTATGAAGGAACGTTCGACAAACAAAGTTATGATGTAAGATAAGCTACCTCTCCTTTTCCTGGAAGGTAAACATCTATCGAGTTCTGTCCTTGGGTCGTGACTGGTTTAACGAGAAGATCTTTTCCTAAAAAGGTAATCGGAATAGCTAATTAACGGCTGATTTCTCTCCAGCCTGCAGTGCAGGCGTCCTATTAGGGCAAGCTAATGTTATAAGCTCGAGATCGTTAGCCATTTGGAGTATGAGTGGACGACGGGGGTTAAGGGCGGGGGGAGGACGAGAATCTTCACTCCCCCGGGCCCACTGTTCGGGAAATGAGCCCGTGCTCCTTTCTGGTAGTTAATTCTCGGGAGGATCGAAGACTGGATCGAAGACTGGACTCACACGACTAAACTCACAAGACTAAACTCACAAGACTAAACTCCCAAGACTAAACTCCCAAGACTAAACTCCCAAGACTAAACTCACAAGACTAAACTCACAAGACTAAACTCCCAAGACTAAACTCACAAGACTAAACTCCCAAGACTAAACTCACAAGACTAAACTCACAAGACTAAACTCACAAGACTAAACTCACAAGACTAAACTCACAAGACTAAACTCACAAGACTAAACTCACAAGACTAAACTCACAAGACTAAACTTACCGAGCAAAAATTCATCTTCCATGGCAAAAGTGTTCTTCTCCTCTGGATACTCCACCCACAGAGGCCTAACGAGAAAGGGTCAATGTTACTTTTATTTTACTTTTTCTGCTCGTTATTTTTAAAGCCATTCGGTTAAACAAAAGAAATCAAAACTGTGAAAGTGGATCGAAAACGAATTTCTGTCTGGATATGTTGCAAAGTTTTACATTTGATCCGTATATTCTTCGATTGGATGCTCAACCTTTGGTTTTTACATCTGTTCAAGTTAATTCCGGTACAGTTCAACAGTGTTACTGCTAATGCTCTAGGATAATGGAAAGCTCATCTCTAATGCATAAACCAGCCACATAACATACATAAACGTATTAAGATCCCACAGCCCAAGACACCTCAAACGCGCGGTTTGACCGTTTGAAAAGTCATTCCCTAGACCTAAAGACTAAATCTCCAAAATGACTAGCACATTGTCTAGTACATCAGTTATGACAATTTGGTGTTCTAACACACAACATTATCCCATGGTTGATAGTTTTCCATACTCTCAACACATGTCGACCTTATCACGAGAATATACTCCTGAACACTCACCTGACTATGGGCGTGCCGGTCTCAGAGGCGTGGTAGAACAAGGTGTACCAATACGGCAGCAGTGAGTACCTCACACGGATGGCGTCTCTGATCAGATTCTTATACTGCTCATCGTAAAGCCAAGGCTCCCGGCGTTTGGTGTCCAAGTGAGCGTGTGCGCGGAAGAATGGCAGGAAGGCAGCCGCCTGAAAAAAATGAAAAACAAAAAACACCCATTGGAACACAAGGTGTTAGAGTGTGGACCTTTCCTTCGCCCCAGTTGATAGTGACAGTCCAAATAGCACATCATGCTTGAAGCTTCCAATAACGGTTAAAATCACACATGCGTCTTCCCAAAAATTAAACCTGCGGTTGGTGCAAGCGACCTGTTCGCGTCCATAAAAAGGGAAATGGATCACTGGAGCGACATCCAACTGAATACCACCACTTAACAAGTCATGATAAAATCACAATTGGAATTACCCAATAAAAACACACTGGAGTCAAGAGAAGGAAAACTGTTGGAAAAAAAAGGAACAGAAAAACAGCGAAGGCCGCGAGCAAACTTTCTTTGTTCCCGCCCCACAACCCCCCTTAATTTAGCTAAGAAAAAAAAACAGGAAAAAAAAAGGAGATAAACGAATAAATCATGTGCGAAGAAAGAAAACCTACCTGATACCATCTGAGTAACAGCTCTGGGTCAGGATTTTTAAAGAAGCCACCGACATCAGCTAAAATAAAAAAAAAAACAAAAGAAAACCACATGAAGTCAACCGTCGTGGAAACAAAGCAGCTACGAACTTGAGTATTTCCAAAATCGTCTCACCTCCGGAAAACGGCAGCCCAACCAAGTTCAGGGTGAGGATCATGGGAAGAGATGCCTTTAGGTGGCCCCAGTCAGCCGTGTTGTCTCCCGTCCAAATGGGACCTAGAAATCAATTAACAGTTCCGGTAAGCTAAATGCACAAGAAGCCTCCATTGGGAAGTTTCAGTTTGGAGGTCCAAATCATTCCGGGATTACATTGGTTTGATTAATCTAAAATTCCGCGCTATTCTCTCTCAACCAATCAGATGCAAAATCGCAATTTGGTCACTCGCGTTTTTCCGTGTTCCACGCGCTTTGTTTATTTGTTTTACTTTGCGCTTTCACTGGCTCCTTGCGATATTTACTTCAATTGTCAGCTTTGTATCCTGTTTAGCACGTCACTAGGAATGAACTAACATCATTTTCAAGCCGGTATCACGTTGCTTTTGTTGTTTTATTTTTTCTTCGCAGACAACAATTACTTACCGTTTCTTTGGGTTCCTGCAAAAAAAGCTCGCGACAGGACAAACGGTCTTTCCCTTCCCCCTGAACGGTCTATCTGTCCTTGCACTGTTGCCATGTGCTGATAGAAGCCGTAGATGTTGTGCACATCGCGGTGTTCCCAGTCTCCGAAGTGAAGCGCGTCTTTATGCATGGTTATTTCCGGTCCATGGAAAACCGAGGGCTGTAAGGCAGGAAAAACGTTGCGGTAAAAACGAATAACATACTTCATGGCTGGTTCTTAGATAAACTGCGACCAGCCCTGCCTTTGAACCATCTCACACTATACTATTACCAGAAAAAAAAAGTTCTCGAGTTACGCTAACCTCATTCATGTCATTCCAGGTAAAGAGAGTTTCTGTGGAGCCCTACAAGAAAACATCACAAATGATCAGAGAAGATAATTCGACAACACTTCCTCAGGTTTGCGTCCAAACTTCCTAAATCATTTTAACTTATGCGTTTACTCATGAGTTTCCCCGCCGAGTGAACCACTCCGACAGGAAAGGAAAAATTTTCCTCTTTGCTATTCTGACTTTGGAGAGATCAACAGCATTACCTAACCAACTTCTTTGAGATCGAAGATAAAAGAAAAAGGTGCATGTGATAATTTTTTTTTTAATTACTCCCTCGGAATCGTAGCTCATCTTTGCTCTGTGTCGTCGTGAAGAAAGCTCCGAATTAAATACTAACAATGCAGTAAACTTTACAAAACCCATATATATGAGACAAATTGTCCCAAAATGTGACTTACCTGATACTCGCTCAGAGCAAATTTACTGCCCCACCACTTGCGAATTTCCGGACTGAGGAAATCGATCCACGATGAAGTTCCTATGAATTAAGGAAATTATACATAAGGACGCAAAAAACGGTTCTTTCTCTTAAGCCAAGCGTTTGGCAGATCAATTCACAGATCAATTCAACCATTTTCAGTTTTCATTAACTATATCGATGATGGCGCCATGATAAACTCTCATTCACCATTACGTTAAAGTGAAAGTCTGGCAGGAAAAAAATAAAGGTTTTCTGGGTCATTTATCGGCTGATGACGCGGTTTTCTTCGTAGGGGAAGAGCGAAACTTTCACCTTCCTCACTTATTATTGTGCCTTATACTTTAAGATTAAAAGTCACTTCGCCACCACTTTGCGATGCGTTTTGATTCGTTCTATTATATACATAGCATCACCTGGCCAACACCAGTTCTCGTATTCTCCGCCATCTTTGTTCTTCACATAATAACCCAGTCTTGTCGCTTCCTGTGAGATTTAAACATAAAAATGAACAAACCCCATGACTATACGAAGCTAAGACCTTCGGAATTGCGGTGCCATGTCTTAGAACTGAACTGCTACATACACTCCAAATACTGCTGAGATCGGAAAGGTACAAAGAATCTTAAGTGAATACTGAGCAAAGAAGATTGAAAACCACAAGAGTAAGGTTAAATCCTAGGTTCCAAAACCAAATGTATTTTTAAAAGATTTTTATTTCAAACATACTCAATGAACGACTGTGACTCACTGCGATGCATCAAGACTCACTCGTTCGTTCTTCTGATGCATCGCAACTCGTGAACAAAAATCGTTCGTGCGCACTTTCCATGGAATGATCTCTATTAACTTGCCTCATGAATGTGATATCCACCCTCGCGTTTGATGTGGGGATCAATGATAGTAACCATCTATAAAATACAATAAAATTTATTAGATAAATGAACAAGTGAAAAGAAAAACAAACAGAGAGAATGCTCATGTACTCAACAAAAAGTTGCGAAATTGAGCAAATTTTGTATAGAGCCGTTTTGCCTCCCACACTTATGTCAAACGGCTAAAATTCTCCTGCTCAAGTTCTATATATTCTCTAGTTATTGGCAATTAGAATTTCTCATCAGACCACGATCTAGTGAAAAACTGTCTTCTTTATATCTTAACCTTCCATGCAATGTATTAATGCTGTAAGGGGTAGTTCCACTTCATGAATAGTGCTATTGCAAGTTTAAAAGGTTAACCAAAAAGAATGCTGCAAAATCCGTGTAATTTTCATCTTCGCCGTGAAAAAGAAGGCATGACCTTGTGACATGCGCGCCCACGATGACCGATTATAAACAGCATCAGTAGAAGACAAAGTTTCTAGATCTCGTCATTCGAATTTTTGGATAACTGTTCGTTGATGTCTTTACCTTTCGACCTTTTGACGCCAAGTTTTTCTGCATCTGGTCAGGCGTTGGGAATTTATTCTTGTCCCAAGTCATATACCTACATTGAAATAGGTAAACACCGCAGCAGTAAGTTACCGCAAATAATATACGCCAAAGACAATTATGACTGATCTGAGTCTTATGATGAGGCACGTCGCTAAGGAATACTTTGAAATCATATCTTTTTGTTTGTTCTGTGGCTGTTATTTTTTTCCACTTAATAACACCAATAAATGACGGTGGGAGCCTGGCTTTAAAAGAACGGATGTGGGCATCTGAGACTGACTTCTTTTACCCTAAAGTCCGATGTACAGAGCAGAAATTTAAGCTTAAACGATTTCTATTTAAAATCAAGTCCTGATAACCATTTGGTTAACCAATACAATTTTGCTCGTCAGACAGTCTGTCTGGAATGTCCCTTTTCGGCTTTTAGTTTTTGTTTGTTTTTTTTTTCTTCCGGTAATTTCCAGAAATGTGTATGTCGGGATGCAAGCTATTCATTGAAGGTTGCCGCTCAAACGAAAGAACACAGAGGAGTGAATGCATTTATTCATGCATTTGTTTTTGTACTCACTTCTTTCCATCAGTATGTTCAATGTCCAGCCACAGAACATCATAGGGAATATCATGATCATCAAAACCCTTATCAACGCTGAAAAAACCACAAGTAAAACACACCGCTTAGCTATGAAGGCTTATTTCAGATCAAAGAGTATTGCTTTATAATTAGATACGACATGCATTATAGTGATCAAAGCGATATAGTTTTCATATATTTTCTATCAATAACTTTCCATCACCCAAACTTAAATTACAGCCTTGGAAATGATACTGCAGATTTCCATGCCTTCCCAAAAAATTTTCCTCGACCTGAATGGACCTTGACCAAAGAATTTCACTTAGTTACAATTTTTTTCACAGAATCCTTTTGCTTCGCTTGAGTTGTCTTCAAGACGTATATTGAGCCTCTACTGGAGTAAAAATTGGTAGATTAAGCTGTTTTTTTCCAATTGAAAAAAGAACGTTAGCCAGAAGTTAATGCATTAAGGCAATTTTTTGTCTTTCTCAGAGCCAAAGGGAACCAATCAGATCACAGGATCTACCTCACTTTGGTGGCTCATCAAAGCAGTGAAAATAAACAAAAAAAATTAGTAGATGAAGAAAACAGAGCTGTTCAAGTGCAACTTACTTTTTGACGTCATCTTCGTCATTGTAATTCCATCGACTTTGATGATAAGCAATTCCAAAAAGCTATCAAATGAGATCATCACAAATGTAAGATTAGAAAGATAAGATCTACATGCTCTACTATTTTTAGTAAGGTGGTTCCAAAAAAAGTATTTATTCCATTTCATGTCTCAGAAACAAGGAAAAACTCAGTTCAACTTCTGTGTCGGAAAATGACTTGCACAGACCTTACTATTAGTCTAGACTTTCACTATAAACCAGGCCTCAGTTGATCGATGAGTGGATAACGTTATTCCTTGGATAAATCTCGATCAGGTGGATAGCGCAGTACGTTTTGTTAACACTTATCCGCTGGATAGCAATTCATTTGTCAGTTAAAGTTATCCATCCATTTAACAATCAGGGTCAGGATATCAGTTTGTAAAATCTATCTCACACTGAATTCTCAAAAAGGAATTTAAACAAAAATTGGAAATCATCTGTGAGAGCTGTGAAAACTGATATAGAGCCAGATAAAACAAAGAAGCCAGACTTACTGGTGGCAGGGCAGTTGTGCCAGTGAATGCAGCATACTCTTGGAACAGGTCATGAGGTTTTGGACCCAACATGACAAACACATCAATGATGCCACTCTCTGAAATCCAGTGGGTGTCCACCTGAGGGACCTCCTCACTTCCCTTGAAAAAGGACATCAGTGAGTTTAACATGGACTGCAAAATAAAAGAACAGTGGAACACAAGAGTAGGCTAGGCCTTTATGGTTTAGTCAACTTTACGCTGACTAATGCTCAGTTGTGTCCAATGCTCCACTCAAAGAAACAATTTATTGGATGCAAGATTTCTTTTATGCAATATGTATGTGCATGCCACTTGAAGAGAATTTATGGATAAGTTTTTATAAAAAATCAAATGACAAAGACTCTAATTTTTGCTCATCAAAATATCAATGTTTTTATTCAAAATTGTTACTTTTTTTCAAATAATTTAATGTGTGAAGGAGTTTCTGCATTGCAAATTTTAAGGCATTTCAAAATGGTTCAGTGTTAGAGCATTTGACATAACCTCACAAAATGAAACATAAATTACCTGCTTTATTAAACTACATTTCTCATTATGAGAAGCTATGAAAAACATTTCTGACCTGAAGCAGGTTAGCACTTAATTATACCATATGTATACTTTATTAATCCAGGAGAGCCTATTAAATGTTAGCCTTGTCAATACCACTTAAAATAAGTTTCAAAATTAGACTTGAATATCATTAAATTCAGAGATTATTAAACAAGTTTACCATAGTTTCAAATTTATATTTCTTTAATTAAATTTAATTAGAACCTTAAAGAAGCATTTGAAGATGTTAAAACATGTTATCTTATCTATTGATTTCAATTGCACAAAAATCTCATTTGAAAATTTGAATATCAGAAAATCAAATTTATTTGTTACAATAGTTATGTTAATGTTAAATGGTATTTGTGCTATTTCACCCCCAAAAATCATCCCTAAACCTCATCTCTTATTTCTATCTTAACGTTAAACACCCTAACATCAGTATCCAAATTCTTCATACTCTTCCTTATACATTTCCTTGGTACTCACAATGAGAATTCATTTATCAATCAAAGCTTCTTAGGTTGGTGATCATTTCCTTTATTCTCATGATCTTATTCTTGTGAATGATTCAGCAGTGTTAATGTAAGGAGGAAATAGATAATGGTCTCAATTCAGGTTTGAACAGTTAGCGACAAAATGGATGAAAGAAAATATTCTCCTACCTTTCTGGCACTGGATGAACTGATGTCCACCCACGTTTCAGCTGCATTCATCCAGAACACACCAACTGTGCGTGCAACACTGAAAGTTCAGAAATCAGAGTATGATGGAATCTGATAACTGCTCTTCAGATCAAACCTCTTCTTTGTAAACTTACCAGTGAGTTTCAGTGAAAGTGAATAACTCTGTGATTACTTACCTATGAGCAATCATGACAGGAATACTGCCATAAAGAGCCATCCTAGAGTCCAGCTCATACTCAAACACATCCAAGTTGTACAAACGGTATGGCTCTGAACCACTGAAAAATGAAAATACAGCAATTAAACAGAAGCACCTTAATGCCTGACCATCTGGACCAGTGTATCATAGGTCTAGTTAATTCTCAAAGTAGTGTCAGCCTGTGTGACAAATCTTGAAGTCTCTTCTCTTTTGAATTGACATCTCACAGCTGTTATTAGCAATAAAAAAGAGTTTTTTTTAAAAGAAGTCTTCTAAAATTTTCAGACAGGTGTCCTAGTGTCTTAGTGAGTCTAGGACTTCACCATTTATCACCCCTGGTATATAAGGATGTGCATAAAAATAATAACTCTGTTTAAAATTAAGGCAAACACTAAAAGCCTTATTGAAGCACTGCTGAGAACCAATTTGATATAAATACATTTCATCATTGATACAACCAGTCAAAGGCTTCATACCAGGAGTACAACATGATTGTAAAAATCCCTCTACAGCAGAACTTACACTGTTGTCTTGAGAGCTAGGGTGTCTGCATGTTCTGGGATTCCATACACATGTTCAACACCAGGGAATGAAATGTCCAAACCAACAGAACAGGGACCTGAATGATGAAAGTTTAAAGGTACAGTAAATATCATGGCAACAAACTCACATGCAAGACAGCTTTCCACTAAGTTTCAAATTTGACTAAAGAAAGGGTTGCAAGCAAAAATTACCAAATTCTTCATAATTGTAAACATGGCCATATCTTAACTCTTTAACTCCCACGAGTGACTAAGACAGAATTTCTCCTTACAGTATCAATACTATATCAACCAGATAAGAGATGAGAATAAAGAAAAATATCAATTTGGGGATAATTAGTTGATCCAATACTAAATTCTCTGAACTAACATTATAAGAATTGTATGGTTGAAAGTAAGGAGAATTGCAAATTTGATCTGGGAGTTTAAGGGTTAAACAGATACAGTGTAACATCAAGTTTCAGCTTTTCTTTTCTGTGTTTTTTTTTTTCCCTTGTGAGCTTTTTAAAATGGGATTACTTACTGCATGGACAGAACTTATGTTGAATTACCTCGTGGTCGAGAATCATGATGCTCTTTAAAGTTTTCTTCCCAGTTTTCTTCTTCGACTCTTTCTTCTTCTTCTTCTTTTTTCTCCGCATTTTCTTCCTAGAAAATAAATACCACCCCAAATCACACATTGACATCACAAGTATAAATCCCTGTCAGTACCTAAGGAAATGGAAGGTTAGAAACCTGAATTTCTCGTACCGATTCTGGGTGCTCATCTGACTTTTCCTCCTCATTTTCTCCAGGTGGGTGACCTTCTCCATCGTCATCTTCAACCTTGACGGGAATTTTCCTAATTGGGATAGAGAGAGAGATAATATAAAGCTGATAATGTATTAATACCACCTCTACTGTATCAGGAGTGGAACCTTCATTTAGTGTGGACCCCTAACATGCACAGCAATAATATCAATTTTAAGAATGATTGCAGCTTACTGTTTTTCTCTATAATGCTCAAAATTCATCAGCCCTCTTGAATTAACAGATACTGCCACTTCATTATCAACCAAAAAATCCAGGCGGAAAGGTTCAAATGTTAAAACAACACTGTTGTTATTAAATCCAATGTGGACACTCTCATCATCCTGTTTGAGTTTTTGGTTACTGAAAAATATCAATGAAAGCAGTTAAATATTGGAACAAACAGAGGCTACAGATAAATATCTAAAATGTTAGATCTATCCCTTTGAAACCTTAAACCAACCTGCTTAGAAAGAAAATAGAAACAAACACACAAACTGGAAATAAAAAAAAATAGAAGGATAAAACCATTACAGAACCAGTCAGGGGATGCATAATTACCAAACAAAAAATATTTAGGGGGTACAATAAAGAATTGCCTCCTATCTTATATTAGATATTATATATATATTAGCCAGCAAATGAGATGTCAAGAAAAAACATGCACAAAAGCACAGATCATTATTAACAGCCAACTCGCCGACGTATAAAACTTCCTACAACTTATTAGAAGTTAAACATAAAGAAAAGTAAATGATATTTATTAAAAAAAAAAACACTTGTGAACATTGGTGAACATCAAACAGAAGCTTAAGCCAGCTGTTATAGTCATTGGTGATGTTCACCGATGTTTAAGCTTCTGTTTGATGTTCACCAATGTCCAATGTTTTTTTACTAAATATCGTTTAATTTTCTGTATGTTTAGCTTCTAATCAGTTGTATTGGATTGACGACCAACTCGCCGACGTCTCTACTCGATTTTATACGTCGGCGAGTTGGTGTCGGCGAGTTGGTCCGTCGGCGAGTTGACCGTAAACCACAGCACTTCCTCAAAGATTTGAAGTTCAGACCACAAAAAGGTTAAGTCATAGCCTTACCTTATAGTCTTTGGTTCTTGAATCAAGACATCTTTGACTTCATATCTTGGTCTAATTGGGTTCCGTTCATTAATTCTAAATCTTATTGTATTTTTTTCTAATGTTTGAAGCTTTAGACCGAGTAATACATTTGATTTCTTATTTAGTATATTAACATCAAGGGAGGAATCTGTAAACACTAGAGAATCTTTGACTACTGAATATGGAGACTCTCCTGGTTGAATTTCCCTATTATTCCTGTAAACAAAACAATAAAAACAAATGTAATTCAATCCTTCTCAAATATAACAAAAATTTTACTCCACAAACTTAGAAAAACAGCCACAATATATTTTTCATTCTTTCACTGTCATACCCTAAACCCAATTCTGACTTTCAGTTGATCAATCAAGCATGTGATTGCATCCAATCAAAATAAATCAAACATTTAAAGACAAGTTGGGTAAGGGACTGTTGATGTACAATCAGTGACAAAAGTTTTGTGATGTTTCATTTTCTTCCTGACTTGGCTGTCTTCTTACTCGCTGAAATTTGTACCCCTGAACCCAACTTCAGCAAAATACAGAGTTTTGGCAATTCTACCTTATTGCTTGAGTTTAATTAATGAAGTCTGGGTGGTCGGAGGGGGGGGGGGGGGAGGGAGGGGAAAGATGGAGGTGCTTCTCAGTAAAATGAATATTTCTGATCATGTAGTCTGATTGCCCACATAAGAGTAGTCCGAAAAGGCCTTAGTTGAGACTGACCTTCAAAAACTTTACTAAGTCCAGCTCCAGGGGTTTCATTAACATTTTCAGCTGGAAGACAACTGATTTTCACAAGCGGGAAAAACTTTTTGAACTGAATTTCTTTACAAGATGAACTTTCCTTGAGACGGTCAAACCAGGTGGCCAAAACCATCCTCATAACTTGACAATTTGCTAAGTGCCTGGCCTTAAATGAAACCAATGCCGCTCAATCCCTATAACATCTTCTATCAAGGTTGTTGAAACATCAACCACTACTCCTTATAACAGTCCTTCCTAGAACAACTCTTACCTGAGCAAACAGACTACATAATTAAATGTTTCTCTCAGGTTCAAAATAATGTGTAACTTAGAACCTCTAACAAAGGCGGACTTAATCAAGAAAAGCCACTGTTCTGATCATCACACATACTAATGTCACTGATTTTAGTTTCCGGTTGAAGTTCATTGTTTCTACAACCCATTCTTAGAAGGTGGCAACCCTCAACTTGAAGATACCAAAGTCAGCGGGCAACAGGAAACTATACTCTAGAGAAGTTGAATGTTATGGGCAGAATTTCCCACATCAGCATCTTATTTTTAGTTTAAATGAGTATACCAGAGGGGAGAAGCTTGCATGTGCCTTTACCCTTCAACTACCCCCCTTAACTGCAATTTGTCTATTATGGACTCCTATGGATATACAAAACCCCCACAATAAAGTTGAGCTAAGCCAAGCTACCTTGTCTTGCAGAGACAGCCTAGCTCACGAACTGTCTTCTCACAAAAGAACCAAATAACTTCACGGAATTTAAAAGCAGACATCCAAAAGAATCTACTTCAATTTTTTCTGTAAATCAACTCTTCATGTAAATAACACAATGTAACATTTTAACCATCTTACTTGCAAAAGCTACTTTGCTCACACTTCTTAAAGTTTCCCTTATCCACGGCATTAATTTCTGGAATTATCCACACCAGAAGGAGTGAAACAATCCTAAAAATTAAAGAATAGAGGCAAAAATCTACTTAGAAGGTTTTTATTAAATCTTGTCTGTCGGGTGACATTCTAAAACGGGATCTGCAATTCCATGTACGCATGTTCATATAGCACGTTTGTGGGTATAAGTTATTGATGCTTAAGATGAGACCTGAAAGATTTTATATGAAAGCTTTTACATGAAAGTTTAATTTACTAAATATCATTAAGCAATGCAAAATCCCTGTTATGTCAAAAAATCTGAAATCAAACAGAGGAGTTTACACGTGTCGAGTTCATGGATCTTACATGCAATAGCATATGCGGTCATACACTCCGAAAAAAATCGTTAGGAGGACTTAAACAGAGAAGACATGAGTAAAGGTGAAGTAAAGCGGTGGGTAAATTTAAAGAAAACAAAGCGATCACTTTACCTTGAGATATAAAACGTAGCCATTGAACTCCACCGTATTCTCACCTCAGCTCTTCTCGATCTCAAGATTGAATATTGGTGAGTGAACTGGGAAGGAATTGTCGGTTCAAACTCCCGGATGCAATTGAACGGAACTGTGGTAGACTGGGTACTACCCATTCTGTAGGGCTCCCTCTTCGAAGTAACCAACTATTCTTCAAAGTTTTGATCGCAGCATTTTAAACTTAAAAGCTACTTAGGAGGGTCTGAAAACTTACTGAAAATGGTATGTTATCTTTCTTTAGTGCCTTGAAAGTGTCCTTGATAGACTGTTAACATTAGGGGTGCGATAGGGTCTCTAGATTTCAACACATTTTCTTGTCGACAAAAGCATCCCCTAAGCTGTTGCTTGTTGCTGTGGAAAGGCAGATAAATGTATTCGTAGTTTTGATATTGCTAGAGTTGTGGCGACATTTGGATCGGTGTTGTTTCATTTTCAATTATGCTTGCTTTCTTAATAGTAGCGCAAAGATAAGGCTGCAAAGCTCGCTTTTTAAGGACGATTCTGCTCTAGTTTTACTTTAAACTTAGCATCGTATGTTTAATATGTTGATCGAGTGTTTATAGCTGCTGCAGTTATTATTAGGAGGTGAACACGTCCAATACTTATTTAGACATACCACCTTCCTCGACGAACTTCGTTTCGGTTTTATCATATCTACTCAAGACTAAATCAATATGCGAACGTGTTGAAAATTTATCTCTGAATTCTCTTCCGTTCTTAGGGAAACGAAGCTTCTTTGCCGGGTGATATGGTGACACATTGTAAGTACAGTAGTAACGCTCTCGCGCGGCGTCTGTTATATTTTTGTCCTGCAGATCTTACGATTTCTCCTTTTTTATCCGCTTCCTATTTTCTCGATACCCGTGGTAATGATCTTCGTTTGAAACTTCAGTTGATGCAGACGAAATAAGACGCCTCGGGAAGAGATTTCGGAAGCTCGATTTGGACAAATCTGGTGCCCTTTCTGTTGACGAATTTATGTCACTACCTGAGTTACAGCAAAACCCTCTAGTCCAAAGAGTAATCGATATCTTCGACACAGATGGGAATGGCGAAGTGGATTTTAAAGGTTAGAATTAAATATAGCTTTTTGACTGTTGTATTATTTAATACATCGCTCGATCGATATCGTGAAAACATACGGGATTCATACGCAGTTTTGCATATTAGGCGATAATTTCGGCGGTAAATTTTTGTTTGCGAGGGGTGCACTGGGAAAATTTTCGTGTTACTTGGCGAGGAAACTATATCCTACATTCTGCTCCCTCTCCATGAAAATGCTCTCTCAGATTATTCAGATCTTGCGCTAAATCGCTAATTGAAAATATGTCACGTTATCTGCAATCAAACTCAGCAACTCCCAACGTTGAAGTCTTGGTGAAAATTTGCGAGCATTGTATCCGGTGTTTTTGCCCTCTCTGTTGAGTTTTTTTAAACAGATTACAACAATTACCGATAATTTCACTTCTCATACACCAAGAAGTATTCATAGTTTTTGTCTTCCGCGAGCTTTACTGCGAAAACAAATTGAAAGAAGCCTTGATCGGGCACCTGCCTCCCAACGGTTTTAAGAATTTCGCCGAGGGACGGATCTAATTGTAGTGAAATTGGTATCCAATTAAAATGGTTTAAACCGGGTTTACGATTGATCTGACTTGCATTTGAGCCGTCCTTTTTTATTAAGTGTGAATGGAGTACTTTTTAGGGGCAGCAGCTGTATTTTCTGTTATCAGTTGAACGCGAAAGTCAGCCAAAACTAACTCGGTGCGCGGCCGAGGGGAGCACAATATATTGCGATCAATATCGAGTGTAGGCTCAGCCAATTTCCCGTTCTATGCTCACAGGGTATCTCGGAACCATTTAACGATTTAATTTTCAATGCAAACAGGTCTGGAGTGACTCCATTTGTAAAGTTATTGTCAGCGACGTGGATGTGCTTAGCAACTCAGTATTTTTCAAATAAATACGCATAAAATGTAATCGTACGATTTTTCTGTTAAAAATCAACCTATATTTTTAAGAATTTATGGAACACATCGCCGGAAAATTCTCGCAATTTAGGCACTAGTTCAAGGTCAGTTTATATTTTTGTGTGACATTCATACTTTTTGATACGACAAGCCAATTTGCTAAAAGTGAGCCCAATTTTAGGCTTGTCAATTTACATATTAAGTAAGAATTATGGTTTGGAAAACCCAGTCAAATTTTGATACTTAACTTTCAAACAAATTTGCCACAACAGTAAATAAGGTTGACATTATGATTCTTGAGCTGGATGAAAGTCCAACAAAAATACTCGATCTGTCAGGCAAATGTTGAGTTGTAATTTAGAAGGCAACCTCTGGGTGGTCTAGTTAATTTGCATATGTAGCCAAAAGCTAAACTATTCATTGAGTATAAACATGTTAAAAATTAATGAGGATGCTGTGTTTTTCTCTTGCGGAAAAATGAATGTTTTGGAGGAAATTAAGACTTATTTTAATAGGGAATATGTCTTGGGAAGGCACTTTGTAAATGAGCAAATTCTGCTCGATATGATTTCTAGTTAAATTTGAAAAAGTTAAATTATTCTTGTAAATTGTGTTGATTTTCGAAGATACTGAGCTGTAAGCTGAATAGAAATGATTATCATTGCTGAGGATAATACAATGAGAGTGCTTTCCTCAAAGAGTGCTTTGAGGAAATTTTATACTTTCTTTGTCTTGAGTGCCACTATTGCCACAGACCTTCATACCATGAAGTTTCTTGGTTAGCTGGAAGAAAGTAATGTTGAATTGATTTGAACTCATGGTAGGGCTAACTAGCAAAAAACTGCAAACCTCAAGTGGATCCTTGTTGGTTCCATTCTTCCTAAAGAAAAAATGAAAGACTAACATCTTACTTTGAATCAATGATTTTTAAGTAAAAACAGGAAAGTAACATTGAAATTCTTTAAGGGTGAAAAAGAAAATTTGATAGAGTCCTTCAATGAGCTGAGTTTCATCACAGTATAATAAAATAAACAGCCACCTAAATTCTAAAGAAAAATGGTTGGTGGTGGTGAATTAAGTCTCCCAACTTTGATGCAATGTTACTGAACCAGTCTTGACTCAGTGACTAATTTTTCACCAGTATCAGATTATATGCTGGGCAAATCAGGTTGTAATTTGTCAGATATCAAGTCAGTGTTTTGTCATACCTCTCAGGAATTATTTGTGTTGATACACCCTCAAAATCATTTCAAATGAAATCTGGAACATAAATATATACACCATATTCAGTGACTTGACATAAATATGAGATCAAGGAACAAAATATCAGCCCATATTATGAGTCGAGCTATCGAATAAGGGATTTATTATGCCGCTATTATTTATATTGTAGTAATTTGGCCGGTTTTAGTTTTCAAAATACATCCACTGGCTTTATCTGAAAATTGTATCTAAGGAATAAGGTGCATGCTACAGATGAAAACATCCAAAAAAAAAAGAATCCCCCTGAGACTAATTTTTGTTTTGACTTTTGTTTTTTGCTCTGCTGTTCAGTTTTAATATGTAATACTGTAGCACATCTTGTGCATTCTGTTACCTCATTATGATAAAATGGTGTAACAGAGAAGTATACACTGATAGAGGACATGTTTTGGCCTAACAGTTTGCATGCAAAACTCAAGATGGAGATGTCCATGTTTGGACAGTGTTTGGGTGATTGTATTGTGTCTTTAGGCCAGGTGCTCTATCCTGAGACAATGCAGGAGAGGGTAAGAGGGTTTATACCTGGGATGGATAAGCATGTTCTAAATAAGTTGGAGAGGAAAAGATAAATGAGGAATACTAGGCAGCCCAGTTATCATGGATGCTATGTTGTTTCTTTAGATTATGAGCATGAATTATTTACTCAAAATGTTGTATGCATTGATTCTGTGAAGTTCACTCGAACTTTGGGGCAAATTCTTAATGTGGAATTAACTCGCACATCTGAACCTATTACTGTTAAAGTTTGCATTCAATTCCATTTAAGACTGAGAAATGGCTACAATACAAATACCTCCAATGATATTTCGATGACTGTGCAATTTTTCATCAGAAGTTGTGGTAAATTTAGGTGTGAATAGCTGGCTAAAGAGGGTAGACTTGTCGTTGGTTTTGGCTGGCCATTAATTCTTTTTGACAGCACTGAATAAACACTGTATCTCATTGTCCTGATGTTTCAGAAATTGGGAGTGCACTTAAAAAAAAAAGAATGAGCATTTTACATATTACTCTATGCAAATGTTAAACTTACTGTAACTTTAAACCATAAATGCCAAGTATTGAAAACATATCAGCTAGCCACAGGACTGCTTTACACAGGAAAACCAAAGTGACAACTTTCATCAGGAATTTGATTGCAGCCTGTAGTGCTGTTTTTGATTGTCACCCATCAAAAGCTTTACAGAGTAGAACGATTCATTTTTATGTCATAACAATTCAGTTCCCCACAGAAATCGCTAAAAATATATTGTACAGTCATGCCAGTCATGGTTAGGAGTGTTGCAGTATACTATGAATATGTGATTTGGAATGTATTTTAATGTGTCAAAACTATTCCTCTAGGTTTAATTTTTATTTTCTTAAAAATGAGACATTTACATTACACCTGGCTTTTTATATCAAGACAGTTATATGACTGTTGGTAATTGTCAGTCTAATGACAAGCCAGCTTTGTTAGTACTGTTTATCACATTTGGCCATCTTCTATCCCATATCTGATTTACTCTGCATGTAGAGCATATTTTAAAACATTATGGACCAAAATTGTTTTGTCAAAGTTATGGACCAGTACAGATAAAGATCTATTTATGCAATAAGGGTGTTAGCTATTTCCCCTAGTCACACTAACTTATAACTATTATCCTTAACACCTTGTGGGGGTCCAATTGAAAGTAAACACATTAAATGAACTAAATTTTACCTTCTGTTATGTATTATTCATTGTTTTGGCTAAACTAGAGACATATAGAAATCACTCTATGCTTGTGAGCCCTCTCTCAAAACCAATTTTGGTTTGCTTTTTTTTGTGCTGAGTTTCTGATGTCATGCACCACTCAATTTTGTTGACGTCTTTCATTTGGTTTTTGGTGATTGTCATCTCTGTTTTGATTGTGACTGAGATATATGAGTGAGTTACTTTCCATTTTGACAATTGTAAAACTGAACAGATATCTTGGAATACCATCTGGAAAGCTGAAGAACAATTTATTTTTTGGAAGGAAATTGCTTGGCAGGAGTTGTTTTGTCTACAAAATTAATATCTATAGGGGTGAGGGGTGTCCTAATTTTGATTGTAGCTTTTCAGACAGGTGTTGGGACATAATTGAAAAGAAAATTTAATCATCAACAGCTCTGACAATTACTGCCTGTGGAATAGTTTTTTCTAATTATTTATTTGTAAGTTATGGTCACAAAGGCCTAGTCTAAGCCGGTAGCATATGGTTCTGAGGAAATGTAATATTTGGCTTATAAATAATGCTATTTAAAATTCACCAAAAAACAGCAGTGAACAAATGTTTCCTAGAACAATGTAGATGTCAGTGGTATCATACCACAGGATGTATTTTTTGTAATTTTATTGATTAATTTTTCCTCTTTTACTGCATTTTTTCCCACTGAGATCACTTTCCCTACCACTGTGTTTAGATCAGATGCTTTCATGTGTCGAAACATTTTGATTTATGTATTTCTTCAATATCACTGAAGTTACAGATAAATATCAGGTATCACTGCTGGACGTCAGAAGTGTGAGTTGTGAAATTTGGGTAAAAGATCTGTTTCTGGTCAGAAAATTGGGTGGACAGTATTTAAGGCACACAAGGCAATTTTTTTTTGTACTTGCAGACCACATGAAGGGTACCAAAATTTTTTAGAGACTCAAGGGCTACATGTAGCATCTAACTTGTGGTCACTCCTTGGTCTTTGTACTATTTTACATAATAGTTATGGATGATAAAGATATTTTAGGGTTGCTGTAAATTAAGAGCAGATAGGTATCAGTGATTATACTCAGAAACAATGTGAAATAAAATTAAGATTTTTAGTTTCCATTGCAAACATGCACGTACAGGTAACCAGTAGTTTGTCATTCTATAGGAAGTAAGTGGCAGATATACATTATCTTATTTTTTTTTGGTAGTTTTCTCTAAAAATGAAACACTTCATTTGTGTAACTAATTGCACAGTTAAAATTCCTAATGTTGCTTCATGTCATTAACAATTTGGTATGGTTAGCCACAAGACAATTCCATTGTGTAGTCTCATGTCCTTGTTGCTCGGGAACGACCTTCAAACCCTCCGAACAAGCAGGGAGGTGTGGAGGAGTCTTCATTACACCAACTACTACAAAAAAAATTCACTTCAGCACTAAAGCTTATCCTGCATTATCCTATTAAAAAATATATAATGAAACAGAACTAGAGCAATTTATTTAAATTCAGCTAGATTTAAACACATCAGTCGATCAGATTGCAGCTTATTCACTAATCAGGGATGTTTTTGCAGCTGCTTTGTCAATTAACAGTCAGCTTGAAACTGTTGGTGTTTAATACATGTATGCATTTTAAAAGTATTTTTACTAAAGTTGCAGGTTTTAGGGTTCCAAATTGGAAATATTGTTTGCTGCATGCAATCGATATGGAATTTAAGATGCAGTTGTTAACTACAGAAATAAGTTAAGATGAAAAAGCTAATCGGGGATAAGAACACTGACTCTAGAAAATGGACAGTGATTAGTTTGGTGTTAAGTTTGTTCTCTTGTCCTGAAATTAAATCAAGATTGTTCATGTCAGTCTTAGTCTCACCATTAGCTAACAACTCTTTGTTATGTACACACACTGTACATGTTTATGTTAATCATCTTTGTTGATCTATTTTGTTTCTTGCTTGTTGTTTTGTTATTTTCTTTAGAATTCATAGAAGGAGTTTCACAGTTCAGTGTAAAGGGAGACAAAGAATCCAAGTTAAAATGTAAGTTCAGATGGGTGCAGTGCATCAAGAAGGTTAACCCTTTACACCCTAACATCAGTATCCAAATTCTCCATACATTTCTCTATAAATTTTCTTTGGTACTGGCAAGGAGAATTTGTTTAGCAATCAAAGTATCTTAGGTTGGCAATCGTTTCCTTTATTCTCATGAACATAGTAAATGATTCAGCAATATTTCTGAAAGGAGAAATTGGATGCTGGTCTTTCATAGGGTTTAAAGGGTTAATGATTTACCTAGGTATTAAAAGACTTCTTTCCTTTCTTGAGAACCATACAACTGCATAAGACTGGTCCTTTTTGAAACAACTGCTGTCCTGTGCAAGAAATCCACAATTTTCAGTCTGTGTCAGTCCACTGTTGGGTATGCGAGTCTCTTGCAAGTGTTTGAATGGCAAGCAGACCATTATCATCAAAAGTGCTTACAGTGAATTCAAGTTGTAGATAAATGAAAGATGTCAGAGGAGTAGGAAGTAAATCCATGTGTAGATTAAGCTCTAGGGGTACATGTACCTTTACTTTGCCTCTTGCTGAGGTTAAGTTAACCTGTTTTATTCCTTTTTTTTTTTTTTTTTTTGCATAGTTGCCTTTAGGATATATGATATGGATAATGATGGTTTCATATCAAATGGAGAACTCTTCCAAGTTCTTAAGATGATGGTAGGAAACAACCTCAAAGAGACTCAGCTACAACAAATTGTGGATAAGACTGTTATAAATGCTGACAAGGATGGTGATGGAAAAATCTCTTTTAGTGAATTTTGCGCCGTAAGTGAACAGATTAGTTACTGCATGTGTGTAGATCATTGTTGCTGTCATTGAATTATCAAATAGTTAGGTGGCTTGAAACCATATTTAAGGATCATTTTTTAACTCTGTAGTTTGATGAATCTTGATGTGCTGATTTCAATTCATTAGTAAAAAATGGGGCTGTCTAACTAGTTTTTTAATTACATGCACATAAGGCTAAAATTAAGGTTGTTTCTCAGTGGCTAATGTTGTTATAATATCCATTTTTGTCAAAAAATTGTCGCATTTTTTGAGCCATAGTTATTGACATGACATGAAAAAACTATGTAAATTGCATGAAATTGAAGATTCAGAAATTAAGGATTGGGTCTGAGCTCGAGGAGCTCACAAATGCAAGGAAAACTTGCGTATTTGTCCTGATTGAACTGCATTGGGAGACTGCGTGTACTCTTGAAGTCTTGGAACTATTCAGCATTTATAATTTCAATTCTTCATGCATTCAATGAGTGTTAATCCTTTAACCTGTAAGAGTGATTAACACTTAATTTCTCCTTACAATATCATCCCCAAATCACACATTTAGGTAAGGAGAATAAAGGAAATGATCACCAACTAAAGGAGCTCTTGATTGTTAAACAAATTCTCCTTGTCAGCACCTTAGGAAATGTAGAGAGCATAGTATGGAGAGTTTGCATACCAATGTTAGGGTGTAAAAGGTTAACAATAGTCAAACTTGTTGGCTGAATGGCCTTATTTTGATGTAACTCCAACTTTTTGTAATAATTTACAAGGAAACAAATAACAATTACAGCTAAAAGGAAGACTGCGGTTGATAATTATTCACCGAATTTTTCAAATGAAAGAGTTAATTTGATTACTCACATTGATTGACAGGTTGTTGGTAATATGGATGTTCACAAGAAGATGGTAGTCGATGTCTAACAAGATCTTAATGAACCAAGTCTTTGAACTATTTATTATTCTTATTTCCACGAGGAGACATTTTGTAAAAACAAACAAACAATGATATTCTTGACCTCTATCTCTTGTGGCTGCTGCTGCTGCATGTTGGGAAAGCATTGTTGCAGCGGTTGGTTGATTCACGTGGCTACATGAAGGAATCAATGAGGTGCTGTCCTTGCTAGAACAAAAGATGCCAGCTAGAAGCAGATGTGAAACGTAAAGAAATAAGAAAATATACGACTATAGTATATATATTATACAGTAAGCAACTTGCCACTCACAAGAATGTCTGTAAAATGGAAGCAGTTATTATGGTTAGAATTAGGGAAGACTTGGGTTTTGTTGAATTTTATTAACTTTGACTCTGAGCATTCATATGTAGCATTTTATTGGAAAAAAATGAGTAAATATGATTGTCCCATAACCCAGCATGCATGCACAAACACGTGGTTATGTTTTACAAACTCTCTTAATTTTTTGCTCCTCCTAATGTTCGTCAAACTGACTGCCCAAAATTATTAAAATGTATTTCCTTTCAGCTTCCCATTTTGCTTGTACTGTAGTCCTTAAACATAAACAGCATGCTCTTGTCTGCTTGCCTAGATTTGTAGTTTTTTGATCAATAGACTCATTCAGACACTGACAAATACAACAGAACTATGTCAAACTGAAATTCAAACAAGACAAGGCACTAAGCTTCCATATCATTCAGAAATGCCAAGAATTTTAGTTTATTTTGACAAACTTACTGGGTGAAAAGTGAACTTCTTGTCAAGTGCTACCTTGAAATACACATATATCTGTATCTCAAAGCGGTTTTTAATTGATTAATACAGTTAATTTTAGTTCAGCTTAGATATTATCATTGCCTTGTACAATTCATAAAAAAGGTTTTATGAAATTGATGACTCTTTTTTCATTAGCAAGTGAATATTCTAGGTGAATACTGGACCCAAATTTTCCTCTCAATTTAATAAAAGTATACTTGGTTAAGATCCCCTGTCAAAAAATCCTTTTCATGCCCTTATGTCACATTTACAAATGCGTTCACTTTTGCTAGGTTTCTGTTCAGTAATAGATCACAGCTGACGTCAAAATGTAGTTTAAAAAAACTGACACACAAGATACAGCCAAGTGTGTCACTGATGTACTTAGCACATTTTGACTCCAAATTTGATATATTACTGTACAGATTTACAGCAACCCCAAATCATATTTGTTTGTGTGATAAAAAAAAAACTAAACTAAATGTTGTGGCATCATCTTTATGTATGTCCTCTGATAGATCATAGGTAGGAAACAAAATTAATTAACTAAATTAAATCAATTAACATATGATCCATTCCTAACATTATAGTAGTAATTGAGACTGTCCTTCTGTGCCATTTGTCAGATTATATCATTGGAAATGGTTGTTAATGCTTATGGCTAAATCATTCATTTTAGTTGCTGGCATTTGCAAGCACATCTGTGACAAATTCAGTTGCCTTAATGGTTCCTTTAAGAAACCAGGATTTTGTTGTTGAAAAAGTGTAATTTCTATTTCTGTTTTCCTTTGTATGCTTTGGCTGAAAGACATCAATTGAATGTGGAAGAGAAGACCACTAATTGACTTCGTTTATTCTCTCTCTATTTTCACACTGTTCAAAATAAACCTTGTTCGTCCCAAAATATTTTGTCCTAAGCAATCTTTTTGTTTATCCTTGGGGATTGTAGGTCCTGTAAGCAGATAAAATTAAAGCTTTAGAAAAACTTTTGGGGACAAATAAAGTGTTTAATGTTTAAAAACACTAATAAATTAAGCTGAAAATGTTTATAGTTGTGGGATAAGAGTATTTGTATTGCATTTTTTTTTGTTACTCCAAGTGCTAGTTATCAACAACTTAATTACATGTACTTACATAAAAATCCAATGCCATTTTATTGCTATCATTATTGTTATTATTATATTATTGTCTTTATTATTATTATTATTATTATTATTATTATTATTATTTATTGTAATTAACATCCAAAAGAAGGACAAAGCATACTCTTCATCTTGCCTGGTGTTTTCTTTTGTAAATTGTTTGAATGTCATCTTGAGCGATCCTAGTGGCATCTATGAAGAATATTAGTTGAACAAAGCCATCATCCTTGAATCTACACTAGACAGTAGTTCCTTTATTGAAAGTAAGATTTTCTTAACCCTTTAACTCCCATGGGTGACCAAGACATAATTTCTCCTTACAATATCTGTACAATAGCAACTAGATAAGTGATGAGATTAAAGAAAAAATCGATTTGAGGATAATTAGTTGATCCAAAACTAAATTCTCTGAACGAACATGGTAAGAATTGTATGGTTGATAGTAAGGAGAATTACAAATTTGATCTGGGAGTTAAAGGGTTATTAACCGAATTTTTAGGTGAAGGATTGTGTCGCGTTTTTCAAGCAGAAAGGTTTGGAAGGTGAAAATTGTCTGAATAATAACAGTATGTCGTGGTTATAACCTGGCAGTGCTTCTCACTTCATTAATTTCTTACATCTCTGTCAAAGCAGGTTTCAATTGAATGTCAAATAACCAAACCCAAAGTAACCTCAGTGGCCCATCACAACAAAGATAACATTATCATTAACCGTTGAATGTTGTCCTTCGGTAGCATTTTAGATAATAAACTGACGAAAGTTTAAATAAGGCCTTAAGCTGCTATATAATTGATGTTAAAACCTTTTAAAAATCCAAGCTTTGGCCGATTTCTCGAGGATTAGGAGGATTCGTGCATTTTTGTCGCCTGTCTGCGGAAATATGGGACATGGTAGGAATTTGACGGAATTTACAACATGGCGAGGCGCTACTCTTCCCTCGCAAAATTCTGGGGAGAGCGAAAAAATTGCCTAGGAAAGATCTTAAGTGGTGGTAAATCAGAGTTTTCGATCAATCATGGTAAAATTTGTTGTGTATACACTTTGATTTGTCAGCAATCCATACTCATACAATCATTGAAAAAAACCGTTTTTGCTCTCAAACAATTTATTAATCAAATATTATTTCTTAACACATCGACACAATATCGTATATAGAATAAAAAGCTTACAATGAATACTAGTAATTTTTTCCTAATCCAGGTATATATAAACTGGACTGAAACATTTCATAACAAGGTTCAAATTTAAAGAAATGGAGTAGGGTTATTTTGGAATAATACTAACAAAGACTTCTTCCTCTTTTTGGAACATCAAAAATTTCCATTTCGCTTTTAAGCAAATTTCTGATTCGCTAAAAATGTCTAGAAAAATAAGCAATATTTGCACTGATACAAACGTTTCAGCTTACATTAACCTAAATGAGGATCCACAGCTTTTAGAAAGCAACATAATATCAGTTTAGAGACCAATGTTTTGGTCAGCATCCGCTTCTTCCTGTTGCCGGCATGAGATCAAAATTATGCTTCGTCTTTTAACTCGCACCAGGTTGCCTTTGCCACTCATCAGTCACAGTTTTTCTCTGCACTACCACTGATTCACCTTTCCGTCACTTTTGATCAAACGGTCAACGTCGATTCGATGAACTGCAAAAAAATCGTGTCAAGAGATTCAACTCATTCGTTCAACTATAAAAAATCTCAACATAAATCCAGGAGTCTGAGTGAAGGCATTAAATCACCTCAAGATTTGATAAAGACCAAGTCAAGGCTATACTGAGCTACACACTATCTCCTCACACATACAGAGGGTTGAAATGGACGGATGTCACTCTCCCTTCCCTCAAACAGAAATTACGGCACTCACAAAATAGCGACAGGTCCACAAATAGAATGTTGAATTTGAACTGAAGAGGTTATGGTCATGGGTTCTGGTTTTACTCCAGATCTTGGTTCAGGTGCGGTCTTCATGGCGTCTATGATTTTACGATTTTTAGCAACTTACGTCGTCGATGGTGAACACGGCTTTCTCTGATCGTCGACCTCGGCTCATTGCGTGTCTTCTAAAAGTATCTTGAGAAAATAAGAGAGTAAATGTTACTTCAAAAGAAAAATGAAATAATGTTCCTTGAAATCAGATTTTTCAGCTGGGGAATGAATGGGCCTCCGCTGCATGCATACGCGCTTGGCGAGCACTACGAGCTCCGGTGTAACAGATTGTGTTCTACTCTGATTATAAGTCCAGGCTTATTTCAAACACTGTTTTAAACTATGCCCCGTACCCCCCACCCCAACCCAGAGGCCAGATAATGTCATTGTGGAAATCTGAGAGAATGCTTGCTTTTCCCCTACACCTTAAAAACCTGAGTAATCAAATATCAGCCCGTTCTTTTGAAAAACTGACGGTTTTTACCGTCGTTTCGGGCATAAACCAAAGTGATTCTCTTCAAGGATACTAACCGAACATGACTATGACACGGACCAAAATCTGTATGAAGATATCGAATGGAATCGTGCCTTTCTTGTTGTGATACCTCAGGATGATTGCGCTCAGCGCAGAATTACTGAGTTGATATCCTGCAAGGCAAGAAATAACGAGGCAGAAATAAATTGCAGTAGAAGGAAAATGTTCAAAAGTGGTAAAATTTGAGAAAATGAAGCGACAGGTACGTAGCTACCTAATGATTTGAGAGCGTCGCGGAGCTCGAACAGGTTCATATCACCACTTTGGTCTTTGTCAAAACGGAAGAAAACGGCCTGAAATGAAACAGCACTCTTGGTATTAGTGTCGAGCACAGACAGATAAAGTTAATTTGAAGATTGCACCATGAGGCAAATAAAAAACTGGACACCGTGATTCAATGCATTGGTTAATCTTTGATAATATTCTTCCCCTTCCGGATGCACTTTCCTATTGCGTAACATCATCGAATTATCTAGAGAAGAAATACGATGGCCAGTTCTGCGGTCGTTTCTTGAGAATTTCTTCACCTACCCACGCAACAACCTTTCTATCCCACTGTTTCACTCAAGCCAATCTTTCCTCAAAAAAAACGAGGGAGCTTGAATTTTACTGAAGGTAGTTTTTTTACGCTGGGATTTTTTAGTTCTACATTGTTAGTAAGAAGGTTAAAAAGAATGAATAAGATTTTGACGAAAAAGGAATGTTGCCGTAGCCCAGCCTGCTCGCTGGTTTTTATTTGACAAGAACGTTCTGGGCAGTTGGAAAATACTCTTTCACCGACCTTCCACTGTCCAAGAATTGTCCACAATCCTCTAAACTCATTATATCCTAACGCTCCTGTTTTGTCTCCCTAAAACATATGTTAAGGGTAAACGAAAGAAAACGTCTGCTGATATGAGCGTTAGAAGGGCATGATTCAGATTTATTCACAACAGTGTCAAGAAGAGGGATAACAAAATGAACGATGATTTAAAGTGACATATTCTTCAATTAGTTTAATGTTTTCAAGATTTCTGGATTTTGAGTTTGCGTGAAAGGGGAATACTTGCGGAAGTTTGGAATGGAATTCGAGGATGTCTAGTTGTTTGGATATTTAGAGGAACGCATCAAAATGTCAGAATGTGTATTCTGACCGTTTAGGTATGTCATCAAATTTAAATGCATATCTATTTATTTTCCAGTATTTGAAGGATACATCAAACATTGCAATCATACTCCTGTAGAGGAAAAAAAAACACTTAAGTCATAATGAGGACTGTAATTTGCAAGGGCTCAATTCGAAGCACAATTTAAACTTGATCATCAGTTTCAAGGTAAATTTACCTGCAAGCTTCCAAGCTAAACGTGTTTGAGTTCATCACTGAAAATTCACATTAAAATAAATATATTAGGTAAAGAAATAACGGAATTATTTCATGGAAAATGCGCGCGTCCGATTTTTATTCACAGGTTAAGCAGTATATCAGATGATGTTTACCAGCACTGGATTTTGGTAGAATACGAGAGAAATCCATACCATAGCAGTGAGTTTACCAGTACAATGAACGGTAGGTTTTTAACTAATCAAATCGCAAGCGTATCTCGCTTATTTTATGAAGAGAAGCATATTTCAGCGTCAAAAGCTGTTTACTTACAAGAAGCAAATGCTTTGGTCAAGATCTCCTGTAGTTCATATTGATCAATTTCACCATCCTGAATAGTAAACGGAAAGCACAAATGATTGGTTATAAAGATCTGGTACAATATCTTAAAGAACAAGTGGGAGGAAACCTCAAGAGCTTTTGCCCGATTATATACAGTCCAATCAAATTTTTTGATCTTGACCCTAGCGTTACCTATTGTAAACAGAATAAGAAAGATGGTCTTCATAGCATCCTAATGCGAAATCCGAAGGTCCATCGTTCAATTCCTCATGGGTACGCAGAATTTTTCTTTTTCCCACGCTTGTCACAAGACGAAAAAACCATATTTCTAAATAAATCATATTGTCGAACTTAATCAAAGCAAAGAAAACTGCTCTCCCGAATATTTATGCTAAATCAGAGGACAATTGCCTGACATATTAAGTTATATTTCATTCCCTTAGGATTTACTGAGACATTCTTCTCCACCATTTTTGTTCACTACTGACCTCTCCTGAAAATTTTTGAAACGTGGTCCAAAATTGTTTATCAATGTCTCCGGCCTCCTCTGTTGACACTGTTGGCTAGATGAAGAATGAGATGGAAGGAATTATTCTAAATCAATCTTAATTAAACGATAAGTTGAGATCAACGAGGGCTCTCCATAAGACCTGATCTGCTGGTCTGATTTTGTTGTCGAAATCAACCTCGCAACCTTTTTCAAAATTTAGACGTGTGAGTCTGAGAGGGTACACCTCCCGCCCTCACTTCCTACCCTTTTTAAAAAATTTGATTAAAAAAACGTTGCGTCGACAAACCTTGGGTAGCAGCGTTATTTTTGTTTCCACGTCAATTTCCCTGAAAGGAGAGTTAATGAAACACCAAATGCGTAAGAAATTCATATGAGCTTCGAAAAAATTGTTTGACCAAAGAAAGAAAGAGGTAAAACAAGTATTGATAATCTTTCTCGTTTGATTCCAAAATGTCTCCGACGCCACTGACCCACCTTGTATCGTGAGGTTTCTCGGAAAATATTCTTAAAAGAAATTCGGATTCTTGACGAGGGTAAAATGTGGATGGAACCAGCACGTATTCTCCTTTAGGTAGGGAATATCGACAGCTTATCTCCCTCAGTTTTGTAAATGAGTTTGTCATCACTTGAGCCTTGGTCGTCTCAAAAAACCGCCTGCCAAAGCGCTCCTTTCTGCCGGCCATATCTTCCGGTACCTGGCGTATGACAGAACTGAGTCATTCTCAAGTTCTACTCCGTAATCATAATGTAAATTTACTTTCTTCGTTTGATTCCCGATGCCACGAAGAAAATTTTCAAACCTAATTTGTTTTTTAAGCGGCTTCTTACAAAGTTCTGTGCAAATCATGCCCGCTATCAGACAGAAATCAAAGTACCACCGTTGGTACAAGGGTTGCGTTGGTCGTTCAATTCATGCTCACCTTGTAAATAGCAAACCCAATAGGAGGCCTCTCATTGGCTGGGGTTCTCTTTCGATCAATGCGCATGAGCGACGCTACCATCGAACAGAGGTCATCGTCATCATCCTCATCCGGGTCCTCTAAATGAATCCTGTCAAAAGAGTACAACACTTACTGGTCGTATTCTGGCGTGTGACTTATCATTGCAAGAACTACACACGATAGCCACGTTCCGATGTTTTAGTCAACCAATAATATCAGTTTAGTAAGGTGGAAAATTTTTAACGAGGCAAGTACTAACCAAGACGGAATAAGGATGGAAAAAATTGACCCAGATTGAAGCAGATTCCAAATGCTTTTTTTTTTAATTTCAGGCCAAATTTCTAAAGAAGCATAATTTACAGCCTGACCTTTTTTACATACTTCTATACCTTATTTGAGGATTTATGTGGAACGTGTCTATGAAATTCCTACATCCACCTGCGGTCGCATCAGTTTGCCAACGACCTTTTTCTCGTTGTATTTTCCATGATTTTTTCTTATCTTCTTCCAAAACGCTGTCAGGGGTCAGCATACAGATCTCCACACGTGTGAAGTTCGCCACAAAATCCTCCATTGTCATCCTAGAAGTAAACAATTTAATAATCAAATTTGCAAATAAGTAACTAAATAAAAAAATAACAAAAGACATTTAATGACGGATTTACCAAAATTCTCCGTCGTCGTCGAACACAAGGTCTAGTCGCTTTCGTTCTTCATTTGACAAGAGATTCCACTCATCAGACCTGTTAGACACGAAGGGAAGTACAACAATGATATGCACAGCTGAAAACCGAACGTTGTGACAGTAGATCTTACTTTGGTTTTGGAAAGTCCACACGCCCCGGATGTTGAATGGCAAGGCTTCCCAGATCTAACTTAGGGTGATAGTATACTGCCTTCAGATTAAACAGACTTTTCAGCCGAAGCCAGTTTGCTGCTCCTGTATTTTGGGGAAAAAATATTCCCTACTTTTATCACCATTCGATCAAAAAATTAAATATATCGAGCTCTCAACAGGGCCCTACTTGATTAGGAGAGTTCAGGGCATCTTTCACACGGCAAACTCTTGTCAGCCAAGTGTTTTACACGACTTAATCCGTAACGCAACTCTTGTGTTTTTTTCCACTAGATCGTGATCGTAGACAACGTGTAAATTCGAAGGCTTGCGGAATTTTCATCTCCTCAGAAACTTAGAAAATGACCAATACCTGTCGCTCCAGGCTCCCTTCCATTCTGAACTATTTCCGTGTGGATTTCTGAGACGGATTAGTTTCGCCTCTGGTATTCCCAAAGTAAGAAGATTAACCTGTAATATAAGAAAAATGTATGTAAAGCTGACCATAATGAGAACTCACTTAAAGCCATGACATTACTAATGAAGTCTTGAGATATCACTATGCAAGATTATTTACCTTAGTCAAACCTGTGATGGAGTACGCATGCCCGGTTATGAGTCCATTTGGTAACGTTCTCTGACCAGACTGAGCGGTTGTCTGAAGATTTGGACAAACATTGGGATAAGAAAGGAAAGTTACCAAAATAATCTTCTCAATTACTTTCAAACTTTTACTTCAATACCGATTAATAAATACAGCGTTCAATTGAGAATTCGAGTTATAGATAAATGCCGAATTTTTAAAGCTATCCAGGTTCTTCAAAGGCTGTGGAACCTCATCTTTTCAAATTATTGATTGTTTGCAGACGATGGAGGAGAAAATGACGAAATTTAAAAACATTGGTGCAATGCCACTGTTAATCTTACTAAAAAATTCCGTCGTTATTCTGTTCTTTGAAAAGTTCCTAATTAAGAAGTAATTTGTCTCAACATGTTCATACCTCTATAGAAGTACCCATCAGTGAATGGCGCTCAAGAGCTTTTTGTAAAACCTTAAAGACGTCTGGTGGTGGTGCCTGTAGGTTTATCATCTCGATTACGCCTCCTGTAAAATCTTGCAGCGCTTCGCTTATTCGGCCTAATCCCATGGCTTCATAGGATCCACACACTCTGAAAATACAAAGTGCACAATGCATCTCATTCCTTCAAAATGTACCTTGTAAGGGCGATACACTCTTTCCATCTGTTACTTACTTGGCATAAGCTTTTTCTAACAATGCGCTCCAAAACTCATCAGGATCACTGGATCTAGCGTAGTACAACTTGTTATTGTGCGTCGGCAGGTAGTCATCAATGATGACTTCTACCCATTCACCAAAACGCCAGAAGTTGAATCTAAACATTCCACAATACGTGCCTGGCTCAAAGCCCTGATCCTGCGGGCAGACGGCATAGAATAATTCCTCTGAGTCTGTCAACGATGCCACTGCTGCCACAAACCAACAGTTCAACATTCTCCCTTGGGCAACGTCAGTTCTGCTGATACCTTTGGTGAAGAACTTGGGCTCTGTCCTGCTGATGTCCTAAGATGATAAAAAAAAACATTGAATGCTGGGATCAGGAGATAGAGTGATCTAACAGCTCCAAGAAATGGGGAGACGGAAAGAAAAAAGAAAAACCGAACATAGGCCCGAACACAAGTTCTAAAGAGAGTGAAAAATACGAAAGGGGGAAAAATTGTATTTAGACAAAATGATAAAACTCGCTTTCTCAGTTTATTTAAAATTTAGAAGCTATGAACATATAGATATTTATATGTAACTGAGCGCGTGTTGCATTCATGACGATACTCTTTCACTTTTTTCTGTGAGAGTAAAGTAATTATAGAGCTGAGAAGCGGCAGACTTTGTGTGCTTGTGGATCATTGCAATAAAATTGTTTGATAGATAAAAGTCATTTTACGATGAACTTGAATAATTAAAACTGGTTTTGGTATCCCATAAATTTTGTATCCTTCTCACAAATAGACATGTTGTCTATTGCATCGTAAAGATGTACGGTTTGTTTGTTTGTAAGAGGTCAAATCGCTTCAAAGACATACCTTTGGTCTTTTCCATTGAAGATTTACAGATGGACGTGTTTTAGTGAAAATACTGCGAAATACTGGCGGGAATTCTCTGTCTTCATACAATTCGCCTTTCCTTAGGAGCTCTCTCTGCAGGGAAAGGTATTTCTCTTTTGGTAGGGCTCGCCTTAAGGACATCGTTCATAAATCACCCACAAATGGCAGTTGCCCTAAAGCTAAAGAGCAGTGACAAGGCGTAAGAATGTTTCGTAACTGGTATCTGTAACTCATAAACTTACGAAGTAAGGCTCTGGAGGGAACATAGATATTTTGCAATCTATTAATTCAGAACTTCCTTCACTAGGTTCTCTTTCGTTGTTATCTAGACACGATGATATATTCATCTGAAATTTTCAACCGCCCCATTTTTGAGACTACGCTCACAATATAACTCCTCTTAACCCGTTACCTCCCACGAATGACCAAGAGAGAATTTCTCCTTTCAATATCAATACGATATCAAGTATAGACGCGATGAGAATAAAGTAATATATCAATTAGGGGATTATTAGTTGACCCAATACTAAATTCTCCAAATTGACACCATAAGAATTGTATGTCAGACAGTAAAGAGAATTACTAATGAAATTTTGGGAGTAAAAGGATTAAGAAAGTCATGTAGTGTATTTTTAATGAATATTGGACTGTATTTCTGAGTCATACCGGTAGACAGTCGATATTGTTATTGCAATCGATATGGCGTTGGTGATGAAGTAAAGGTAAGTAATGAAAGGTATAGTATGTACCGCTTGTAAATGTTAGATAAGGCAGCTGCTAAGATCTGTATGTGCTTACACCCTCGACGAATTGACATAAAAGTACCTCAGGTGTACATGAACGCGAAGCAACAACAGTGTGGCTCAAATGTAGCATGCGAGCACACCTCAGGGAGATTGTGAAGCAAAAACAAATACGTACAGTGCCAAGGTTAGTTGCATAAGTAAACATATTTGGTGGAAGGTGATAGCGCTGTCAGTTTGTGATTTTTGTGCGTTATGCAGACCAACATAAATCTTTAAAGTCGTCTGTTTGTTTAAATATGTCATTAATAATAAAAAGAAAAAACTGTGTGCCAAGATCTGTATGTGCTTACACCCTCGACGAATTGACATAAAAGTACCTCAGGTATACGTGAACGCGAAGCAACAACAGTGTGGCTCAAATGTAGCATGCGAGCACACCTTCATTGTTAACTGTTCGACGCGAGTGTTTCTTCACCCGCGGAAGAGTTTGAGGTCTTGAGCAACGCGAACCGACGATAGGTCTGTAAGGGGTTTGGCAGTGCCAGACCCACGGCAGACTTCTCACCAACCCGTCTCAAATCTCCCCGCGGACGGAGACACGTACGTCCTGCAGCACTAACAATGAAGGCCGGATTGCGGGCTATTTCAAATGGAGCCTGCAATGGTGGAAACAAAACGTCCATTTTTATATGCAGTAAGTCACAGACTAGGCCCACTAAGCAAGCTTTTCCATCGTGACACTTCCGTTACAGTCACCTTGGTCAATAAAAACTTCGTTGAAACGCACGGTGCCTATGACAGAGAGCCTTTTGGAACAAAAACTTGTACCACTGAAATTCAGTTGCGAAACCTTTTATGTCCCGAGTTACCCAACCTCTCTACCGTGGGGAGGGGGAGGGTCTCTCTCTTCTCTCCGCCCCGTGCAAACAAGGTTGGTCCTTCATGGCGTCCTTGTCATGTTATCCACACTAGCAATTTCTTCACACATTCCACCTTTTTTGGGACAAGTCTTCCTCTTAAGCTGGATTTTCTGTTATGTTTGACAAGGACTTGTGTCGAGTAATTGCAGCAAAATAAAACAAACAAAGGCGTTCAAACAATAACACTCCTTTTTCCGGGCCCCACTTTCGAGCCGGAGGCCCGTTTCTCGGTCCCGGTAATTTAATGGCCCGTAGACATTTTGTCCATTGCATGTTTTCATCCAAGATGGGGCTTTCAAAGTTTTAAAAATGATACATTAAAAATATCAGCTATAGAAACAAAATGGACTGGTTAGGATGCCAGAACTTGCTTCTCTATTCCTAAAAATTTTTATTTCAAAATACGGCTTCGAGCCCGTCAAGTTAACAGAACTTTTTCGAGAAACGGGCCTCAGATTAGGAAAACTACTTTGTCTTCTTTTGTACATTTGAATCGCTGCGAATCCGCGCCCGTTTTAAGAGCCGAATTTTTAATGTCGGTTTAAAATCTCTTTAATTACGAGATGTCATTGTGCTTGTACATCAATAAAAAAAAATGATTGCGATGTATACATAAAACCGAAGAAACATATAATTTAAACACTTAATGAATCATGCATTTTTTTTCAGGCGAGCGTTAGCGTCCTTACAGATGATACAACCAAGATTATTACTATTATTAGTTTACAAACCAAACCAGATCCAAACGTGGCCAAACGTGTCTGGTATGGTCAGCCTCATTTTTCATCGTGGCTACCTCAGTTATGGCTTCGACCTACCGCCTGGGCTCGGTCAATAATTAAGAAGGCTTTTGGTTTCGTGGCTCCAGCTAAGAAATATGACAAGGTGATGCCCTTTATCCTTACATATTAAAAACTATCCCAGTGCATAATTCTCGCTAAGTACCATGAGGGGACGCAAATCGTCTGTACTGTTAGTATCCCGGAGAGTCCCCTACATTTTCTTAGACTTTTAGTCTAAGAAAGCTTTCCTGTATGTCATAATCCTGTTGCTGCTGACATCGATGTGACAGATAATTGCTTTTGCACTGTTTTCTTTGCCGGCTTATACTTGTCATCAAGTTTCAATAAGACGGCTATCATTTTTCACAAGAATAATGAAGTTTTCGTAAATTGTGATATGTACTTACGGTGTAGACGATTTGTGTACACAACGCATTAATTTGTGAGCACTCAAGGATTTAATTTATTCCATTTGCAGAACAATTTCAAAACAGTTTAAATTGAAATGAAATAGATCTTGTCTGTTTTGTATTTCCTATAATATATTAGACTTCATTCATAGCACCTTCAATCGCGGTTCAGTTTTCCAAATTTAAGTCCTTCGCTGCAACCCAAATTTCTGTTTTCTTTTGCTTAAGTTTCGTTTCGTTCCTAAACAAATTGAATTTTAATAACCTGGCGACCGTAAAGCAGGCCCTTAAATCTTTAACGGTTCACAGCAAATTGTGAATTGTAGCTGCGATCTTTTTACGTTTTAAAGAAAGCTGTACGAAGCAGACATTATTTCTATTTCTCGAGCGGATACACTGCATACGTGTTTCAAGCCACTGCTGTCTTAATAGAGAAGGGAAAACAGCCGGTTCATTTCCTCTGCTATGTCACGCCAGGGATTTACGGATTTGGAATACCGAGTTGTTGTGATGATTTGGGGCTGAACCTCTGCTATTCACAGACAACGGGTCAATAAAATTCTCAGAACATCGATAATTAGCTTGATCTGGGCGTTCAGGTTCCAAATGATACATCAAGCAGGTTTGAATTTCGAAACTCAGTGGATCTAGTCTGTTTCAGCTTGCAAGCAGGAACTCAATTTATAACCTGCGACAGCTTGTCTTGTATAAAATTTTATGCCCTTAAAACTTAAATCAAAGCAGCCTCCTCACTTGAAATCGAATTCATTTGATGCGCGACTCGCTCGTCGCTCGACGGCCTTCTCTCAGTTGGCGACCCCGATGAACACAGTTAGAACGGTCAAGAAACAGGCCTCCTCGTGATATATTGGTCTGCAAAGATTATCGATACTTGCAGACAACGTTTTCGTCACTCACTCATTCAACACTCATTAAGTTGCTGTTACGCGTCTATCGAAGTTGTACGACTTACCTCAACCTTATTGCCTTATTGACTTGTCCGCTGTATGGCGTATGGCGTGGAATTATATTCTCTGTGTTCAGAAGTATGCTAATTAGATATGTCTAAGCAATTCTTGTTTTTGTGCTCGAAGAGCCCGCATTGCTTGCAAAATAAATAACTTTCGATACCTTAACAATTCAATGGCATTTCCGTAGTTTTGATCCTCGTTCGATTGAGTCATTGTGTGTTTACAGTTGTTCATCAAGTCTCATTAAAATCATTGTTACTCGATAGGGGGCTGATAGTTCGATCGAAAGGCGAGCTTTCGAACCAGTGTGATATTGTAAGCCCAAAACACAACATACAGTCATATGTTTTTCTTTTCTGGGCTTTTTGGTGTCTGCTGTGGTTTAAAAATTTGTCCGACTTAGCAGGTGTGTTATAATAGGTTGTGTTATGTTGTTGAGGGTATCTAGCTGTATTCGTCGCTTTATTAAGCTGTATTTGTTTACATTCTTCAACATTTTCTGCATGCAAATTAAGCTTTGTTTAAGACACGCTCAAAACCACTTGTAGGTCCTTAGTCTAGACGGTCGCCATCGCGCACGCTCATCACTAGTAATGGCGTCCCTACCAGCGTTCCAAGGTCACCATATTCTTGCTAATTATGGTTCAATTTTGTTTCATTCAAGTTTTTAAATAATTTTTTTATTTAGTCTTGGGCAGCTGACGTTCGCCATAGTTCACTGGTTACCAACCGATGTTTTCCTTTTAATGTTTTTTTAGAGGGCACGGTAACGAATCTTGCAATCTGATTGGTTCTTTACTCGGTCAGTATTTTCCTATCTCTGCCCACGGGCCACGGTAACGCTTTCGTGAGTCGCCGAGTACATCCCAACTTTCGTTGTCATTTTTCATAAATATACCTCGTTTTCCGGCTGGACAGTATTTTTAAGCAATCACGTCGGTTACTACCTCAAGCCGATAATTAACTTATGAATCCTCTTTTTTATCTCTATCAAATCACTTTGGTTGACAGAAAAATATTGGTTTCAGAAAGAATTTGTATAAATAATAGTGTCATTACGTTGGTTGACAAGCGGCCTAAAAACCGTCTGCAATTAATTTTAATCGTTCACAAAAAGTACCCAGAAAGTTGAAACGAGGTATTTGGTTACAGTTAAACTGAACGATGGAACTTTCATTCATTTAATATCTGAATTTTCTCGAGCAATTTGTTCATAGTGAAAGAGCAAGCGAAGTTTTAATTTAAGTTCTACAACAAATATATGCTCCCGGTGAGTCTTTCCAATTCCGTTCAATTTGGACATTTGTACCGTAAATTGCTCAACAGAAATTGAAGGAATTTTTTGAGAAAAGGCCGCATTAAATTCCCTTGTGTCTCGTTGGAGTGTGCCGTTTGAATTTAGTTTTTGTGAAGGAAAGACCAGAGTTACACACGCCATTACAGCAAATAAACGAGCAAACTCTCACAACTTCAAAATAAAAAAATTGAATTTACTCACAATTACTTTCCTCGCCGTCTACTTAATGAACAGAGGTAAACCTTCGTACATGAATGAATGGTCGATGAGAGTGAATAATACTTTCCGTTAGATCATTGACTGATTTTGAAGAAAACATTGTCGTGACAGTCCTTGCCAAAGTAGTTCTGTTGGTTTTCAAATGTTCCTACGCTTTTTTTTTCTTGCGCGCTCTAATTGACAGGTGTCAGATTGTGACAGATACTTGTAAAAATAATGTTTCAAAGTTTGTTTGGAAGCCTTTTAAATCACCTTTATCGTTACGGAAATGAAAATGTTTCGCTGAGGCATCTCTCTTTAATTTGCATCACCTCTATTTTAACTACCATTTACTCACTCAAAGATTGTTCAGTTTATGGAAGATCTTGCCGTATTTACAGCCATAAATTATTCGGGTTCTTTCGGAAAGAATTTCGTCAAGTTTAAAAACAATAAATATGTTATTTACCGGCTAAGGGTCGGTCCGTATGGTGAAAAACTGTGACCTCGGTCACAGTTTTTCATCATACGGACCTCCCAGCCGGCAAATAACATATATATATATCCGCATTAACTGGTTAAAAAAAATCTAGTTGATAAAGCTAAGTGAACCGCCTTAGAGAATATTAAAAAGCAGGCCATTCAGGAAAGGTTGGAAAAAAAACATAAACATTCCTCCAACCCGGATTTTGACTTTACTGGCAATTCTTCTAAAACCATTACGTCTGTGGACTTCCTTTCTTACAGAGGGCGGTGATGGTGGTATTGCCCATCAGTGATCAAATATATAGTACAGAGATTCGACCACGTCTGGAAAGATGGTTATCGGGAAAAAAAAATTGTAAGCTCAAATAAAAAGCACAGAAAAAAAATGGAAGGAAATAATGACTGAAATAAAGTGAAACCTGCTGGTGTGAACACCACCAATCATTTATTTAGGATAGAGAAACTGATCTACACTACTCTCCGCTTCTGCATTGTCTCTGAAATTATTTTCCACTCGAGTGGCAGTGGCCTTTTGCAATTGATTTCCACGTTTGTTCTATTTTATTACAGAAAAAAAATCTTGTAGGAAGGAGTCATAGCACTTCTACAGGGTCATTCTTATATCACTGAACAAGAATGTATCCCATCGCTTTGATGAATTTGTTACCATTATCTGCTCTCCATCTTGCTACGTTTCCACACGAGCTGGTGTCATCAGGATGGCCTGCCGTACCAAAACCGATCCTGGAACGACAATGGTCGCAATTTGGATCATAATCGTCGTTACTCACAATACCAATTCGAGCCTTAGGCGGTTCTTTGTCGTAACTAGAGCCGGTGCAAAATGTGTTGAACCCCTCCTTGTTACATGTGCGTTGCAATGAGGCGCTGGAACCAAGCAGTGACTTCCATTTGTCTCGACCCAATGAGGTTGGGCGGTACTGACCATCAGCAATCAAAGAGTACAGAGAATCTGCCCTCATTGTAATGAGGACGAAGTTGATTTGATGGCCATTTTTCATACCTAGACAGATTTTGGAGAATTTTGTTTTCCAGTAAGTTGGTAACTTTGTCTCTTTCTCGTCAAAGGCAGTAATCCCAGCCGAAGCGTTGTGTTCAGTCATGCTGCTCCAAATCGCGGAATCATAATGGAAGGTGTCCTTAGAAACAGTGTCGAGATATTACAAACAAAGGAAACATTAACAAATGTAGAAATTTCCAATTGAGCGTCGATCGATTTTTTTCTTTATTACTTTGCTCTGTGACTGATCTAAAAAGCTCTCGCCAGTCTCACAAACAGTCAGATGCAAAACAAGAACCAATCGGTCACTCACGTTTTCCTGCACTTCAGGCAGATTGCTTGGTTTTGCTTCGAGTTATCATTGGCTCCTGGAGATATCTTCCTTGCTATGATTGGCCGTTGTGATTTCTCTGGTTTTGATTTTACAACATTCAATCGAAAAGCGCTCTAAAGAGAATTTTGTCTATTATAACACAGCAAAATACAGTTATCAAAGAAAATAAGGTTCTTCAAGATGGTCTGATCTCAGAAGTGTACTAAATTTTCAAAATCTTATTCATCGTTAAATTCTCACCTTGGAACCATCCAGCTTCATAACCAGCGTCCAACCACCACCTCCGCATGCGTCAAGAACTGTCATGTGACAGTAGATCGGAAGAGTAACTGACCCAAACTTTAGAGGATAAGCTTTGTTACCGTCAGATCTGTAAGGAGAATAAATTACCCTTGAGAGATGAAAACAGGCACTGTAATGAAGATGTGGAATTGATATTATGAATTAGGAAGGTTTATTCGTTACATCAAAAGTTGAATCTTGGGAAGGTTAGGATACCATTTTAAAACGGCTCCACTCAGCTACTTAGCTGTTGTGTATCACTACAACAGGTAAAGAAATCACTCACTCGTCGTTGTCGTAAAATTCCTTGCAACTTGAACGTGGAACTTGACCATCTAAGTGTAAAACATTTGATTACCCCTTTGATCTCCAATGGTGACTAGCATCTAAGCATCTAATTTCTTCTTGCAATATCACCCCCAAATCACACATATTAATGTCGCGAGAATAAAAGGAAATGATTACCAACTAAAGAGGCCCTTGATTGTTACGCAAATTCTCCTTGTCGGCACCTTAGGAAATGTATAGAGAACAGTATGGAGAATGTACATACTAATGTTAGAGTGTAAAGAGTTAAACACTTTCGAGAAAATTATGGACCATTTGAGGGTTTGGGTCAAAAACATCTGGCGGATCTTGCAACCTTTGAGTGTTGGCTTTAACTTCAGAACGCGAATTATGGTAGGATATTCACAAATTAGCTCAAAAGACAAGGAAGAAAATTAAATATGACTTAAAATTATTCATAGGGCGGTTAACAAGATCAATTGCTCCGACTGCCAAGCCTCCTACAGCAGAGAGCCGACTGGTACCTCACAGTTAGACTGACTGAATTCAAACGAACAACGATTCACACTATTGTTTGAGACTTAGAGCAGTTTTTAATCGACTGACTTATTAAAGCTGGTTTACTAGGTTAGAAAAGACTTCTCTCAGCAGGTGGTAACAATTACCGCCGCCACACTAACGTCTTATTCACGACATCTACTCTGCAGATTGGCCTAACTTTACCGACTAATCGAAACTTCCTATTCACGACCCACTTTCGCCACTCGAGTCTCATATTTGACGAGTTCACAACACTGAAAAATGACAAAGCAGTTTTCTCGGACCAGACTTGTAATACTTGACTAATAGGCAATTTCTAACTTCGTGTTCTGATGATGATTTCCGCTCAGTTTGTCGAAACATCAATTTTTACTACCGACAGTAACCGACAGCAACCGACAGCAACTTGACAGCAACCTGACAGCATCCGACAGCTACCGACAGCGATTGACAACAACTGACAGCAACACTCAAACCCGGACGATAACACTAAACTATTTATAGTTTCGGAGGATGAATAAAACTGACCTTCCTTTTCGGAGCATCCACAACCGTGGCCAATTTTCCCGAACATTATCAGCACACTCAGAAGAAGGGCAGCGGTAGAAATGACGCACGCAATAACTGATATCCATTTGAAACGACGGTTTGTTTCTAGATTGCGCATGCTCTTTTTATCACTTGTGAGATCCTCATACTGGTTGCATGTATCATCTTCGGTTTTGGTCTGAAGCTTTTCTTCTGTATGTTTCTCGGTAGCTTTTGGTATCATGGGCTTTGCGTTGATCGGTTCATCCGCTGTACAGCCTTTGCTCGCATCGGCTAGTCCAGTTGACGTGGACATCTTGGATAACTTTCTTTTGAGAGTTTCAAACCTGAAATTTCTCAATTTTAGAGGAAGTAAATACATTTCTTTCATTAAAAAATTGTGATCGGATTCCATTTCGGGAAAAATTAACCCTCTAAAATTCGCCTCCCGCACAACTTATGGCTTCGTAACTTAGTTGGTAGTAGCGCCCATCGAGAATATGGGAGACCTGGGTCTGAAAATCTTTTTAGGGCTTCTTCTCCGCAATTGCAGTCCATCTGTGAGGATCATTGCTTTGTTTAAACCTAAAATTTGTTGATATAAAACACAGGACAAACGAGGGTACATGCGTGGTGAAATAGAAAAAGAGACGAACTAAAACCCGTCCAAATTATCAATCTACTGATTTTACTCATTTCAATCACGGTATGCTTCACATCCCATTCTACTTCGAATCGTTTTAACAGGAGCTCTAGTTTTTCTTTCAGTCGTCTACCGTTTTTACTGCGGTGGCTTTTGTCAATGACATTCGCCTGCACGGATTGAAGAATTAACCACAGATCGCTATTTTTAGCTAAAAATTCCCTGAAATCTTCTCAAGAAAAGTCTTCCGAGCCCTCCAACAAAAATAAAGCCCCTTCTACCCTGCTTAAACAAAAAACACTGAAACTGCTCACAGTAACTTGACAAATGCCTATTCAAAAGTTCTTGATTTTCCACCGCAGATTCTCACTGTCTGCGCCTTAGACAGATGCTATTAACCAAATATCATGCTTTCTCTTGTTGATTATAACAGTCTAATCTTCATATTGATATACTAATCATCTTACAACCTCGCCTGCGCCCTAAGGACTGTATTATGCAATACATAATTCACTCTTTTTTTAAAAAAACAGCTTGATATAGCTTTATGTCTGAACTTCATCGAGCAAGACTCCGTTGAGCCAAAACAACCACGGTGGCTCGGGCAACATGAAAGAGAGTTCAATCACGGAATTTTTTAAACTAAATACAACTTTTTTTGTCTTTTTCGTTCAGTTTAAGAAGCTCGATCAAGGGCTTTCTTCTTTATTGGTCAATTTCAAAGTGTGTCAGGAAAAAAATTTATCCTCTCTCTGCTCACAGAAAAAATAAATTATCTTGCTGTATGTATGGATGTATGCTGGAAGCCTTCGCACACAAATTAGTTCTGAGCAGCATTATTGCTATCACCCGCAATCGGTAAAGCACTCTATTGTGTAGTGCCTTTATGAGCGCGTCAGCTCGTCTCCAAATAAAACTCTCTTTTATTTCGAGGAAGAAAGAAAATATTCCCTACGCTCTACAGTAGTTTCCTTTTGTCGAAAGTACCAAGATCGAAAAACTGACCAAAAGTTCAGAAGCAGAGTCCCACAAACCTTAAAACATCAACAAGGAGTCGAAAATAGAAGAGAAGTTCTAAAATTATAAATGGCCACGATCAATAACCAAACTTAAAGAAGGTCAGTTCGAAGGGAGTCGCTGAAGAAACAACCCGGGTAAAAAGCGGCGATTGAAATGCACCAATCACGGTCGCTGAAAACCAACCGATCAATCAGCGGAGCATCATGCAAAAAGTGTAAGGCATAACAAGACGGCAAGCTGAACGAGCAGTGTACGATGAAATCTCGTCTCAGATTGGTCAAAAATCTTGCAGATGGATTCATGCATATAAATGAACTTTATTTTCTGATGAAATATAAAACGAGACCACAAAGGTTGTGCTTATTTTCTGTTTTCTGTTTTCCTGAGGTTCTTTTATTGAAAGTTTAGAACTCCATACCAAGAGAAAATAATTGGTAGATCATTTTCATCGGCCTGTTCACTTGTTTCCTAGGTTAACTTCCTGATGAGTCCTTCCCTCGTATGTGAATTGTGTAGTGTCGAAGTCAATCGCGGAGAAATGTTTTCCAAGAGGCAAATGTTTGCTGGCGTCACGAGTGTGTACGATGGAAATATGATTCTTTGCTAACTTGTCGTGCACAACAATCGACGTCGATCATCGGGGTGTTAGTCGTCACTGAATGTTTTGGATGGGTACGAATCGAGCGGCAGGTTGGGTGCGAATCGAGACAACCAGAGTGGGAAACGTCTGAACTTGGGTGAAGAACCCTTCCGGAGGTTGATGGATATCATCAAAATTAAATAATCCTGGGCCTGTCAGCAAGATTCAATTCTTCATAGCCTCTTTTATGACTTTGCCAACTAGAAGCTCGTGAAAGTGCGGAGAGAGGGAAAGTATACGATGTTTTCTATAATGTTAAAGTGTTGTTCTCGTTCCTTATCTGTTCAGTGCTAATGTTTTCTTCAAGGAATAAAGTTTCGCCTCGAATATTTCGCCTTATTTCTGAAAAAAAAAAAAAAAAAACTGGAACATTTTAAAAACTACGATTTCCGTTACCAGATTATGCTCTAAATGCATTAGGTGTTATTTTCCTTTTAGTTATAGAATAGAATAGAAACTTTATTAAAGTGTCAAAAACCGTCTAGCCAGGGAACAAATCCCTTACTAATTTGGGGACACCAATTAGGGGAGAATATACAAACTAAAAAAAACTATATACAGTAGTAGGTAAAATATCTATAGTTAACTCATTAAGAGATTTATAGTAAAAATACACAGAAGTCAAAATGAACAAAGGCTACAGCCAGCGCAGCCATCATCTAAAAGTTCACTTATATTGAGTTGGCGTATCTTGCTTTTAAACGACGTTAGGGTTGTGACGTCCCTGATACTCTTGGGTAGTTTTGTCCATAGCCTAGGCCCTAAATATCTAATAGAGTGCTTGCCATAGGTGACTGTCTCATACCTAGGTATAGAGAAATCTGCTTGCCGCAGATTGTAATTACTATTTGGTTCTTTAAAGATGTTACTTATATATGCAGGGCACAGTTTATGCTTTACTTTATACATAAGGATGCACAGATCCTGTAAGCGACTATTTAGTAGTGTTGGCAGATCTGCCTTCTCTAATAGTTGTTCATAGCTAGAATTATTATCCTTGAAAACCGCTCTAAGTCCTCTTTCTTGTAGTCTTTCAAGCTTTCGGGTGTCACTCGCTTTACAAAAATGCCACACTAGGTGACAGTACGTGAGGAATGGTAATATCGCGCTTTTGAATAATATTAACTTAGATTTCATAGGAATTAAATTACGTAGTCTCATTAGAACACCAATTCTCTGGCTGGCTTTTTTACAAATAGAGATTACATGCTCAGAGAAATTTAGCTTAGAATCTAACACTGCTCCTAGAAGTATGATATTATCTTTAGCTTCAATCACAACATCATTCACGCAAGTATTGCTGTCATTTTGAGTGAAGCCCAAGTTCAAAACTTGGTACTTTTTGAGGTTTCCCGCCAATAAGTTAGAATCGTACCACGTTGTTGCTAAGTTGGCACTATCCTTTAACTGGGAAGTCACAGCTGCCTGGTCTGCTCCTGCGTGGTAAATTTGATGGTCGTCGGCATACATAGACAAGTTCGCTGTTAGGCAGTAGGATAGGTCATTCTGGAAAACATTCCATAACAACCGGCCAAGCGCGGAACCCTGAGGACAGCCACGACTCACGAATCGGCTCGAACTAACATGACGGCCGATCTTTACTTGATATTTCCGTTCATTTAAATAGCTGTTTAAAAGTTGAATAGCGCTTTCCTGAAAACCGTACGCTTCAAGCTTGTTCAGAAGTAGTGGTGGTAGTAGTCCCTGTTTCATAATCTTTTTGCTACAGAGTTATTATCTTTGAAAAACAGCTTTTGGCCATATTACTGGAATCCTATTGTGCGAATTAGTTTCTCCAATAAAGTACTCACTGACATCAACGAAGAGAAAGATACATATCATTTTAATTTTTAGCGTTTTTCGCTCACAGATATGATTGATCAAAGGAATTCAACTCTTCCTCGCTTACATTTTCTCGAAAATTCCGGGCCCCCTACTGAATTATTTATCATACTGCTCCTATCACGAGAGGCCACATTCGAATCATAGTCTTTCAACACAGAAGTCGTTGATTGGTACATTCAGAACATCACCTTGGATAATGCAACCTTTCATCAAAGTCACAAATTACATAATCTTTTCGATTTCGCCATATTGCAGGGAGCATGATGTCTTTGAAGCGGGGTTACGTTCAAGTCTGTCTTCTGGCTTACTCTTTTCTTTCTCAAGGTGAGAGGTGCCAACGAAAAAATAACAGCAAAAAATAAGATGATAATAATAATAATAGTGAAAGACTTTTCCGTTAGTCTTGTTTTGAATTTGCTGTACATTCACCTAGTCTAAGTTATTCTAAAATAGCGAACACTGCGGTTTCCGTTAAAAAAAAAATAGCTTCCAAGGGTATTTCTTGAAAAGATTACTTGCTGGCTATGTTACCTTTAGTTGTATTCTAGGGAATGAGTTCAACCGATTATATCGCTCAGCCTCTGTATTCTATAAAGCTCTTATTTAGAAGTTTGTAGTTCGTAACCATGATGTGTTACTAAGGGCCGGCAGCGAAAAAGAGATATGGTTTAGGGAACCGAAATAGGAAACAAAGAAGATATTTTGTTTATAACTTTGTGACTACCACTGAGTCTTGAAGAAATCGATCTGAAAATGAGATTTCAAACTTAGTATGCAGCCTGTAAATTTGAAATGTTATTGATATCACCTCGTAAGGGAGCGTAATCATGACATTGAGAGGGAACATGTGCACTTTTTGGAGAAAAACCATACTTATAAAACACGTTTATGATGGTAATTATGATGATTTGCAAAATATTTGTTTCTTTTCGTCGCTAAGAATTTTATTTCACTGGTTTGATTATAGCAGAACAGTCAGCCGCAATTTCGGCCAAGAAAATCAAAGGACGACAACACTTTTCGGTGTCGGTCAAAACTGATAAAAATTATTTGATAAATCATATTTTCTAAGTAACAACCCGTACAAGAACAAGCAATCTCAGAATATAACGCAAAAGCGGAATCAAAGCTGAATTCTCGCTCGCGTTTCGTCAGTTTTGTAAAAGAAATATTTTGGGCTTTCATCAGCTCATCTGCCGATGCTATGGTTGATCCAAGAAGACCTCTTTCGCCATTTGACCGTCTGAAAATGCTGTTAATGCAGCTTAACACAAGAAGAATGAGAATCCAGGCTCTTAGGTGCCCATTAATAAGTTATATTTACGTTAGCAGTTATGCGTGTATTAAACAGATAGGTGTTAGTTGTTTTTTACGCCTAAGGCGGTCTGTCTTTTGAGTTATTCTGCCGAATCAGCCCATGCAGTGTAGTGATGACCATTATCGTACGTTTTGGCTATAATGTTTACGAGTACACCTTTCAAACAAGATTTTAGAGATCAGTTTTATTCCAGTCTTCAATTCGTAGACATAGGGTAATGCTTTTGGTTAACTAGGTTAGTTTATTACCCATAGTGTATCTCAAGAGGAGCTAATGGGTTATGTCCTGCGGCGCGTTGCACTAAAACTCTATAATTATTATGCAAAAGTTTTTGCTGTTAATTATTTATCTACAACACTGGAAGGTGCACATCTCTCTTATGTGCTTACCGGAGGTTTTTTACCAATGGATGTTGTGTTCTTTAGTTTTTCAATTTTGTTTTGTGATCATCAAAGACTCAATTATTTTCTGAAAATTTACTCGTTTTAAACTCGTGAATTGCGCGCATGCGCAAGAGCGAGTTATAGATACGATGTGGGGAATGGCATTCGCTCGCTCGCTCGCTCGATTGGTCGATTCCTGTAAACTTTTTTTAGATTTTAGGCTTTTGAGTGCATTTGATAGTTTTTGGCGAGCAATAAACAGACGAAATGGCGACCTTTGTCGCTAAGAATAGTGGTGGGGTGAAAAAGAAGCCAATGATAATCTTAAAAGAGTCTTTTTTTTCCGTTTAAGTTTCAACTAGCGGCGCCAGCAACTGGCAGGCATGCAAGGATTCACACAGAAATAACAGAACAACCTTCGTTTTTCATAAAATTGTAATTTACAATCCTTGAACTTGAAAACAATCCGAAGATTCATTGAAAATATCACTTACTGCGAAGCGCTCGGAGTTTACAGATGTTCAAAAGCTTTTTCTGTTATAGCGTGAGATTGAGGACAAAATTGATCATTAAGTTTCATCGCGTGTGTTTTTCCTGTGTGAAACAACAAAAGATGCCGGCGACTGACGAAATAACAAGTTAACACGAAAATCAAATAACACCTGTTGTATCCTCCTAATGCATGTACTATGCCTTGGATTCGTACAGATAAGATTTACACACTGATCGACCATGTGCTTCCTCTTTTATTACCTACTTCATATATGAGTACATGAAGCCTGTCTGCGCTCAGTACATCATGTAATACATGACATCCCTCCTTTTCTTGAAGAAAGAAAACAATAGTCCTTAAGACTTAATCAAAACAAAACATGCGAATCTGAAAATTGGACGGAGAGCTGGTAATAACTAATTCGCTTAATTTCAACACGAGATTCACCGGTTCTAAGCAGTCCTTGTATCAAAACAACATTTAACATTTCGAATCAAAGTTCACTGTTTCAAACGAAGTTCAACATTTTAAAACAAAGTCTTTATATCTCCCAGGGAGTCTCCTCTGTCTCTGAGGTCTTCCACCTTTTGGTGTTGCTGGTGGGCTAGGTACTGTTGCTTGATCAACTGCTGCATTCTTACTAGCAGAGGTTGTACCAGATTTGCTTCCTGCACTTGCTTGTGCTAAAGGTGTGAGATGAGTTAGGGGTCTACTGGGAGGTGTTGTAGGCACTACTGGTGTAGATCCACTCATCACTTGATTTGGTACCACGGTAATTTCAGGTGTTGTCGGTACATCGACACTGACAGGTGGTTCTTCCGGATTGTCAGGGCTCACAAACTTCTTGACATGGGATGTATTCCTTGAATACTGCGTTCCACCTGGAGTTTCCACAACAACACTGTTACCGGTCTTGCTAACCACTTGGAATGGTACTGGATTAAATGGCGTGGAAAACTTGTCTCTTTTCTCTTGCCTCACCAGGACTTGATCACCAACTTGAACTTCTGATGGTTTTGCATTCATGGATTTATCAGCTATTACTTTGGTCTTTGCTTTCACTTCGGCATCTCTATCTCGAGTTTCCAGGTCCAAGTGATGGTCGGCACGTAGCTCTGGTAGCTTTCCTCTCATCTTTCTGTTAAACAATAATTCCGCAGGGCTCTTACCGGTTGTCGCGTGATCAATACCTCGGTATTTAGTCACATATCTTCTTAGCTCCTTCACCCAGTCTAATCCTTCGGCTTGGGCAATGCGGATCCTCTTCATCAGCGATGCATTTTGTCTCTCTACCTCCCCGTTGGCTTGAGGCCATTTTGGTGTGGTCTTGGTGTGAACAATTCCATTCTGCTTACAATATTCCCGGAATTCTTCGGAGCGGAATTGTGGACCATTGTCTGACTTTATGGTCAGAGGAAGGCCATGGCGGCTGAAAATCTCTTCCAGGTTGTCAATTACTTTCTCTGTGACGGTTGACATCATGATGGCGTACTCATAATAACGACTGTAGTAGTCCACAACAACAATGATTGAGTGTCCCGAAGGAAGTGGTCCTAGGAGGTCTATAGCTAGGTCTTGCCAAGGACCTTCTGGTAATGTCGTGGATCTCAATGGCTCAGGTGGGTCTGGGCGAGATACCAGTTGACATCCGTGACAGGACTTGCAGAATTTCTCTGCTGCCTTATCCATACGAGGCCACCACACCTTACTTCTTAAATTTTGCTTTGTTCCCACAATTCCTAGGTGTCCTTCATGGGCTAAGCTGATTGCCTGAGCTCTGAGTTTGTTTGGTAACACAATACGGGTACCTCTCAAGACTAGCTGTCCAATCACACACAGTTCTCCTGCGGCTGGTGCATAGTTTTTGCACTTCTCAAATCTGCCAGTTTTGATTGCTTCTCTCAGGACTTTTAATTCTTCATCTGTTGCAGATGCTTCTTCGACTTCTCTCGTGGTTAATGCTTGGGGAGTGGCACTGATAGCTGCGAATCGGATGTACTCTTCTGCCCCATGTGGATGACTCGTCACTTTGTCTTGCTTAAGCAGGCGGGAAAGAGGATCAGCTATATTATTCTGCCCTGGAGTATATACAATTCGGAAGTCGTAGGGTTGTAACCGTATTGTCCACCGTTCGATGCGGGCACAGGGCTTGGAACGTGGCCCGTAGATGACCTCCAACGGTTTGTGGTCAGTTACCAGATCAAATTTCATGCCATAAATGTATGCATGATACCTCTCACATGCCCAAACGAGAGCGAGGGCTTCCTTTTCGGTCTGGGAGTACTTGCGCTCACACTCTGTCAAGCTGCGGCTTGCATAGCAAATTGGCACCCATGCTTCATTTTGGTTCTGTAGTAACACAGCTCCGAGGCCGACTGGACTGGCATCAGCTATTACTTTGGTTGCTGCGCCTTTGTTAAAATATGCAAGTGTTCCTGCGTCAGCCATGCTCTGTTTCAGAATCTTAAAAGCGGTTTTCTGCTCAGGTCCAAAGTGGAATGGAACAGCCTTTCTGGTCAAGCTCCTTAGTGGCTCAGTGATAGTAGCGAAGTGAGGAATAAACCTGCTGCTATAATTGGCCAATCCCAGGAAGCTTCTTACTTCGCTGACGGTGGCAGGTTCCCTTGTTTCTTGCAAGGCTCTGATTCTTTCTTCTGTTGGGCCAATCCCTTTTTCAGAGAGAAGAATTCCCATGAAAATCACTCTGTCCACATTGAATAGGCATTTGTCAGCATTGAGAGTTAAGCCATGCTGCTTGAGGCGTTCCATTGTCTTATATAGGCGTTGGTCATGAGTTGCCTGATCCGGGCCATGTACTATGATGTCGTCAGATATATTATCGACTCCTTCTATTCCAGCTAAAGCTGTGGATATCTCATGTTGGTACTGCTCACTCGCTGAACACACGCCAAATAATAGACGTTTGTACCTGTACAAGCCTTTGTGCGTCACAAAGGTGGTGATCTGTCGTGACTCTGAATTAAGTTCCAATTGGTGGTATCCCCACTTTAAGTCTAACTTGCTAAAGACTTTGGAACCATTCATATTGTGTAGCAGTTCATCTACAGTTGGTATTGGGTATCTGCCACTTACTATGGCCTTGTTCGCTTGTCTCATATCGATGCAGAGTCGTATGTCACCATCTGCCTTTGGTATGATCACTACTGGATTTACCCATGGTGTAGGCCCGTCTACTTCCTCTATAATATCACAATTCAACAACTCTTGAACCTTCTTTTCTACCTTCTCTTGCAGATTGAAAGGAATTCGCCTCAGGGGTTGGGCTACTGGTTTCACTGTTTCGTCTATGTGCAATGTTACTTGCTTGGACTTCAACTTTCCTATCCCACTAAACACTTCAGGGAATTTTTGCTGCAGCGTCTGTTTGCCTTCAGCAATTGTGGCAATGTCAACACCTATTTCAGCACCCCCAACCTCATTGCGGTGTCTTTGCTTAAGAGTGGTATTCCCTTTCCTTTGATAACCAGGAATTCGGTCTGGACTCTTCCTCTGCCCACTAGTACCTCACATGTGAAGCTACCTTTTACTGGGAGGGGTTTGCTGGATGCATAAGCGTACAATTTTCTGTCAACGGGAGCTGCTTGTGATTTACACTTGATCTTTTTAGCCTTCAGATCTTCCCATGTACATTCATCGATAATGTTATTGGTGGCCCCAGAATCCACCAACATTTCCAATTCTACTCCACCCACAGACAATTTGAGCATATTTGACTGACCTTTATTGGTGACCCTGAATGCATAATCGACTTGCTCCCCATCGGGTTTTTGTTCTTCTTGCACCTGATTGACTCCTGGCTTCTTTGGTTTGGTTTTGCAGACACTAGCAAAATGACCTTTCTTTTTACATTTTTTACATGTTTGACCTCTGGCAGGGCATTTCGGATCTCCACCAAGGTGACCACTCCACCCACAACGAGGACACTGACTGTCTCTGTTCTTGCTCTCTTTGTTTCTTTGTTGATCTTTTGGTCTCCTAGGTTTTTCATAGACCCTGTGTGCTTCTGTAGTCTGTTCACTCAAGCTAAGCTGAGACATTTGGTGTTCTACACTTTCACACTGTTCTGCAAGCTCTAATGTGCGTGCGAGAGTAAGTTCATCTCTTTCTTCAAGCAATTTACGTTTGACATAATCTGACCTGCATTTGCATAAAATCGCATCTCTTATCTGATTGTCAAAGTCTGCCCCAAAATTACAGTCTTTCCCTTCTTTTCTCAGTCGGGTTACAAACTGCAAAACGGTCTCACCTGGCTGTTGTTGGAGTCGGTGAAATTTTTGACGCGCAAAAGCGGAGTTAACTTTGGGGAGAAAATAGCCATTCAGTGCTGTTACAGCGGCGGCGTAGTCCGTTGCTTCGCCGGTGTTCGCGAGAGTAGAGAAAATTTCTTGCACATCTTGTCCCGCTAAATGGAGTAGCATAGCTCTTCTTCGTTGTCTGGTTGTTGCATTTGTACCTTCAGTGATAATCAGACCTTTGCCATCGGCAAACAATTCAAAAGATGTGAACCATCGCGTCCAGCGTGGTCCTAACGTGGCAGGTTCCGAGTGACAATCGAACTTAGGAATCCCCTTGGAAGCGCCATTTTCGCTCAAAGACATCTTGTGTCTCACAGAATTATCCTCGTCGCCAATGTTGTATCCTCCTAATGCATGTACTATGCCTTGGATTCGTACAGATAAGATTTACACACTGATCGACCATGTGCTTCCTCTTTTATTACCTACTTCATATATGAGTACATGAAGCCTGTCTGCGCTCAGTACATCATGTAATACATGACAACACCTAAACAAACAATTTTAGCTACCGATTTTCAGTGGATTTTTAAAGAACAATTTTCTTTTAAGTTTCAAGACAATTTGAAGATTCAACATACATACAACGTACTAAAATGCGAAAGTTACACACCACAAAATTGATAAATAGGCCTGAAATGAAATTCTATCTTGTTATTGATTATACGTTGCCTAGCACGTGACTTAAATCTACCCAGGCGGAGATCCAAAATGACGGTGGCAGGCTTGGCTTAGTTATATCACTCAAACCTCGTTCCCGTTTGTCTCATTTGATAAAGAGGGAATCGTTAATGTTTTCATAAAGACAGTATTGCCTTGATTTTCTAATATTTACAACGAAAGACAGCAAATTTCACTTTTCACCCACATTTACTTCCAACCTTTTCTTTTGAAACAAAAATGATAGACGTTTAAAACACATGACATCATCCACCTTGTCAAATGTAATAGCATGATCATTTCAATTTTAATGCCTTCTTATCCCAACGTTACTTTGTTTCTTTGCTACATTAGCGAACACTGAACTACTGCTCGTACTCTAGATATGGCAATCAGCCACAAAATTCCCTAAACCAGATAACATTAAACATAATCTAAAAAATCATGTGTCAATTCACGAGTTTGCTCACAGAGCACTTTGATTCACTCTGTAGAAATTTTTTGTCATCAAACGAGTATGTTTTTAGCACCAGAAATTTAGTTTTATTATAACAATTTTCCGATTATCGACTGTTTTGCAAAGAAGAAAGTAAAAACACCTGAGCTCATATGTCGAAAGTCTCAATAACTCAACGGGCCCGAAGCGATATTTTAAATTCACAAGTTAAATAATAGAGAGGCAGGTTGTGGCAAATACCCGATCCATTTTGTTTCTTCAACTGACAGTTTCATTGTATAATTTTCAAAACTTTTGAAATCCCCATCTTGGAGGAAACCAGAACAGCTCTACAACTCCGTTAAGTTGCCGGGACCTTCGAGTAACCGGCGCCAGAGTACCTTGTGAACGTTTTTTTTGTTTCACGGGATTAAATCGTTTTCAGGAATTTAAGAAAAAAAAAAAAAAAAAAAAAAAAAAACGAGTCTAAGGGTGACATTTCAAACAGGCGTTGATGAGGGCTAAGATGATGTGAATCTAATTGTGCAGGAATACCAATCTCTTATATTACGATCAACGACTGAACAGAGTTTGAGGAACTAATATATAAATATATATATATATATATATATATATATATATATATGCATATATATAATATATATATATATATATATATATGCTATATATATGCTATATATATATATATATATATATGCTATCCTCACTAGTTTGTCTAGTTCGAGTCCTCTGGCATGGCTTGGACGATACCACAATTGTGGGATCATTCGGGGTATCTTAGTGCTTACATCTTAGCATCAGAACTGCACTGATGAGGCCCAGAATACAGAAACAGTACTGTCTGCAGTTGTATATTTATATATTAGCCTTTTATCAACAGATAAATGAAGGGGTAAGTTTCCAGAGAAACTATGGTGCTGCGTCAGTAGAGTTTGTGAAAAGATGATTTGGAATTTTCATCCGAGTTGATTATTCGAATTAGTCATCGTAAAGAGTTTTTACAGCTGACGTTACGAGTGTTAGCCCTTTATAATTTACTGGACATGCCACCGAAATTCTGTATAATCTCCTTCGGCCCGTATCCCGTATCCCGTATGTTTCTACTTGTATTCAAGCCTAGGAGAAAATTGAAGGGAGGTCCATTTCATTTAGATTCCTTCAGTAAAAAAAAGAAGCAGCGCTGTTAGCCGTATCCTGAAAAAGTACACCTCGGAAGTAGCCATAAGCTAAAGTTCTCGTAATAACGTGGTGATGAACCTCTAAACTTCTAACGCTGACTTGGACGGCATCGCTGTGTCAAGCTGTATGCATTTACAGACCTATACACTGCCTGGTATTACTCATAACTATTTTTTGTACACAGGTTTTCCCTCTCCCACAACTGATTACGTTTCTCTGATAGCATGGGTGCTTTGATTGGTCAGTTTTTCAATCTGTAATCATTCACTAGCACAGCCTTGAATGGCGTTCGCATTCTAAAGCTGCTAATTACAAAAAGATTTTCCGTTCCTCTTCCACCGCTATAGGCCTTTTGGAGCTGAAAATAAAAAGAGCATATAGTTAAGTATACTTCAATTTCAAAACAATAGACGTCAAAGTTTTGAAAGTAAAGAATTAGGCCCTCGAGTTCATTATTACACGATTCTCAAAAGCGTTGTGGATGAAGACGGGGAAATGAAAACGGAACTTGCTGACTTTAAGTTAGCCTCCACGTCTTTTGGACAACTCGTCAGCCAGGTAATTATTATTTCTAAGTTTTTATATCTTCGTAAAGTACTTTTTAATAGAAGATTTTGCATTAAATCGAACAATGCTGCCAAAGAAATTCTGATCGTCAAATGATGTAAACAAAGCTCAAGCATGAAATTCAGAGCTTTTTTGTCTTCTAACACTGAATGATAACGCTTCTTTAAATTACTCCTTTTTTCAGCACACTTCTCGACCATTGTTGTCATGCTTTTCATCGATGGTTTTTGGTTAGGAAGCAATTTAATGCCGACAACATTACAAGTTGACTCTGTAACCCGAAACGCGCTGTTAAACTTGGTCATTTGAAGCCAAGACTTGTCGAGTGAAGAATTGTTTTCTGCCCGCTTTGTGCAAACTGATTGGTTTATTTAGCCATGATGTTGTTGGCCATAAGACTCTTGTGGCGTAGGTCGGTCGTGATTAGTCACTTTCCATCCATCGGTAATTTTAGGTCGTTTTGTTCGGTTCCCAAACAAAAAGAATGTATAGGTTGCTTCAGAGTCAATAGTCGAAAATGGTTGGTGCTGTAAGTTAAGCATTGCGCAGAGTCACATTCAATAGTGTGGTTTCTAAATCGATGATGTTCTGCCATGTTATTTTCATCGTTAATTTTTCTCGTCGCTCGCTTGCGTTTAGTCAGTCTTGTAAGGTTATGTCATTCCCTCCGATGTAGGAAGCGTGGCAGTCGGAGCACTTGATCTTTTAAACGTCTCCCTGTCTGTTCTGCGGTTTGTACTTGTCTTTGAAGTTGGTTAGCAACTGACGTAGTGTAGTGATGGGTTTGTGAACTTCCGCATCTTCTCGTTGAAGGAAAGAGAGATATCAAATAAAGCTCGCGTTCGATTCGATCACAATAAGAGGCTCCCCGTGGGTATCTAGTTGGAGACAGCACTAGAGCTTTTAAGTATGAAACGGAACTTGCAATCCTAATAACTCGTAGCTTAGTATCGATGACCATTCTTGAGAAGACAGAGATATAATGGTAGGCAATGCAAGGTCTAACAATCCACGTTTGCTTTGATTTCTCTACGTCTACCATTTCGATGTTCCTGCACTACGAAAATACCAAGTTTTTTTACTTTATTTTTTTTTTTATGTTGAGGCCTGGCTTTAAAGATCAGTCATCCAGAGTAGGCCCCGCGCAGCATTATCGGACCATCATCATATCATATATTATACAATGATCATGTGAAGGACATTTAAAGTCCTTGACATCATCGTTTCACTATTCATGTATGACCGCGGTGCATGATTTCTAAGGGCTTCTGCTGATAACCCCTACCTCGGCCTTGTATGTTCTGGATATCACAAAAACCTCATCCAATCATTGTTTAAAACATAAACGTCAGATTTGACCCCTGCCTTTTCCGATTATATGCATGCCTCTATAACTGGTTTACATATAGTGCACAACGGTTTGTCTCGTTCAGACACATCCATCAACAGCTGGTTGTTGCGTAAATAGTTCCAAATATAGTTCAAAACCTCCAAGAGTTTTCAATGTGTCTTAATTTTAGAAATGACCTTTGGCTTAGATACAAAAGAATCTCATCCTATAGGATGGTGTAAATCAAATTTTATTGTAAGTAAACACTTAAAGAATCTAGTAGTTGTTTGTTATCAATCTTTGCTGTTCATTTGCATTCAGTATTAGTCGTCTTGCAGGGTTAAAAAAAGTGATCGATGCTTCGTGCAGGGGGGAGGGGGTGGTAGTGGTACTCCGCATTAAGACGAAGACGCAAAGTCCACAGATTTTGCGCTTCGCCCTCGAATTTTCGACTAACTTGATAGTCTCTCGAGTGTCTAGTTCAAAGATAGTTTGCATAATAAACCTCGTTATTAGTTCATAGACAAACTAATTATCAGGTAATTACTTCCCCCCGATACAAACGTTAGTATAAAACCCTTAAACAGTTTGTATTGGCATTGATCACATCACACTTCAATTCTTCTTCATCTTTACTTTCATTTTTCTTTTGCAATTGACTTGGGCTGCCCATAAGTGGTGCTCATGAATAGTTTTTTTGTCAGTAAGCACAAAATATACCAACAGTACTGAATTAATTAAAAGCCATCTAAAGGAAAACGTCTTAGCTATGACCTGAGAATTTAAAACATTCAAGATATCATCCAGCATAACTGAATGCAAATTTACCAACTGAGGTAATTTTTGGCTGAGGCACCTAAACTTCTAAACTTAGCAGCGACATTTGCAATGGTTAAGCTAGCTCATCTCAAAATTTCAGCTTCCTCATTTGAAAACAGAATGCATACTTAGAATTAAATATGGCAAAGTGAACAAAAGAGGAAATAAGGATGGGTGGCGATGGAAGACCTCGACACAGATTGCACAAGATGCAGAGACCGTGACCAGCAATGTAGCTTACACTCATAGATTTCCATGGCTACGATGTTTGTACCACAGGGGACGTTAAAA